AACACCCTTCTCTCTTTCTCCTCTTTGTACTCATCACATTGCTGCGTTTTACTTATGAGATATATTTGTGTTAATCTATTTCCATCCAATATTGCAGGTTGCGTGTTGTAGTGCCATAAACTTCCCTCGGCTCATAGAGTTTAAGCTGCATACAGGTTTTTCAGACAATTGGTTGGAACCATTTATGCTTTTCCTTCATAACGCTCCTAAACTAAAAGCTCTTATGATAACCTCTGTAAGTACCTCTCTCACTCTTGGTCGAACAAGTTTTGTTTTTCATGGACTAAATTGTTTATAATTAATCCTCCTTGTTTCTTCTCAGGATTATCTTCAGGGTCGGGAAGATCTCTTCGAGGATCTCTTCGAGGAGGTACCACTTTCATGGAATCAACCAAGTTCTGTTCCGGGATGCTTGTTGTCTCACCTTGAGATCTTTGAGTGGAAAAACTTTGGAGGAAGTAGAGAAGAGAAACAATTTTTGGCTTACATCCTCGCAAACTCAAACTGTTTGAAGACGGTGGGAATCTTACTGAGACCTTCCAAGACTGAGAATGACGATGAAGAGAAAGAGAAGATAATGGAGGACTTAGAATCTATGTATAGGGTTTCAGCATCATCTCAGCTTCTCTTTTCTGCTGAATTCCGATGGAGATATTATAGAGAAGCAGAGAAATCGGGGTTATTTTGTTCCTTCTAACGATTCATTATATTATCATGTTGGCTTTAACCTCAAAACTTAGTATATACTAGATGTCTAGCTATATTCTTCTTCTTCTTCTTTGGTTTTTTTTTTTGGTATGTACAACTTTAATTTCTCACATTTGTTTTCTGTCTTTTTCCAAATCTTTATTTTCATGATATTTATGATGAACCAATGAAGCAGGCGATTGTTTTCTATGAATCATCATGAGCATGGAAATGTTCGTTAGCTTTGAGATTAAGAAGAGAGGATTTGTTGGTAATCTTTACTTGAAACTGATACTTATTAGAGATCAATCTGAAAGGTACAATCTTTCATTGTTGTTTCAACCAAAAGATGATGATAATCTTGATGACATGATCTTTTTCATGCTTTTGTTACATCAGAAATTATGTCCTAGAGGGAGATCGATATTTTTTGGCCTTGAAGCATTTTCTCTGTTTCTGAGGTATGGTACTGCATATAACAACCCATTCTTCAATTATTTCGTCCTAATTTCCTTATTTTTGTGCTCATGTATTTGGTTTCCTTAGAGGGTGTTATACAAGGCACAAGCCTAAAATGTGAGAATCAAAATATCAAAGGATCTTCCTATCTCTAAAGTACGAGAAGAATACCAAATGGTCTTCCCACAAATATATGGAATTATAGGCCCAATAGTCACCAACCAATTTTACGAGAGAAAATTGAATCAAATTAGGGTTTTCTTTCTTGACAGAAGTGTAAAAAGGGCCTAGGGTTCTGGCTTACCTGATCTCATTGTGTTCGCTATTTCCCATTTGTTCTAGAGAAAAAAAGATCTTAAGAGATGCCAACAGAAGCCGGGATCAGTGCGCTGCCTGACGATTTGCTGGTGCAGATACTGTGTCTAATCCCAACAAAAGTTGCGGTGACCACCATGGTTTTGTCGAAACGATGGCGTTTTGTCTTGACGATGTTGCCTAAACTCGACTACAAAGAAAACTTCGAAGACGAGACTAGCGTTTGGGACTTCCTTGACAAGTCACTGCAACTACACAAGGCACCTTCACTAGAAAGACTGCGTATCCATCTGGGAAAACAATGTCCGGTTGATGTCGATGTCGGAAAGTGGGTCTTAAATGCGGTTGAACGTTTCGTTCGAGAGCTAATTCTAGAGATAAGATTTCTACCAACCGCAGATCCTACCAGCTTGCCTAAGAGCCTTTACACCTGCAAAGCTCTTGTGAAATTGACTCTAACACACAAGATTCTCGTTGATGTTCCTTCTCTACCTTGCCTCCCATCCCTTAAATCGCTGGCTCTTGTCTCTGTGGTGTATAAAGACCAAGGTTCTCATGTTAGGCTTTTATCGAGTTGCCCTGTTCTCAGATATTTGCATGTGGTCCGAAATAAGAGTGACAATGTGACAAAGTTCCTTCTTTACGGAGGTTGGGGTATATGGATGATGGTTCTGGTAGGTCATTGGTTATAGATTCACCGGGATTAAAATACCTTAGAATCATTGACCACCCTTTAGGAGACAATATCTCGATCCAGAATATGCCATGCCTTTTATCGGCCGTGGTTTTCCGCTATGGTACTCACGTGAATGACAAGTTTCTGACATCCTTGTCATCTGTCACGTGTCTCAATTTGGCTAATATCAAGGTAAACCAACCATTTTGATATCCTTCTCTCGTAATATTTCTTCTTTTCTTTGTGATCGTTTTAATTACTTATGTTGTGTCTTGTTTCGTTCAATTGCAGATTGCGTGTTGTAGCACCATTAACTTCTCTCGGCTCAGAAAGTTTCAGTTGTATCCTTCTTCCTCAGAGCATTGTTGGATGGATACACTTGTGCGTTTGCTTCATAATGCTCCTAAACTAAAAGCTCTTATTATCAACACTGTACGTACCTCTTGTTGGAGATACAATCCAAGTCCCACATCGGAAGTTTGATGGGACAATCAATAATATATAAAGGGTTAGGGCCAATCCACTAATTGCCAATTGGTTTTTAGTTGGAAGCCCAGAATTAGCCCAAATTTAACATGGTATCAGAGCCCAAGGTTCAAATTCTGGTGGACCTAGAAAAGTGGATACGGACATACCTCAAACCCGAGTAATGGGGGCCCGAGAAAGGGGCTTATTATCGGTCTGAGTGAGGGATCGAGGAGGTGTGTTAAGATCCATGTGGTCCTTGGATTGAAGGGGAGATTGTTGGAGATACAATCCAAGTCCCACATCGGAAGTTTGATGGGACAATCAATAATATATAAAGGGTTAGGGCCAATCCCCTAATTGCCAATTGGTTTTTAGTTGGAAGCCCAGAATTAGCCCAAATTTAACAGTATGTGCCTCAAGAACTTCGCGAATAAGAAAGTACCGAGTTAGGGTGCCTAGGTTTCGCTGAAGAGGAGGCCCAATGTTCGTGGTCCTTGGTTTGAAAGGGAGATTGTTGGGTACAAACCAACGTCCCACATCGGAAGTTTAGAAAAGAAGTTTCTAATATATAAGTAAAGTCCAACTCCAATTAGTACGAGGCCTTTTGGGAAGGAGCCCAATAACAAATCCGTGCGGGCTTGAGCATATAGGCCCAAAGCGGACAATATCATACTAATGAGAGTTGGATTGGGCTTAGAAAAAACCAATACCTCTCTCCCTCTTGGTGAAACAAGGTTTGATTTTGATGTACGTAGTTGAACTTATTATATTAAACGTGTTTAATTATAATTCTTCCTTCCTAGGCTTTTGATGGTCGTCATGGAGAAGTCCCACTTTCTTGGAACCAACCAAGTTCTATACCGGGATGCTTGTTGTCTCGCCTTGACAACTTTGAGTGGATAGACTTTGGAGGATCAAGAGAAGAGAAACAATTTGTCGCTTACATCCTCGAAAACTCAAAGTGTTTGAAGACGGTGGGAATCTCATTGAAATATTCCAAGAATAATGAAGAGAAAAAGAAGATAATGGAGGACTTGGAATCGATGTATAGGGTTTCAGCATCATCTCAGCTTCTGCTTAGATAATGAAAAATGAGCACTATTCAGCAGGAAGAAGATTCACTACGTTCCTTGTAATGATTCATCATATTATCATGTCGGGTTCAACCTCAAAACCCCATTTCGTAGATCTTGATTCTACAAATCCTGGAAGACAACTACTTACTTGATCTCTATCACGCTAATTTGCTAGCTTTGTAATTGTTTTTCGTTTAATTCTTCATTTTATGATTCTTATGATATGCAGGCGACTGATGGTCTGTCTATCATAAATAGATGCACATGTTCTAAGCAAACAAGTATGGTTTTCAAATGATTTTTTTTTTTTTTTTTGGTATCTTTAAAGGAACGGATCAATTTCAAACATTAATCCGATTGTTAAAAACTTTTTTCAATGTTGTTCAACCAAAAGATGATGATATTAATGACATAGGATTCTTCTATATCTTTTGTGACAACATGATCCTTCTTTTAATATGTTTTAGTTTCATCAATTTTGAATTTTCATTATTATTGAATACTGTTCTTGTCTTTGCTTGCAAGTGAACCCAAAATTGGGCATTCAAATTTCTCCGAATACATAATTATTTATTGACAATGACATGCTAACAGTATCACCTATTTAAAATGTTGTAAATAATTTTTATACTATAGAAGTATAGAACAAGACTGAATATAAGAATTAAGACATATGTAAGCCAAGGATACACGTTTTTATGCCAAAAGAGTGATAATGTTTTTCTGTTTTCAAAGTCCAAACTAACACACCGAGTCATAACTTATCTATACACTGATCAAAATTTGTAATCACGATAGAACCATAATTTGTAAAGTATTTTTGCGAAGTCTTCTTCTCCTTATCTTGCTCAGTGTCTCATTCAAAGATTTCTAGATTTCTAGAAAGTTATTTATAAAGAAAAAAGGCAATCAAAAGAAAGGATCAACCAAACCAGTTGAAGTGGTTCAGGTTCACTTCATCGATTCTAAAGTGGACAACACGCGCCAAAGTTAGCGTCGGTCGAGTCTTGACATGATTGAAATCTCCCAAAGAACTATGTAATAAAATCAGAACTCAAATAAATGTATAGTTATTGTAGATTTGGTAAAGTACTCTCATCATAAATCAGAGATTAAAAAAGCTGAGAGAGTACACCCAAAAAAAAAAAAAGCTAAGAAGAAAAAAAAGAAGATCCACCTCGAACTTCTCTCCATCTTTCTCAATCATCATCTAATTCTCAGATTCCGTTTCTTTCTTCCTTTTTCCTCTTCCTCTTCAAGCCACAAAGACTCATAAAAATCTAACCTTTTTCTCATTTCCTCTGTTAAATTTTCCGGGAAAGTTTGTTCCTTTTTCTCCAGATCGAATTCTCTAATTCTCATCTCAGTGAATCTGTTACTTTCTCTATAATCTAATCTTCAAATGTTTCTGGGTTTGTGAAATCAACACTTAAAAACTCGAGCTTTTTCACCTCCTCTGTTTTTTGAAGATAATGAGAGAAGACGATTCAGACTGGTTCGCAAGATGGGAAGAAGAACTTCCATCACCAGAAGAGCTCATGCCTATATCACAATCTCTAATCTCACCCGATCTAGCTCTAGCCTTCGATATACGAAGCCCAAATCACGGAAACGGAAACTCAAACCAACCTCATCATCACCAAACCACACCTCCTACACCATCTCAGCTTCAGCTTCCGTCTTCACAAGCCAATTCCTCAGCCGAATTCGCTGCAGATTCAGCAGATCTAGGCTCTGGAGCTGCCGGAGATGAACCAGCTCGGACTTTAAAACGACCGCGTCTTGTTTGGACACCGCAGCTGCATAAACGTTTCGTTGATGCTGTTGCGCATTTAGGGATTAAGAACGCTGTTCCTAAAACGATTATGCAGCTTATGAGTGTTGATGGTTTAACTAGAGAAAACGTAGCGAGTCATTTGCAAAAGTATAGACTTTATCTTAAGAGAATGCAAGGTTTGTCTTCTGGTGGTGGAGCTGGTTCAGATCCGGCTACTGATCGTCTTTTCGCTAGCTCTCCGGTTCCTGCTCATTTTCTTCATCCTAATCGTGTTCCCAGTTCTGATCATTTCATGCCGTCTTTTGTTCCCATTGCTACTCTTCAACAACAACAACAAATGGCTGCTGCTGCTGCCGCGGCTGCAGCAGCGGCTAATCCTCATTTACAACCGCCTCAGTTCCACCGACAAATCGCAGCTGCGCATTTTGGCTCGCCGACAAACGGGGGATTCAGTTCACCGACGAATGGTCAATTTGGATCACCGACTAGTAATGGGTTTGGATCACCAACGGCGAATGGGAAGTTTGATCCTTCGTTCTTGGCGGTGAGGCAAACGCAACAGCAGCAGCAGCAGCCAATTCACAGAATGTCTACACCATCATTGCATAGTCCAGTTGGTAATTACGTTGAGGATTTGGAATCTGCAAACGCTAATGGAGGGAGAACTGTCTTAACTTTATTCCCAACTCGAGACGATTGAAAGTCAAAATCTTTCCGGTAATATAACACTTCATGAAGATTCTGATTCTTGACCCTTTTGTCTTTGTAAAACCATAGCTTGCAATGTTGTTCTAATTGGAAGTTATCTGAGGTTAATAAATGTTGGTAAATTTGATTTCTCTATAGGTTCAAAATGTCTCTGCAGTCATCAAGAACATTGATTTGAGTCTGCTGATCGTTCTTGGCATCGGGTGGTATTATCCGGTGGCGATCAAGTTATGTGTCTGAAGCTCTTTCAGGTCAAGGCTTGTATTAACCCTTGTAGCTTTCTTCTATCAGATTTTATGTAAAGATGAGTTTACTTTTGTACATCCGTACGGACAAACTCATGATTGGAAAAAAGGAATCGATCTTGATGAAAAAAAAACAAAAACTTACTTCACAATGTTCTTTACTTTCTCATTTTGTTGCCTTTTGTTGTAGATTTGTTCTTAAACCTGAGTTTGCTTGTAGCCTTTTACACTGAAAGTATATTGGAATTGCTAAAACTGGTCATTCCCTTTCTACTAGCTTGTTCTAAGGTTTGTGATTGATCAATGATGCAATTGTACAATGTGAAAAATGACATGAAGGAGACCAATAAGCAAAAGAGACAGAGACAATGGGAAGGCAGAATCAGAATGAAGAGGATCTGATGCTCTTACATCCTTAATCATACCCCAACTTATTTACTACTACCAATTATAATAAAGTCGCATACTATATGGAATCATTGAAGGGACCAAACCCCAAATAAAGTATATAGATTTTTTTAGCTTTTATAATGAAAGTTAAATTATTTAGGAGATGAGTGATTTAAAGCAATGGTGGTGGGTTCATAGCTGGCATGTCCTGATCTTGTCTCTCCCAAGTCTGACCCCATCCTTTGTTTTTCCTTTAAAAAAATATAAATTTAAGTTTTTTTCTTCAGAAAAAGATTTGTTAATCGTTATATCAAATCTCTTTTACGGTTATTCACGTAAAGAGTGTGACCAAATCAAAGTATAAATAATAAATAAAATAATTTATATAACTCTTTTGATTGATTTTTTTTATAAGTCTAATCTTAAATATTAAATCCAAAAAAATTTGTTTATTACCACAATCCAAATTTATCCGTAAGTCTCTCTAATCCAATCTTGTGATTTGAGAGTCTTGAGACCATCGGTCAAAGAAGTGATTTATTCGTTTAGGAGTTTTGGGAAAGTGTCTTCGTCTCTACAAACTTAGAAAAGGACCCTCCAAGTCTTCGTCACCTCATATTTGTATGTAACAAAAACCAATTAAAGGTGAATACTATATAGTCAAATCATTTTCCATTTTTTAAAAGATCTCATTTAAGAATCGAGTTCCAATTTCCTTTGAACAATTTGGTTCACCATAAGAAGAAAAGCAATCATCAAAGATTTGGTTTCTGTATCGTCGTCTCTAGGGCTCATTCAAAGTTCTGATAATAATATAATTCAAAGATAAAAGAAAGAAAGTAGATGTCTTGTTATATAAGAAAGAAGTAGCCATTGTTCGGAACAGAACAGGGAGCTCCTAAAGGCTAATATCTATAGAATCTGCTTTTCATTACAGACATTGAAATACTCAAACACTAGTCTTGCTGTCAGGGATTACTTGCAGAAGGATGCCTGCAGTGCAAATGACCAGTTAGCAAACACTATATTTGAGATAATCAATCAAATGGCGAATTGAACAACAGTTTAGTATCTCAGCAAACCTGAAAAGATTTGTGTCTGAGCCGTTCAACGGCTGTGCATAGTTCATAGCAGGTGAGTTTGGCCACGGTGTATATGAAGCCGCGTTATGAGTAAAGGGACTCAAAGCAGGGTTAAGCGGATGCCCATAGTTTAGGTTGGCTTGATGACCTCTTGGCATCTGCGGGAAAACCCCATCGTGAAACGGAATGTGGATTGGTATTGGACTGAAGCTTTGGCCAGACGGCATAACCCTGACGTACCTACAAACAAGAAAAAGACCTTTATATTTCAGAGTGTACACCAATTAGTTTTGTTGAATATCACCATTATAGAGATTGAAAGGTTTACCTGTAGGCGGGATCTACGACATACCTGTCATAGCTCCTGTCGTAATCCGGGTCATATCGGTCTTTCTCTCTATCTCTGATAATGGCTACTCGAGAAGTCCGTCCAGAGTCTCGAGTAACAGCATCGACAGGATTATTATTAACCGCCACTTCAGTCTCATTCCGGTTTATACATGTGTTTTTCACTTCAAGAGGGGGAGGTCGTAGTGATGAAGAATCTTCAGAGTCGGAACTGCTAGGGCTGTTAAAGATCCGAGCCCGGGCTTTATCATACTCTTCCTTTCTCTCCTCAACACTTCTCAAAAGATTCTGTTGTACTCCCGATCCGCTACCCCCACAACCAGATCCTCTCTTGGGTCTAGGCTTGATAGCGATTTTGAAACCCTCGGGTCTACCATTCTCAGGTTGTTTCACAGGGATTTCGGACAAGCAGACATAAGGAAATCTACTCTCCGCTGTCTTAGTCACCAGGATTCTGTTCTCGGATCCATCACCTGCACCAGTACCATTGTCCAAAGCCATGGTTACTAGTCCATAATGCTGAGCAACTCGATGTGCAGCAAGACGCAGGTACGATGTTGGAAAAGGCCGGAATTCAAACTGAAGCTGCTCAGGGTTTTGAAAGAACTTCTGTATATCAAGCTCCATCCGCAAAACTAAAAACACACACACCAACCAACAAATAAAGAGGCAACCTTTTTTATCACCCATCAACCACATTTTAAGAGAATCTTTCCAGATACAGAAATTAAACTTAATCATCAAATAAAAAAAAAAAATTGAAACTTGAAGACAAGATACTTATATATATACGCAAATCAGCTTAGAGAGGATCAAATTAGACAAAGGGTAATGCAAATTAGACAAGCTTCAATGTTCAATCATGAGGATTCTGATTGAGCTAAGAATACAAGTGATTATGATTTGGGTCATTGAGGAATCAAGGGAATTGTTAATTAGTCATGGATCTAATCAAACCCTAATCAATCACCAAAACATATAACTATAATTGAACAAAAGACAGGATCGAGGATTAGAGAAATTCATAATTATCCCCCAATTCTATGATGAAACCCTAGAAAAACTAGCAGGAAATGAAATGAGCAAAATCAGATCAAACACAACAGAGAGAAAGCAAAATCGAAAATTGACTAACTGGTGAGACGATGACGAGGATTTTGAAGAGCCTCGACCAGAAAAGGATCCACCATAGCTTCCTTCTCGGTCATAGCAGCCATAGATGAAGAAAAGCTTCGAATCTCTCCTTCTCTGCTTTGTCTTATAAATTATCGATCTTTGATTAGGCCTCGTTGTCTCTTCACCGGAGATTAGAAAAGAAAACACATGAAAGAAACAAAAAGGAGATAATTTCTGATGAGCATTTTCTGAGAGAGACGCGAAACGATGAGGGTGAAGGAGATGAAAAGACTTTCTCGACCTCTCTCTCTCTCAAATCGCAATCAAGTGGGGAAGAGAATATAAACAAAGTTGCTTCCTTTTTTATTATTCAATTCATTTTTCTATGTGTTGTCTGTTTTTTTGGGTTAATTTGTCGGATTCTTGGAAAATTATTTATATGTTAGTAATTACTAATTAGTGGGTTTGATTTGGTGGAATCATAAAGTATAAAAAGTTTTACTCTATTCTATACTTTTGGTTGGTGTCACATTTCATTTTTCTATGGTGCGGCTGTACAATTTTGTCAAACAAATATCAATGCACCAAAAATATCTTCTCCCTAAGTACAAATTAGCGTGGAAAATATTGCAGTGTCATCTTATCACTGAATAAGAGCAGTTAATCTCGAACGTTACGTAATCTACTTCATAATATAATCTTAAAGGCATGATATGGTCTAAACTAAAGCTACAAAAATAAAAAATAAATCATGGCTTTTATATTCAGTTTTCAAGTTTGTGGTTTGTGGTTTGTGCCTTGTGGTCAATTCTCTAGAATATTTTTTCATTAGTAAATTTCCAGATGAGACACATCTATAATCAAATCCATTGGAAATTTGGAATGCCTAAAAATCCTATCGTATATGTGTGTGTTGTTCTCTAGAGTTGACATTAAAGATGAAAAAAATTAAAATAAAATTTATTTTAATAACATTTAATGTTAAAATATTTTTGTTGGATTTACTTCCTTATATAGATGATATTGCTGGTCAAAATTAAACGTAGTTTCCATAAAAGTAATACACCAAAAACGGCTCCGGTCGAGACCAAGGCGCGTGGACGATCTTCACCACATCCTACATGGCCCTTACTGATTGGATACAAAAGTTGCTTTAACTCCACGCGCCACTGTCTTAAAACCTTCTCTTGCTTAATAACGTAAATAACCTTAAACTTGTTCCTCTTTTTTTTTTTGGTTTTCAATAACCTTAAACTCACCTCTCTCTCTCAGAAATGGCGATCTCACCGGTACTATTCATTGGTTTGATTTGCCTCGCAGGCGGTGGCTCTCTTTTTCCGGCGGTGGAGGCAATATGGTTAACGGTTCCAACATCAGGAGAGAGATGCGTATACGAAGATATCCAAGCCAACGTGGTCGTTGTCCTTGATTACATCTGCATCGACGAAGCTTTCACTCAACTTGGTCCAACATTAGATGTTCGGGTTTGTATACTAACCATACTCCATTTTTCTTCGTATATTTTCATGCATCAGGGAAATTTCGTTACTGTGGTCAAACGTTATATATATGAGATAGAGAGAATTTGACTATTAGTTAAGATAATGATAAATAGGTTTAGATAAACAAGAAATTCAAAGTTGATATCGAAAATCAACATTGAAATGGTGATAGATTTGTAGAAAAAAACAACTTGTTAACCACAAAATTCTCATGAACTACTACCAAGAGATTATAGATTGAGAAAATAAGGGTTTGGTAAATGTTGTCTATAGTTGGAGTTAGGTAAGATAAATTTGTGTCATGATATGCCTTGGTTAAATAATGTATAGGTAACATCTCCGTATGGTAAGGAACTGTACAAGATAGCAAACGTGACGCACGGTCAGGCTGCGTTTACAACGAGCGAGAGTGGAACATTCTTAGCTTGTTTAGCAATGCATCACGACCAGTCACATCACTCAGTCAATAACTCTGTTATCGTCAGTCTTGATTGGAAGATGGGTATCAGAGCCAAAGACTGGGATTCTGTAGCTAAGAAAGAAAAGATCGAGGCAAGTCCTTCATTTCCAATTCATATATATGTATGATTACAATAATCTCAAGAAATACATGTAGTTGAATATATGTATATTGTTACAGGGTGTGGAGCTTGAGATTCGAAAATCTACAGAATACGCAAGTGCTATTAGGGCCAACATACTCTATTTGAGAATCAGGTTCTTAATAATTTTCATCTCAAATCTAATTAAGTATATATGAAGATTTAGATTATGAAGATATTTCTCTCATAAAAATGGTGCAGGGAAGCATATATGAGGGAAATAAACGAGAAGACAAACCAGAGGGTTGCGCAGCTTGCCTTAATGTCTTTTGGAGTAGCTTTTGGCGTTTCAATTATTCAAGTTTGGCATCTCAAACGCTTCTTCCTCAAAAAGAAGCTTCTTTAACTTTTATTCTATACTATTGTTTTAGAAAAAATTGCAGTCTTGTGTGGCTCTTTTGGGGGTAACTATATGATATAGTCATATCAAATCAATAAAGAAACACTTGCTTTTGTGCATGATAGTACTTTTATCTACTGATCACAAGAAACTTTATAGAATCATCTAGGAAATATTTATGCATTCGTCTATCTATAGACAAAGAATATCATCAATACATGAATGTCCATCTAATTTATCTGTCACCGTTAAATTAATCTTTCACAAATGAGACTTAATTGGTACACCGTTTACAAAGTATTTTGCTAATGAATGTCAAAGGCAAATGATGATCATGATTGGCGTTTATTAGGTCGTTTTGGGACTTCAATGTCCAACGCCAGTTTAAAAGTAGGATCAATAATGGCAAAACTGTTAACATTACTACTGAATATTTTTACAGTGCTATAAATATTTTTATTTTGGAGAGAAGAAAGAGTTTTATATTGAACAATTCATCTCATAAAGAAATCTTACACTATGTGTAAGAAATACAAAATTAACAACGATTCTGGATTAGAAAAATTACCTCAATATTTAACTTTTAACTTTTGATCTACATTCATCATACAACACATTGTAACACTATTTGCCCTTCACAATTAATTTCTTAATCCAAGTAAACAAGCCAATGAGAAGATAGTTTATGTTTGACTAAACAAACACGTGTTCGGAGTTTAATGTACACGCGCTGCGCGTGGATATAATATAATCTTAATTCTTAAGTATATTCGTCGACGTTGCCTTGTTCCAAAGTTAATAACCGTGTGGAATCATCGAGAACCGAAGCCAGAAGAAAAATTCAAACCCTCCGACGATGACGGAATCAACATTCGTTATTGCTCCTCCGCCGGAGATAACTAATCTGAACCCTAGCATGTTTTCTGAATCCGATGTGATTTCTATTCCGCCGCTAGATCCTCTTTTTGTATCTGATTCTGATCCGATTTCACTGGATGCGCCGATCTCCGATCTCGACTTCTTACTCGACGATGAGAACGGAGATTTCGCTGATTTCGATTTCTCGTTTGATACTTCTGATGATTTCTTCGATTTCGATTTGTCAGAGCCCGCGGTGGTGATCCCTGAGGAGATCGGGAATAGTCGTTCGAATTTGGATTCATCGGAAAACAGAAGCGGCGATGGAGGTTTAGAAGGAAGATCTGATTCGGTTCATTCTCAGGTTTCATCTCAAGGCTCAAAGACTTTTGTGTCCGACACCGTTGACGCATTATCCTCCCCTGAATCGAGCAATCACCAGAAATCTTCTGTCAGCAAGAGGAAGAAGGAAAATGGAGACTCCAGTGGCGAATTAAGGAGCTTCAAGTACCAAAAGTCTGATGATAAATCAGTCGCTACGAACAACGAAGGTGATGATGACGACAAGAGGAAGTTGATAAGGCAGATTAGGAACCGTGAAAGTGCTCAGCTTTCGAGGTTGAGGAAGAAGCAACAAACTGAGGAGCTTGAAAGAAAAGTGAAGAGTATGAATGCCACCATTGCTGAATTGAATGGTAAGATTGCTTATGTTATGGCTGAGAATGTAGCTTTAAGGCAACAAATGGCTGTTGCTTCTGGTGCTCCTCCTATGAATCCTTATATGGCTGCACCGCCTTTACCGTATCAATGGATGCCGTATCCGCCTTATCCTGTTAGGGGCTATGGATCACAGACTCCTTTGGTTCCCATTCCCAAGTTGAATCCTAAGCCTGTCTCGAGTTGTAGACCGAAGAAGGCAGAGAGTAAGAAGAATGAGGGCAAAAGTAAGCTCAAGAAGGTTGCTAGTATTAGTTTTATTGGAATTCTCTTCTTTATGTTCTTGTTTGGTACATTGGTTCCGTTTATGAATGTAAATTATGGAGGAGAAGGTGGAAGCTTTGGCGGTTTGTCTAAATATGATGGTCACCGGTATTACGATGAACATAAGGGGAAGGTTCTAATGGTCGGGGATGGTTCTGATGTTAGAAGAGAAAGTGGGATTTCTGAAGGAAATATACATTCTAGTAGGATAATTCATGGTGAGAGAGATAGTTGTGGAGGAGTAGATTATAATGCTCATCCGAAAGTAGAAGGACGATCAAGTTCATTGAGCAATGCGAGTGATCCTCTCTTTGCTTCTCTCTATGTCCCAAGAAACGATGGGCTTGTGAAGATCGATGGGAACTTGATAATTCACTCTGTTTTGGCGAGTGAGAAAGCAACGACTCTAGGGAAGAAGAATATCACTGAAACAGTCAAAAGTAAAGAACCTGATTTGACCATACCTGGTGCACTGTCTTCTGCTATAGCTGTTCCGGAGGTAAGAGGAAATGCAGCAATGCTTCCACATTCAACAGCTCTCTCTTCTGAAGGGAAAAGACTTCACCAGTGGTTTCATGAAGGTGGCTCAGGTAATTCTTGTTCTCTATGTAGTTCTACTAAATGGAGTGATCTGGATTTTCAACTCTACATTGCATTCTCTTGCAGGGACACTAATGGATTACAGCATGTGCACCGAGGTTTTCCAGTTTGATATTGCTCCCGGTGCGATAGTCCCATCATCAGTCTCAAACATTTCTGCGGAGCATCTCCAAAATGTCACTACCCACGGCAAGAGAATGAAGAACAGGAGAATTCTCGAGGGACTTCCTGTTTCACTTGTGGCGTCTGAGCTCAATATCACCGGAACCCAGCCGAACAAAGACGCTCAAAACAAGACCTTTAATGGAAACACTAACAAACCCACATCATCATCCTCCATGGTTGTCTCAGTGTTGCTGGATCCAAGAGAGGTCGTCGACTCTGAAAACGACAGAGTGGTGCCCCCAAACCCAAAATCACTTTCCCGGATCTTTGTGGTTGTACTTCTTGACAGTGTCAAGTACGTTACCTACTCATGCGTTCTTCCTCGGTCGGGTCTCCATCTCGTAGCCACCTGATATGAGCTACTCAGATCTTGACCTTAAGTAGGAGAACATTGACTTGTTTATACATACAGACCTTATTGACTTTTTTCCCTGTGTTGTATAACTTTATGTTCTAAGGTTTTGGATTTTAATTTTGAGATAACCAGAAAGTGAATCCTTTGCTTTACCTTGGGTTTTTCCGGTAGCTTTTGGCTGGAAAAATACATTTGATGGCTACAGAACTTTTCTATTTTAGAAGATATAATAATATACAAAAGAAGCTCTTAGAGCATATATATTCAATTGGGATTTAAGTAGAAGGCTGCACCCTTTTGCGCAGCATCATTCTATAACAACTCTTCCGGTTCTGTATCTAGTTTCCATATGAATTCATTTTATACACTTAAAAGTTTTTGAGTACTCTGTTGATACAGTTTACTAGACATGTTAATGTCGTTATTCATGAAGCCCGGCCACTATCAGCATGAGAAGGACAATCCATGGCAGAGCTGGTAAAACCGCAATCGCTGCTGCCAAACACAGAAAGAAGAAGGCTTTTGATTAGAATTGGGAGTCTATGATTTGATATATGTTTGCTAAATTGGAAGACTTTAAGTAGCAACTTACATGAAGAGGTCTGCGGTTGAGGATGGGCAGCTTCATTTGCGTGTGGTTCCCTTGGTTCGGTTTTGGGTGGTTGAGCTGCATGGGCAAACACCACATGTGGTAGAGGGGCAGAGATTGGAACTATATGAGACCTGGCTACAGGAATCGGGGCCGGTGAGTGCAGCTGATGACGTGGTGCCCCAGTAGAAGGAGCAGGCGCAGGTGTGGATGAAAATTGCACGTGTTTCTCCTTGAAATGTACTCTATTCCCTGAGTTGCAGGGTGGAGGTGCAGATGGAGCTCTCCTGCGGCTTCTCTGAGGAGCAGGAGAGGCCACAGGTGAAACCTCGGGAGCCATATTCGGGCTAAGATGGTGGTGGTGGTGATGATGATGGTTGTGATGGTGGTGGTGGTGGTGATGGTGATGGTGATGGTGATGGTGGTGGTGGTGGTGGTGCTTGGAATGGGGACTAGGTGAGGGTGATGGAGATTTGGTGCTACTATCACTGCTGTTTGGCAAGAAAGATGAAAGACGAACTTGCTTGACCTTACCAAATATGGTATTATTCAGGCCAAGGTTTTTCGAGCGTGAACCTGTGATGGTATCAGTCAGTTGTTTCAACCTTGGGCTTGAATTTGAGGTACCGACTCTCAGCAAAACTGATGAGTGAACAGTTGTAGGGGGAGATACGGTCGACCCTTCTGAGTTCGATAAGCTTACATACAAATTCTGCATTCAGACAAAATCCATGTTTAAGAACAATCTAACTCAAGGCATTAACACTTGCTAATCAATGCATAACTTCAACATGATTGAAAGATTTAGAAAATAATGTATTGTGATAGAAATGACAAACCTCGTATGGTGCGAGATTCAGCCCATTCTTGAGTTGACTAGCAAGGGTATTGAAGTTTATCTGTATCTGGTGAATAGAGTAGTTTAGGGTAAAGTTGAAAACAATCTTGAATTTCTGCAGAGGAAAAACACTTTGCGGTGGAATCACAGTGATTCCTCCTGGAAACTTTAGCACTTCAAAAAGTAAGGTTTCCCCAAACAAGGATTTTGTAAGCTGGAGATTAGATTGATTTATGAGCACAGATTCGAACATCTCTTTGATAGAACTCAAGGACAGAGGTAAGATTTCTCGGTATCCAGTATCAGGGTCAATTCCAAACACAACCTTTGTTATGTTCAATTCATCTGACGGCTCAACAGCCAGGATAGTTACCTGTTGTTTGATTAGAACCAAGTTAGATCAGAAGAGAGACGAGATGGATCGGAAAAAATAATTAAAAGGGTAAGAAAAAGATGAAACATCGTACTTTGATGGAAATGTAGCTCATCTCTTGAAAGATGTCATTCTGAAGCTGCAATGTATTTTCATTAAGAAAAGAAGCCGATCTATTGATGCTAAAACTGGCTACTATAGCATGACCTGCATCGAAATGTGAAAAACAATTAACAAGGAACCAATATCCTAATAGTGATCAATAACCATAATCTATGACCCTAAAACTTATAAATCAGTATTCGATCATCCATTTTTCCTAGTTAAAACTTGTAAGAAGATATCTTCTCTTCATTAGTCATGTAAATTTTACAGGTGTCTCAAGTGAAAGCCAAGACAGAGTCACTAAACATAGAACTCCTAATCAAAGAACACTATGATACAAACACTAATCATTACTAATGTCAATAACCAACAGTTTCTACTTAAAATGTACCAAAATCTCAAGTAGCTTAAACAAGTAACTCTTAAAAAGGTTCACAGATTTATTTCTCCCCAATAACCTAATTCTCCTATCTAAAAGCTTCAAAGAGGAAGCAGTTTTAACTCTTCCCTGACATTAAAGCACAAATCACGGTCAAATCCCATTCCCAAAATAGCTTTGTAATAATTAGTAATTAGCAAATTCAGGACATAGAAGATGAAACATAGACCCAAATCAATGTTAAAGCTATAGAGTCAATTCATTGTCCAAATAAGAAAATAGCTTTTAGCAAAAATTGAAACTTTTGCACGAATTCAGAAGATTACCTCTAAATCTGGGATCGAGATTCGAATCCTCACGATCCATAGGAAACGGAAGCAACAAAAACAAAGCCGAAAGAAACAAAGAGACTGAGAAAAGCAGCACGAAGAAACATTTGAGCCCAAAGAAGCTTGAGATCCATTTGCAACACCCACACCGAGCATTCCTCTCCGTCGAATCACCGGTAGCTTCGCCGCCGGCGACACGGAGATTCACATCATCCTCGGTTTTACCCATTGACAAAAAGCAAACTAAGGTTTCAAGCCATAGCAACAAAGAGAAACCCCACCTTCCTCAGCGGTGGGTACACCCATCATTTAGCTTCCTCAGCTCAACAAAAGCCCTAATTTCACCAGATTGAGAACGTGATAGCTAACAAATCCCCTCAAATTTCACAGAAGATGAAGAAATTTCACCTTCGAATTTTGGAGCTTTTGAAATCGAAATCGAGGTTTTTGTTCTTAATTCCTTACCCAAAACAAAGCTTGATTTAAAAAACACACAAAAAAACGCAAAACGAAGAGAGTGAAGTGATTTTTCCGATTTCAGATTATAAATATGTTTTTATTTTCTCTTCATAAGATGGGACAAAAAATTAAATAAAAAAGGATTGGGTTTTCTATTTTTTCTCAACTGAATTTAATTTCCACATATACACTTTCTTAACTTCACTATCTTTTTCCTTAGATTTATATTAATTATGATAATTACAATTTTTATACACCTTGGAAATTTTAAATAAAAATCAAAATATGGTTGGTTGTTTTGGGTAAGACCACCGACAGAAGAGTGTTGGAAGAGTTCGAACAACCGTGACCGAATGGATAAATTCGATAGAAGAAAATAACATTATAAACAAGAAATGATAAAAAAAAATAATGATCAAGGCTGATAAATAATATTTTATACATTAGTACATAAGACTACAAATCGTATAGTAAGCTACAAAAAACCCTTTGTACATGCCAAAATATTGAAAAACCAACAATTTTAGATAAAATAAAATGACATTTATATACACTACATGGAATGATTCAAAAGCATCTCAATGGAAAGGTAATCCATTGTGGTTTGAGGCCAAACCAGAGGACCTGAACGGCCACAGATGCCACAATGGATTTTTCCGGCCATTACTCCGGTCTTGTGGTAGTTCTTTGCGGCAGACGGGGCAAGTATTACGTTGGACTAACCACGGGAGTATACATTCCGAATGGTAGATATGTTTACACGGCATCTTTCTTGCATCCGATCCGATTTCAAACTGGTCTTGGCAAACCGGACAATATGGATCCAAACCGAGATGCTTCTGCCTGATTTTGATCTTTTGCAATGAGTTAATCGCGGCTAGTGAAGCTGGAGGAGGACCACGACGGTCTTGTGCTGGGAGCCGGTTAAACAACTCTTCAAAACTTAGTTGGTCTCCAAGAACCGATCTTCTGTTGTTGGGACGGTTACGAGCTTCTTCAAAGGCTAATCCGAATAAATCAAAAGGGCTTAGTTCCACATTCTCATAGAGCCTTTCAAGAAAGGTGTTACCACAGTAAATGCAAGCTCCTCCTCTTCTGCCTTCTCCTTGAAGATGGATTCCTCGTCTACAAGTATTACACCAGTGTGTGCTTTTTCGCCTAGTCGTAGTCATGGATCTGCCAAAAACAAAACAAAAAACCTCTTTCTCGTCAAACCATTGTCAAGGACCTTTTAGACCAGAAGATTAAAATCACTCATTGTTTGTAACTCTACTGGTCCACTAGGTAACATTCCGGACGGAACAAGGCCGAATTTCGAAGTTGGGAAATGAACTAAACTGGAAGAGATTATGAGTCTGAAGTCCAAAACTGTTTTGCTATACTAATTAAGAATATAGGTTTTAGAATTAAAGATAAGCCCTAAAACACTAGAAGCACAATTTGAAAGATAGACAAAACATTACTGAACCCTTATGTTTCAACAAGTAGAAACATGATAGATCAAGAAAACACAAGAAAATCTCAAAGTTGCTTGTAAATTAACTTTCTCAATAATATCACTGTTTGCGAAATTGGTATAACGTAAAGACAATAATCGATTTAAAGGCCTATAGATCCAAATCAAACGCAAATTATGTATAAATAAATACAAGCTATGTTCAATCTTCATAGCTTAATCTTTGACCCATGATGTTGTCTTTGCATAATAGTTACTTTTGTAAAACCAAAAATTATACATAAACAAGATCTTGGGTCAAAGATGAAACTATGGAGCATATACGATAACTTGTGATTGGTGAAACAAAAGGAATCAACTCTAGCTTACCCGAGTTAAAATGGATCGATCCGACAAACTCGTGAATCTCCAAGTAAGAAAGAAGATTAAAATAGAAGAGAAGGAAACTTCTGAAAGAAGAAAAGTCTTTTACGCAAAATAGAGTCGAGGATGATATTGACGACGAAACTTCAAAGACAGCTTCTACAACGGGAACATGTGGCCGATGCTCAACTAATGAGTCAAAGCACGAAACTAACCAGAAATTTAGTGAAAAAATACAAAAAAAAAATTAATAAAAAAAGTGTGCTAAATATCTGTGGGACTATGAACAATGCTTTTTGAGACCAACACATAAATGTGACACCAAAAACGCGTTTGTTAGACTATGGACTTTTGTTACTTTTTAAGTATTCACGTGATAAATGTAGTTATCCATAACTTTGAAAAATGAACACAACCCATTGTTTATATCAGGACATGTGTTAACAATTTAACTTTTGAAGTATTCACTGAATGTTGATTACATAACTTTAAAAAAACGAATATCCCATTTTTATACTAAGCTAGGCCATGTGTTACTTTTTTTTAATCAAGGTCATTATGTCATATAAGACAAACACATGTATAGTCTATTTATTATTATCTAAATAATCATTCTATTAATCATAAGCTTATATCTTTAGGATCAATATATTGACAAATTCAATAATTTCCTTAAATAAAACAGACGAGTTATCAAGATAAATGATCAAAATTACCAAATTTTTTTTTTTTATATATATAAACCAAAGTTTTCTAATGTCGACATAAATTTGTGGGTTTTAGTGAAAAAGGTAAACATCAACCTGTTCCAATTAGTTGTGTTTTTTTCTTTTTGCTTTTTAAAATTCTAGGGTCTTCTCTTTAATTGGCTCAATCTCTGTTACTTTAATTTTCTCGGGAAAGTTCTTGTGGACTTTCTGGTGAAACGAAACTCTTTTGTCAGATTCTCAGGCGAAATTTATTTTAGCAGGAAAAAAAAAAAACTACTATACGGATTTTTTTGATCATCCGTATTCAAAAACCTAGTTTCTTGTTAAATTCAAATTGAATTAGGTTTTTTCAGATCGAGAAATTCGAAGATGAAACCATCAGTTTCGTTGGATAATTGGAGGGACTATTTTCAGCGAGGAGATTCTGATATTTTTGGTATCATTGATCATGCGATTATGGTAGCTGCTGCAGATTGGCCAAAGGAGTTTAAATCCAGGAGAGATAGAATTGCTGAGCTTCTATTCTCTTGTAGAGTGAGTCGCTGCATTGGTTGTGACCACCTTGAGCTGTCGATAGCTGGAGAAGAAGATGTTAACCATGGCTGTAGGACGGTGGAGACAGCTGGAGTCGGCGGCGGTGATAGGGATGATTCTGGTGTTGCGACGGATGATGCTTCTGTGATTGTTGATGAGGTTATGAGGATCAGAGATATCTTGTTGAACAAAGAAGATGAGGTTTTTAGTCTATTTGTTTGAATTTCATCAAAAGTTGTGCAAATTCATTGGTTAAATTTGGAATCTTTTGGGTTTTTGGTTTCTGTCATCTTTTTTTGCAGGCAGATTCTGTATTACTCGAATCCCTGAGAAAGCTTGAGTCAATGTCTATGAGTGTGGACATTCTTAAGGTTTGTTAATTTTTTGATAATGTATGGTTTGGTGTAGTACAAGTTGCTGAATCGTTGTTCTGATCGAGCTTTTCGAGGCTATGGAGTGTTTTAATTAAGTGTTTACGTTCTTGCAGGATACTGGAATCGGAAAGGCTGTTAATGGTCTGAGGAGACATAGTTCCGATAAGATTAGCAAACTTGCAAAGACTCTTTTCGCGTATGAGTTTTATCATTCTCATTGTGTGCTTAGTTTCGTTTCATTTGTTCGCATACTCTCGCATCTGTGATGTGCATTAAACTTTGGCTAAAGTGGACCTCCACGGTTTTATTAAGATGCAAACCAGTTGCCTTGTAGGATGTCTAAATTGTAAAATGTCATTAGAAAAGCCTTGGTTGATCATTAGGAAGCTGTTCTTGTGCTACTTTAATGAACATTTTACTCTTCCGCACTTCCTGGCTCCCGAATATAAAGATTGTGTTTTTATATATGGGATGCACAGAGAGTGGAAGAAGTTGGTGGACCAGTGGATGAACACCCCGGAGGAAATGGCTGGTAAATAGCTCTATCCATCCTGTTTCGTAGTTACTGCGAGCAGGTTTTTGTCTAGATTTATAGTCAGTGGCTCTTGTAGGCACTGAAGGTACGCCAGAGTCAGCAAACCTTTCAGTAATTGATGAAGAAGAAGCCTTTCCTTCCCCTCCACATGATTTAGATATCTATGCACCTGAACCCAATGGATTTGAACTCTCTCAGGTCTATAAACATCTTTCTCGCTTATCATATTTTATTTCGGGCATAGACGAAATGTTATCCTGACAAGTTTCTTCTCTTGTCCCTGTTTCATAATGTCTTCGGTCACTTGAAGATCTTAGATTGCCTGGACTGCGATGGAAGTGAGTTAATACACTCTTTGGTACTCTGTTCTCTACCTGAAAGTCTTCCTATATTTTGACACTCATGCATGGGGATGAATGTTTTCAGATCCTCGTCACAGTGTGGAGTCAAAACATGAAAGAAAAATGCAAAGTAGCGAGAGGAGTAGACCTGAGGGTACAAATGAGGCCAATGTGGTTCGGGGGTACAACAAGGATCAACACATTAGGAGAGAAGATAGACCTATGAAGCACTCAGCCACCGATTTTGATGAGCCTAGAAGACAACCAAAGCAAAGTAGAGAACAAATGGTACCCGCAATCCAAAGAAAACCGCCTATTGTTGCTAAGCAAAAGCGGAAACTAGCTGGACCTCAACAAGATGTGAGTGGCTGAGCTAATATAACTGTGGTGTTTGATTATTTGTTTTGTTCTAATAGCAACTGTCTTTGTTCTTGTCTCTCTATTCAGAAACTCAAAGCTCTGGATCCAGACGCAAAGTTTGAGTTTGCAAAGCGGAAACTCCAAGAGAGCTACCAACAACATGAGAATGGTTAGTCTAATCCTCTTAAGAGATTTCAATATTTCCACTATTTCAATACAAATCTCAATGCCCATTTGATTTTCAACAGCCAAGAGACAGAGGACGATACAAGTACTGGAAACTATCCCAAAGCAAAATAAAGTTCAGAAACCGCAACTCAAGAGACCCACACGAAGATAGTCCAGTTTTTCTTCGGATAATCTATACAATTACTACGACCATTCACGGGCGTTATTATACAACAAAGTGCATTTGACAATTGACAGACCCAACTTAAACTTCATAGGATGCTCTATTCTTTTGTTCCAATTTTTATTGGTACTTCTGGTCCGGTTTTGGGACAAGAGAACCTCATAATTGTGACAAGTGAATATATCCCTTTTTTACTTTCTTCTTTTTCATCGAGAAAATAAAAAATAAAATTATTAGGAAAAAAGGGCTTCTCGTATTTGACCATCTCTAAACCTAACTTGTGCGGCAAGCAAACTACGTAACTGGTTTGACATTGTTCAATTTTAATCTGTTTATGCAAAGATTTTTTAATTTTTAGTATCACTAATTAAAGAGGTGAAATATATTAGAGTGATAAATTCCTAGGGTTACGAGTTTCCTTCCCTCATCATCCTCGCGTGAATCCTCGTTATAGTTCCTAGCAATTCTCAAGGTACCTACTTCGATTTTCCTCTTCCTGTGGCTGTGGTTGTAAGTTTTGGTTAGTTGATTGTACATGTTTTCTATATCCGGGTGGTAATTTCCTTTCAAAGGTTTGTGTGTAGATTGATAAACCTGATTGTTAAACATTTAGCTGTTGAGAAATTTGACCTAGCTAGATTTTGTACGTCGCGGTACACTCGTTGAGTCTTTGATTGGAATCGAAACCCTAATATTGTGGCCTTGATTGACAAACCTTTGTGAGAGCAGAGGTTTGGTAAACCAATGGTCACTGTTTGCATGAGCTTCATCTTGTGATGTGTATCGTGTCATTGGAATTGCATAGGATTGAAATTGAGGTGCATATAGGCATGAGTTGATTGGTTGCTCTTTTTTGTTTTTCTCCAAAAGAAACAGAAAAGTAATTCCTGTATATTTTTGACTAGTACTTGTGCAGATGGATAAAGCAGAAATGGTGGATGAGATGATGATTTTCAAGAAGATGAGTGTCCTTCCCACTGAAAAGGATTTTCTTGATGCCATCGTTTCGGTTTCTCTCCAGGAGCTTAAGAGATCATCCCTCAGGGCCATGGCTTGCCCTAAGGTTGACCCTATCCATATGGCTTACAGGGAGACGGTTAGGTTCGTAGGGACTACCTTTTCTGCTATGGTCTCTAAGGTTCTTAAAGAGTTTCGCCCCCTCGATGAAACTCATCCCGTGTTCGGTCGCCTCCTCTCTCAGCGATTTGATGTTAGTCACTTGACCCTTGCCGTTGCACAACTGGGATATGCAAAGAGACTGTTTTACAGTATCAGCATGAGGTTTGTGCAGCTACTGAACAAGAATGATTGTGATTCACTGGACAAGTGCAAGCGCCTGAATGTGGCTGCTCTTGGTTGCTTGCTTACTGTTGCTATGAGAATCCTCCCTTGTTTGGCTTATCTCGAAAAGGTCAGGCAGTACATGGCTCAGGCGACTGAGAAGGATCTGGAAGATGAGAATGCTGCTACTCTGACGAACAAGAAGCATGTCGCCCTCTTGCCTAAGGAAGCCTGCACTGGCCTTCACACGCCTCGCTTTGATATTCAAAATGTTGCCGGCTTTGTTCTTCCAGAAGCTGTTGCTCGGGTCGAAGAGTTGGGGCTTGAATATGGCTTCAAGCTCCAAGATAATCAACTGGACTCTGCAAAACTTTCCCACACTCACAAGGAGCACCTGGTGCATTATTCTCGCTTATAAATCAATCTGTTGAAGAATCAATGTCTCTCAGTTTTTATTCTATATCTGTCTCTGATATTGTCAGACATTTGTTTCTTTAGGTCCGATAACATGAAGATTCTCTAAAGTTTAGTCTTGATTAAGCTAAAAAAATATAGTTTTATTTCATGATACAATCCCTTGGAACTTCAAGTCCACTTGTTGTTGTGACCCTCCAAAAGCATTCCCTAGAAACTTTGCAACAATAGATATGAACTCATCTGGCTTTTCCTCTTGAGGAAGATGACCACATTTCTTAATTACTTCGAACACCGATCCCGGTATGGCTCGTGCCAGCCTCTCTGCGTTCCAACCTGGCACAATCCTGTCCGTATCTCCCGTCACAATCAGAACTATATTACCAACATGAAGAAAAGTGTCATGTCATTGATTCACACTATATATAATGCACAACATTTGGTTCCAGTTGTGATTCTAATACATTGAAAGCACAAATGAAATTGTCAGGATTGAATAGAAAGAGATGTTACCGGGACATTTGATTTCTTGGAGTCTTTTCGACAATGGGGGTTTTTTCTCTGAGCCATTATTATCTGTTAGTGTAGCGACTGTGAATTCCACTAGAGCTTTGTCCCATCCCTTGGCTCTTAGAGGCTGTTTTTTTGGCAACAAATGCAAATCAGATTTTCCAACATTACACATGACAATGCAGAGGAGATACATAAACCTGAGAAACCCGAAAATTCCACCTTTGTATAACCCTGGACGACGTGATCCGTCACTTGTTTCGAGTCATACCATGCGTTTCTAACAGCTGTTACTCCAAATTTATTGATTGCCATCCTCACCTGGTGAAAAACCCATCACCTTAAACTCATCAAGTAAGATCCTTTCGAGGTTCACTAGACCAACATTTCTTGGTCTAACAACATATAAAATAAGATGACTGGTGAATGAAGCCAAGACAAGAAAAAAAAAAGCGGTACCAGCATTACTCCAAGAAAGGACCTGAGGAAAGCTGCTAAAGCTTTCTTGTAGAGAGAATTCAGCATATTTGCCATTCCCGTTACCGCTCTCAAAATTGCTCTTATAACGCCTTTGGTTAACTCAACTAGAGTCCCTAGAAAGTTGCTTGTGGGAGCTTCTTTGCCACTGTTATCTCCAGCATCAGTTGTGGTCACAGGACGAGGAGCGAATATAGCTGGAGCGACGAGAATGAGAGCAGCAACACGCTCCGGGGCTTCAAAGTAAGAATCTACAGCTACAGGGCAACCTGCAGAATGCCTGCAACATATGAAAAAACAATCTCAGCTTATGGTGGCACTTAATTAAGAATTGCAAGTATATGGAACCTACTAACTTACCCCACAAGAATCGCCTTATCGGCAGCAAGAAAATCGATGAAATACAATGTAGTGAGCACGGAATACACCATGGAGTAGGGATTCAATGGTTTTGCATCATTGGTAGTACCACTAAACGGGTGAAAAATCCGAGAAGTCAAGCCAAATGCTGGTCTATCAAAGGCCAGAACTTTTGAACGGATGAGCCGAGCCAGAGGCTTCATAACTCTGTTCCAGGAGAACACAGAAGCGCCAAAGCCGTGCAATAGAATCATCGGAAACTCGGTTTTTGGTGTTTCTTGAGCATTGAGGCTTGTGGTTGAAACATCATCAGAGAATGTCTGTGGATCAAACACTTTGTGGTGTATATGAACACCTTGAAACTCACAGAAACAGCTGTCTGGATCAGCTAAGTTGATTGGATCCTGTTCTGTTTCAGCTTCCAACTCCTCTTTACCTTGAGCTCCATCATCTAAATATTGATCTGAATATTCATGAAACAAAGAGAGATTACTCATATAAAATAGATCTTTATAGAAAAGAAACAATTTATGAAAGATTAGTTCAATCTATTTTCATAAAATTGGAACTAGAAACTCAAATGTTTCAAAATTAGCAGAAATACTGAATCTTATAGGTGAGTTCAGAAACCTCAATAAAGTAGTTACCGAACACGAATTTAGAACAAATGAGAGAGATTCATCAATCGAAATCTGAATTATGAGTGAAAGCTCATGAACTAGAGCTAGTAGAAAGAAAGGAACATTTTATATAAAAAAAAAAACCTGGAAAGCCGCCAGAGAGAGAAGGAGAAGAAGCAGCATTGGAGACGATGAGACGACGAGAGGGTTGGCCGGAGATCTGACGAGACATCTGAAAATGGGTTCTAGAGGAATCTAAACTAAGCTTGTCGTTGAGAGATAAGGAAGCGAAAGTTGAGAGAATCTGCTTTGGTTGGTTCAAAAAGAAGATGCATGTGGTGTTTAAATTCATTCTTGCTTCCTAATTATCATACAGAAGAAGATAAACCCCTTAAACTATAGTACAAAAGTTTTTGCTTTATCTAAATAAAACGGGAAGGTTAGAACATAGTCACATACAGTGTGTTCTGTCTTGTTAAAATAAAAATAAAAGAAATGGTGAAGTAGTTCTGACTTCTCAGTTCTCACCTTCAATCTATTGGACAAAAAATAAAGATCATTGGATGGAGAAAAGGACCTAAACGTAAAAAGCCCAATCCATTCGATGCCACTTGGCAGTACTATGGGGCAAGATAAAGTAACTGAAATTCTACTTGAGTTTTTTTTTTTTTTTTTCATTTGTGTACAAACTCTCAATTGTATCGCCGTGGAGGTTGTTGTAAGTTTCCATGCGCTAATTATCCAATCTAAACCAAATTTTAGTTTGATTTCGGAAAAATCAAAAAGCGAAACATTCAAAGATGAAGACGGGATTAGACACTAAATTATCCACAATAAACTGAAACTTCAAAAGGGTGTACGGCTTACAGAGTTACAGGTCGGTCTGATTTCGGTTTACCAAACCGGTTGACAGTTTCACACAGAATATCAACATGACTGGTTCAAACACCTTTTACAGGATCATTCAACACAACACACACAAAGTATAAGTAAGAAAATCTCCATTTATCATCCCCTCCACTGATCCTTCTTGTTCCGAACTTCCCTCAGTGTATCAATTGGCGTCTTGCAACCGAGTTTCTCCTGGAAAATAACAAATTTGATCCCGAGATGCGACAAGAGTAAAGATCAATATCTAGTGATAACTGATAAAACCAAATAAACAAGTAATCTATAGCCTTGTTCAAAAAGATGAACCAAATGGAGTAATAACCTGTATCTCTGGCTTATCAACGCGCATAAATGGGTTTGTTTCGAGCTCTTCCTCTAGTGTTGAAGGGATTGTCGGAAGATCTGCTTGGCGCTGTTGACGGGCCCATGCTAACTTCTGCTGTATCTTCTCGTTGTTTGGTTCCACAGTTAGGGCAAATTCCAAGTTTTTCACCGTGTACTGAGGAGAAAATAAATAGCAGATTATTACATTTCTAGACATCGTTTTTATGAGTTAAGAACTCAAAAGACATATTGAAGCTGTTGGTTTTTTTACCTCGTGGCCGCAGTAGACCTGTGTTGGTTTAGGTAATGAAGCAAGAGTCACACACAATGACTGATGCATCTGTTCAGCTGTCCCTTCGAAAAACTTCCCGCATCCAGCAACAAACTGTATAGAATCAAAGTAACTACAGTGCTTAGTAACAGAGATTTATGATTCGTTAGGACATACATAAGACAAAATAGTGGAGGATTTGTGTGAGTAATGTGAAACCCTAAATGGATTTGTTAGTATGAATAAAAAGTTTCAAGGGAAAAAGACGAGAGTTGAGATTCATTATCTTAATCAAGCAGCTTTAACTTATTACTATCTCCATTAAGACATAAAAAAGGCGATGAAGATATAAGGAGAACAATATAGTGCGTATGGTAAGATCTGTTTTCGTTCTTCATAACAATAAGACAACTAGAGCGAGAGACTGAGAGAACGAGAGAGAGAGGGAGAAAAAAAGAGAGAGGAGGACAAAAGGATCCAGCTTAACGTTACTACTTACAAGGGTATCTCCAGTGAACACAGCTGGGTTTTCTCCTTCTTTTCCGGTTACATAATAACTAATGTGACCCTTGGTGTGACTGTCACAAATAGATATATCAGAGGAATCAGCGGTAACAAGAAAAAACGACCGAGTCAATATCAACAAAGTAGATTAGATGCATCAAAATTCATCCAAAGAGAAAAGAACAAACCAAGGGGTATGGAGAGCCAATATGTTGACATCCTGACCCAAAGACAACTTGTCACCATTATCAACAGCATCAGTGCATCCCTTGACCTTATCCAGAGAACCTCCATATACTTTGATTTCAGGAACCAACTGCTTAATCTTCTCGTTTCCACCGGCATGATCCCTTTCATTATATCAAGCCACCAATCAAAGAGTCAGTGTTAAGATGAAAAATGTCGCCACAAACCCAAATTTCATCGTATACAAAGGCAACAATCATATAGTAGACATAAATCTTGCAGCTTCAAGACGTGAAACACTAATGCACCTACTTCAAAGAATAGACAAAAATCTGAATCTGAAGGAGGATTAGCATTCAGATGCAAAAAGTATCATCAGACTTTAAACTTGGTTAAACACCCTTACTCACGAAGATGAATCTCTAAGTCAGTTGAAACTGATAGTAGGAAAAAGCTAAACACTTGATCAGAAAACAGAGAGATTTAACAATTTCTACAAATGTTAATGCCTAGGATCGAAATCTAGCATATATCAATATCACTGAGCAATAGGAACCAACAGAGAATCTCGGAGATGAATCAAATTAGACATTTATTAGTGAAATAGAGAGAAGTGAGGTAATTACCAGTGATGATGCGTGGTGAGTACGAACTTGATCTTAGCACTGTGCTGCTCAGCTGATGCGATCACCTTCTCCGGATCAACTGGATCCACAACCGCCGCGTCTCCGGTGCTCTCATCGATTATCCTTTTTTTTCATTTTACCAAAAAAAGAAGAATCACATCCAAAATTGATGATGAACCGAGTCAGATAAAGAAGAAACGAAATTGAAGAAAGATATACGAAACCACTCACAGATAAGAGTAGTTGTCTTGTAGACAAGGAACGTGGAAGATCTTCATCGTCTCCTTCGAATCGATCGTCCTTCTCCCCCAGAACACTAGCTGTATCATTTATGGAAATATCACTATAGTGATTATCCATTTCGGTTTAACCAAACCGGATCTAACCAAAACAAATCAAGATAAAATCTTGCCGCAGGTCATCCGGTTAAATCGTAATTGTAACTGAACCGAAATCGGATAAAAACATAAGCTTCGTTGAGAATTGTTTATTTTAGGTTTTGGGGAGATTCGTTCTCGTACTGTGGATTGTTGTTGTTGTTGGGATTATCTGAGAAGAGAAGAAGAAATGGGGAAGCAGCCGGTGAAATTGAAGGCGGTGGTTTACGCACTTTCGCCGTTCCAGCAGAAGATCATGACCGGTCTCTGGAAGGATCTGCCGGAGAAGATCCATCACAAGGTCTCTGAGAATTGGATCAGCGCCACTCTTCTCGTTACCCCTGTCGTTGCAACCTACTGGTACTCTTTCCCTCTTTCTATCTCTCTCATCAATCAATTGATAAAGGAATCTTTGGATCGAGTTCCGATCTGGTGATTGTGTGATTGGTCTTCGATCTGGTTGTATGAGTTTTCGGATTCTGTGTCATCGAGCTAGTGCGGCGCTAAATGGATTTAGGGTTCTTCTTTTGTGACATAGGAACAAATGAGAAAGGATAGAGTTAAGTTAGCTGGTGAAGAGTATTAAGTATAAACCTAGAACCACCACCATCATGAAGATAAGGATAACAACAAGTCTAGATTCCTCCATTGTGACGTTGTGTTTTGAAACTGAGTGTAGTATAGAGACTCTCAGCTAGAATTAGTCTTCCAGGTATCAATTATTATTATTGATGAACCACTTTGTGGAATTGCATTTAAAGATCTTGAGGATGTTAATGGCCTAATCGTAATCATTAGCTAATTTGTGTGTTTCTATTAAACCTGTTAAGTTCTTGCTTGTGAAGATTACTGTACTATGTTTATCGTCATCTTCTTCTGTGCTGAATCTGCCAATACACAAATGAATGCAGGTATGCTCAATACTTCAAGGAACAGGAGAAGCTTGAGCACAGATTCTGAAGCATGAAGTCACTCCTTTTCTACAAGAACCTTATAGTTTGAACTTTGAAGTCACTTCTTTTGTTTGAAGTCATAATTTTCATAAAAACTCATGTGGGAATCTTCTGAGTCAGTTTTTCTGAAACTCTATTGCTAAATAAATGTTTTGGTTTCATGGCAATGACTGTTGATGTTCATCTTTCTTGTTATGGTATGAAAATTGGATTGAATCGAATAATCTATTGATCCCTCAAAACGACTGTGGGCAAAACGCAAACACTTTCAATGTTCCCATAAAACATCAACTACCAGTACTAGGCTTTACACGTCTGGTCCGGTAACTCTAGATGTAAACGGGTCAACCTGAATCCACAATGACGAGAAGATCGAAGCAATAAGAACTGACCAGACCACAATAATGGTTGGAGTCTGTCGACCCATCAAACCCTTGGAGGGTATAAGTGAACAATCACCCAAAAGGCAAAGAAGAGTTTACCAAAGAGTGGTCCCCAAGACTATTAGATAGCATAAGAAACCCCTGCAACCACTCCTACAAGGTTTATGATGAGCAGAGTCGTTGGTGGAACTAGAAGTGTTGTCCATTTGACCAAGTAAAGCTCGATGGAGTCACCGTCTTCGATGGAGGCCTTTGAGGTGACTGTGAAGTTGGTGTTGATACCGGCGAGGACTTTAAGTAGACCTTGGAAGACTGCAAACAAGTGAGCTGATACACCACCAATGAGTCAATGACCCAAAACTGCTCGTTTCTCCACCATTCGTCTATGCCCCACACCGCTCCATCTCAGATTCTCAGTTTCGTCTTCGTAATGTAAGACACACTCACTCTCTTTCTCTTCTCTCTCACGGGATCATCAAGTCTTCTTCTCCACAGAGATTAATGGAGGAAGCTTACAAGCTACAATAAAATCTCCACATACATTACACCGACACCTTCACACTGTCTTTTCTGATTACACTCTATTTCATTTTTTTCTCCATTTAACATTTCTTTCGGTTTACACGTAAACCGGTCCCATTCCAAACGAAATTCCAAATTAAAAACTGTAATACTACCACTTATTGACTTAAGATAAAATTAAACAAAACATATTTTATTCCAAAAACCATTAGTAAAATACTAAAATGTCATATAAATCAAAAGTAAATGCTCTCCACAAAACTGATCACTTAACCGGTTGTTAAACCAACAAACGACAGTCCTTTTGTGCTCTTGATTAGTTTCAGATAGAATCGACGGAAACGGCAGCTTTGATGAGTAAACCGAAGAGAACAAAAGGGTTAGAGAAGAAAGGAGAATGGTCGCTCTCCAATTCGTAAACTTGGCTCGGTGGCCACCGTCTTATCATTGCGTCTTGCTGCTCCGGTTTCATGACCCGGTCGAGTAACGTCTTGATGTACACGCGCGGCACTTGCTCCTCTTGTCCTTTTTCTTTTTCTTCGTCCAGTTTTGCGGTCGTTAACGCCAAGATTGGTGCTGGTCTCATCATTAGTGCAGCCAATGAACATTCCTTTACACCCAAAAAAAAAAAAAAACACGCGTATAAGGACAACAAATTTGGATTGTATGAAATAGTTGTAATATTTGATTTGATATGTTTTCCACCCCAATTCGATATGTAACATCTAGACAGCCATAATTCTACTTCTACAGAACAAAACATAGTAGACAAAACCACGAATATTTAACTTTAATAATGCAGGATTTGGATATATGTATATATTTGTGAATAGATCTAGACATGTCTACAGTTATCAAATATATAAAAATCAAGTTAATCATATAGCAATTTTTTTTAATTATGAACATTTCAAAAAGAAATTTTACTAAATGGTAACTCTTTGTAATTTGGTCGAATTTTCCTACACTTTAAACACATTAAATCTTGGATCTTTGAGCTTCTATATGAAATAAAACAGTAGAGAAACCTGTTGAGGACTCATGTGGTATAGGAGTTTTCGACGGAATTCAGGTTTGATAATAGCACTGGTTGGAGGATTCTCCGGTCCTATACCAAAACCGAGCTCGTAGACATCACCATGTTCTGATAGATCAGGCACTCCCTGTGACAAAGAAACATAACGTCACACACAAGTTAACTTGAATTTAAAAAAATCTGTATTTTTTTACATCTTTCATGTCTTCATCGGTCTGAAGCCCGTATTTGAGCATCGAAGCTCCGATAAAAACAGCAAGACATATCTTCTTAGGGAATCTCTGTATCGCGCTCGTTACGCTAAGCCCTCCTGCACTGTGACCTACAAGTATCACCTGACAAAAACAGAACAGAGAAAAACAGAGTGAGTTTGCTTCAGATTCAAGAATCTATCCAATTGAGTTCTGAATTAGGTTTCACCTGTTCTTGTTCGGGGAAAGAGGAGAGTAAGTCGATGAGTGGTTGGTTGTATTGGTCGAAGGTAGTGAGAGAATCTGCAGATGAAGAATCGATGCCGGAGGATTTGAGGTCGATGCAAGTGACGGTGAAGCCAGAGACTTCCATGAGACACTTGATCTTGTACCAACACCATGATCCTAAGCTCATGCCATGTATAAGCACAAAGTGTGGTGGTTTTCTACTTGGTTTGAGTTCTAGGGTTTCTTCTTGATTCTCCTCCGCCATCGATTCCGCCGGAGTTTTGCCTGAGAGTTTAGAGGGTTTTTTCCACAGAGTGCTCTGTGTGTCTTGTCACATTTGTCAAGCGCATATATAGTGAAAATTGAAAAATATCTTTTGTTTCTTTCTCAGTTGGGTTAAAAAAGAATTAATAATTGTATTCTACTATTAAGAAACGACCAGTATACTTTGGATAGAAATTTAACAAGGAATATATAGAATGTCTACTTGCGTCTAATGTGTAGGATTTTTTCCCTTGTGCAGCTCATTTTTTAGCTTAACTCCTGTTTTTAATTTGGTACAAATAGATTTTTGTCCAATATTAATCCGGTCAACCGATAAGATCAAATTTATTTAGTAAAATACATAATAGAATAAAACAGTTGAAAGTAAAAGTAATTTGTTAAAAAGATATTCCAAAAAAAACAAGAATTTTAGGAAAAGAATAAACTTTATTACCATGTAATAGACATGGTTCTTTGTACAATGCTAGTAGTTTTTTTTGTTTTAAATGGTTTTCGACGTAAGCACTTCTTTTTTTTGCAAATTCTGAATTTGATGCAGCCGTTACGATAATCGTATTTGTATCAATTTAATCTTAAATTAGCGTTTGCTACGATAATCAAAAGGGAAAGAGAGGTGAAGAGTTTTTATATAATTATTATATAGACATATTATATCAATTGATCGTTTTGGTTGTGGATCCGACTTTTGTATATGGTCACTTGATTTATTGCATATTCATAGTTGGGGTAGTCAATGAGTAATAATTGTGTGTTCTGACTATATTCTTATTATTGGTACTATTTACGTTTTATCCGCACTAAAATAATTCTCTAGATAATTTATGTCATGCCATTAAAATAATTCTTGATCGGATTTTCTAGTTTAAAGTTCATAGTTATTTCAAGATTAACGATTACAAGACGGCGAGAAGGATACGAATTATAAACGACTCTCAATCTAAACTAATAAAGAAAATCCATTTGATAGCTGGATTCAATTAGACGTGATAAAGAAAACATACTAATAGTTATCGTTATTAGAAAATGTTACTTAGATTCAGGTATGTCACGTGTGTTATCAAGACCCGTGCTATGATTTGTTTTGTAATTTGATTAAAGTATATGATGTGTTATCCGATAGCTAAAGTATTTTCCCGTCAGTTTTCTAACGCAGAGATAATAAATTTCATTGACCAATTTAATGCTCGCAACTCTAAAGAAAAACTAAAAATCATTCAAGGAGCAATTTGGTTTTACCTAAAGTTATGAACCATGAGTTTGCCCAAGGGGAAAAAAGTTCAAAACAAATGCAAATGGTTGTAATTCAAAGGATTTAGGTTTACCGTACACGTCAAAACTCAAAACTATTTACTCATTTGATTAGTTGGTCATATGCAATTTTCACGTTCATAAATCCATTTGGAACTGAAAATATATATGCACGATAAGTCGATAATATTATAATCCTTGCTCGGAACCATTAAATTAAAAATGGAAAGAATTTTGACTTTTGCGTAATTGTTTTTTTCTATCTCATTATTAAAAGAAAAATTAAAGAATGATAAAAAAAAAAGGAATAAGGTGCAAATAATTAAACACTGATTGAAAAGGAAAAAAAGGAGAAGTGTCACAAACAAAGATGAAGATATCTCCTCCTTTTCAGTGGGTAACGAAAGCGTCTTTTCTATTTTTCTTTTTTCCCATATCCCTAATTTTCGGTTTATTTTGTAACCTATATTGTATATGAAAATGACATGACTTTGGATTAATTCTAATTGTTATTTTCTACTATACAAAATATTCCATATTTTGAGGGTTTTCTACACACGTCTTTTTTTTCCCCTCTAGCCATTATTAAAGTTTAAAAAAAAAAAAAACTATCCAAAAGAAAGACAAAAAAGGCCGGAGAAAATCCAATCAAAAAAAAAAAAAACTTGGGTTGTAGAAAAGATCATCACTCCACAAAAAATTAGCTTTTGGTAACATTTCGTGAAAAGGAAAAGAATGCAATAAGTGAGAAATGACATATGAAATGGTCAGACGAGAGACATGTGCCTAAAGGCAAGCCTTTGCCAATTGTCAGTGTCTTTGTGGACAAATGGAATCAGATTCATTTTTATTACGTGTAACGTTTTTTGCCATTATATAATTTACTAACCAAAACTAACCAAAACTGTTACTAGCTAGTTTACTACTTCGTTCTGTTTGGAATCATCAATTTTTTTTTACAAATTGTTTCATCATTAAAACAAATACTGTATTAAAGTTTGGTAAGAAATAAAACGTAAACCCGGTTAACTAATGTTAATTAAATTTCAGCTGATCTTTCAGTTTCTCTAGGTTTAGACACCCCAACGTACATGTTAACCTAAAAAAAACGTACCCGATAAGTGATACATATGTACATATTATTATCAAACTGGTCTCTTAAGATCAGTCGTCGAAACCCATCTCGAACACAGAACACTCGACCATGCAGAAATGATTTTACTGTGAATCAAAAGGCATAAATTGAATCTTGAATACTCCAATAGCGTGTGCACTAAAAAAAAAAAAAAAAAAAAAAAATATGACATGCATATTGGGTCTAATGGAGAAAAATTCATTTCCTTTTGTCTGAAAAGTTCTTAGTGAGTTCGCTTTATATATACTACTAAGTATATATGTATTCTTTTATAACTGTTCAATCATTGTGGATTCTCTATTATCATTGAATAGTTGTTTTATATAAGTAGAGCATGAAAGGCTAATACGTGCACTTTCTTAATTATTTATTTTAAAAAAGTATATAAAGTAATTTTAAAAGAAGTAATATCGTTTAAATAAAAGTATATGTTCAATCTGAAGATCCTGTCTCATTTTTTTTTTTGATAGAATCATGTCTCATTTTAAATTCGTATTATTGATATGTCGTGGTCCTAATCTTCAGTTTTAATTTAACCTGAAATCGGACTTTGATAACTTACGTATTCTTTAACATGCCTAACTTTACACATGTATTAATATTCCTTCGAGTCCGGTGTATACTAATCTGGGTGGAGTAATTAATTTTGATGTGAAGTAATAAACCCCCAAAACGAGAAAAAATCGTCAGCTTTGGAAATGTGTGGTTGTGAAAAACGCTTATAAGAGAATTGAATAAAAAAGGAATAAATTCGATAATACACACGAACATTAAGTCTAATAAGTGCATTATCTATTTTTTTGTTTTTAGGGTTTAACCTTTTTTCTAATAGTGTCCCATTCGAAAATTTGAATCCAAAAAAGCGCCATTTTCTATTTCACTGTCTCACAAAATCTCTCCAACTTCGTCATCGTAACTCGTACCCCTAATTTCAAAATCCTCTTCATACTATTCCCCTGTAAGCTCTAATCGATAAATCTGGGTTTCTCCTCTCAACAAAATCAAGGCCAGGTCAGTAATCTATCTATCTCTCTCTCTCTGAATTGGAGTATTCGTGGTCTCTGATTTAGGGTTTATAAATCAACTGTTCTGAGTTATGTATGCTTTTGGTTCTCTGATTTAGGGTTTTCTTCTGTTCATATGTTAGATGGATTTAATCACAGAAACAGAATCAGAGAATGTTGCTGATTCTTCCTTGTGGCTGCATAATTCTAAATCATTAGCAGAAATATTAACAGGTATAATAGTATCTATTTTGTTCATGTCCTATCTTAATTGGTTATTCTGCTCAAAGACTGCTTACATAAACATATATACATACATGTATCTGCATCCTCAGAGATAAATCAGAATGTTCAAAGAATGCTTAGAATGATTGAAGACAGTGAAGAACCTGAGTCAACGGAGAAATTTCTTTGCTTATATCAGTCTCTCGGTGAAACTTACAATGATTTGAACCAGGAGCTCCTCAACGGCCTTCTCAAACTGCCATGTTCCCTTGTAACTTCAATGGGGGCATTGAGCTCCTTTAAGCCTGATATATCTCTTGATTTGGAGTCAGGAACCTCTTACTCATCTCTGAATCACCAACTGGTCTCAACAACGAGTAGCGAAAAGTCGCAGAGCTTGAAACTACATGGTGAGGTTGAGAAGAACGACTCTGCATTTTTGCATGCTGATATGTTCTGTGCCGAGCTTGAAACTGCACGGAGAGAATTAGAAGTAAGAAACATAGACATTGAAACTGAGAAAAGACGTGTGCTTGACTTAGAAAGTAAGCTATCAGATTCAAGTCACAAGATTGAGAATTTGGAAAGCGAGCTCGACGAGGTTAAAGAGTGTTTAGGTGTGTCAGAAGCCGAGGTTTCAAAGCTAATGGAAATGTTGAGTGGATGCAAGACAGAGAAAGCGAAACCGCAGACCGATAATGCTGCTGACTTGTTAGATAGCCTGAGAACAGAGTTGAGATCAAGAGAAATACAAATTGAGCAAATGGAGGAGTATTTGAACCAGGTGTTGTGTCTTAAAGAAACTGAGATTATATCTGAGTCAGGAACCGACAAGAATGTTGTGGAAGAACTGAGAGCTAGAGTTCAAGTGCTGGAGAAACAAGTGGAGTTGCAGAGAAATGTGATAACAGAACGAGAGGAAGAGAAAAGAGAGGCTATAAGACAGCTCTGTTTCTCTCTGGATCATTACATGAACAGATATTTAGAGCTTGTAAGATCACTTTCAGACAACAAAAAGGTATGCCTTGTTAAGTAATTTGTAGACAATCCTAAACTTGTAGAAGAGGTCATATGTTTTTGAATGATGCAAACTAATATCTGACTTCATCTTATAATCAAAACTAGTGCTGAGCTAAGAGCTAAACACATGTTGCATCATCTTCTTCTACATGTTTTTTCATTGAAAGGATTTTATAATGCTGAGAGTAAACTTTAGGATAATTACTTCAGTGAATGTATAACTGAGTTTTTTATTATCTTATTTTGAAATTTAAAAATTTTATCGTTGCAAAATTATTACAGGATGACTATTTAAAGTTAAGTTTTTGATAACTTTCCTTTTCCACGAATCAAACCCAGCTTTCGTGACTCCTCAGTTATAATATTAACCGTCGTCGAATTTTCACTAAGTACAATGGAGAGGGGATCTTTAAAGTTGGTCATGCCATCGCTAATAACGTGCCAAAACAATGCTCCTGCGGCTGGGCCTCCTTTTTGAGCAGACTCGTAAATGGTGTCAAACGTTGCGTTGAACACTGCGTCTCTCTGAGCCTGAGTGTAGCCTGGTATGTTCGTTGGCTTCCCGAATTCTCCTAGGATTAGGGGTTTTCTAAGTATGTTCTGCGCATCTTCGAGGTGGTCTACGAGCCATTTTCTTAAGAAGTCCAACCGAGATTTCTCATCCAAGTTTGGAAACCTGCAAAATCAATAAGTTTGGGATGATAATGAACTTTTAAATACTAATTTATAGCAAAATTAATGATTTTAATAAGTTGATGAGTAAAAAAAAAACATTAGTATGAAAATGTGAGTTTATCATTGTAGCATTGTAACTTACCATAAGTCAGGGTAAGAGTGAATCGATGCAAAATCAATGGCATCGAGATTGTGATTAGCGATGAAATCAGTTCCAAGAACGTTGGCTGCAACAGGATTTAGAGAAGACTTTCTTTGAGGAGATGAGTCACCATAAAAGCCTTCAAGACCAGTAGAGAGGAGATGCTTTGAATCAACTAATTTCACGTAAGGAGCCATTTCATTAATCCAAGCCATAAGGGTTTTTCCACTTGGATCTGCTCTGCATTGTGGCTCGTTCATAAGCTCCCAACCCATAATAGTTGGTTCATCTTTGTATGCAACTTTGGTAAATGTATTCACTCTGTTCACCATAGTCTACAAAAAGAGATAAAATCAAAGAGATCATAGGTTATATAATTTTCGAGGGTCTAAAATATACTTTTTTGTTATGAGTAAATATTATTCAGTCTGAAGATTAAAGAAGATACATAAGTTGAAAAAAAAAAAAAAAAAAAGATACATAAGTTGAGTTAAATAGCTTTTGTACCTTGACGTGGTTCTTGTAGTACTGTTTAACAAGAGGGTTTGTGTAGAAATCGTCATCTGAAGATACGTTTTGGCCTGTGGTTTTAGCCCAATCCACGTATTGTTTCCTTCCACCGAAGTCAGAATAGTTATTGACAAAGGTGATTATCATTTTTATGCCGAGTCTTTTTGCTTCTGCTATCGCAAAATCCAAACCCTTTCCACCAGGAAAATTGTAAGAGTTAAGACAAACTAATTAATTAAGAATAAAAAACTATTTTTGAGCTGAAAAGCTTCACACTTGATGATAATTTATACACTTTAAAACAATATTTAACAATCGCAACATCATAACCAACAAATTCATTTAACAATGGAATAGTTTTCGTAAATTTATATTTTCTCTAATTGTTAAATTATTGAGTAGGAAAGAAATTACAAAGATTGTTTATGTATTTAAGAAATTTGAAAAATTAGGTTTTGCCCAAACCGTTTGGGTTAAAGTGCATTTGTTTTTCATATAACTAGATGAGGTTTGGGCCAAAGTTCAAATTAGTTCTCGCGGTTAACAGAAAACCAAACAAATTTTGGTGATCTATACGACTTAGAAAAGCTACAAGGGTACATCTATAAATAAATTTCTCTATGCGTTACTTACTTTAATTTTGAGTAAATCTCTCTATATCAAAGATCTACTTACCTGAAAAGTTTTTTCATCGTAGAAACCAGGGGCGATTTGGAGAGCGCGGTAGCCACCATCGCGGAACCCCCAGGTGCGGGCGATGGTCAAACCGTGAATGGTCGCATTTTGAAACACATAAGTGATCTTAAACCTTGTGGTCGGATCGGTGGCTTCGTACGCGAGCCAGTAGGCATTGAAGCCATTAGCATAAAATGGTTTCCCATTGAGAATAAATTGGACGCCTTTCCTACTCACGAACCCATCACTCGACACAGCTTTTACTCCTAGATAGCTAGAGTTTTGTGCGATCACAATCGCTAAAAACACGATAAGACACAAGTATTTCATATTCTTTTCTACTTTCTTTTTGTTTTTGTGCTCTATTCGTTTTCAACGAGTATATATATAGGGCATAAGTGCTTTCTTACAATTCCAATGCATGAACATTCACTAATTCGTGGATTTTCATAACTATACACGTGACATCCATAATATAAAAGAAAAATTTTAAACAATAATTTTTACATTCATATTCAATTCATCAAAATATAACAATTATTATTACTACACATAATAAGAAAATTAAAATTTATATTTGAGAGAATATCACTTTTTTATGATTTAGTTATTTTGTAATCTTTGTTTTAAAACTGTTCATTGACTAACTTTCATTGTGGTCAACATGTTGATTATCTTCCTAATCAATACTGGCCAACCATTTTTATTCTTGTAATGACCTTCTTTGGTTTTTCCCCTTGATATCAGTCAGCAAACTATATGATTTTTTTCCCTTGATACCACTTTAATTTCAAAATTCAGGGGTAGCTCATTCCAATTATGCTCATTTTAGTGTAGATTTATAGAAAGTAAAAAGTTATTATAGTGTTCAATTTGACTTTTTAAATTAAAATAGCTTACCAATTTTGATGCTATCCACTTCTTACATTATAGAGTAAGATAAACCCATATTGTTTAGCATTCCACAATTTTCATTAAATTCTCAAATTTTAATTGTTTAACATTTTCTTCTAAAGAAAACATATATGTTCTTTTTCAAAATCTATTTGCTATCTATAAAAGTTTAAATAACTTCTAAATTGAAAACAAATAAGAAAATATATTCTAGAATGAAATTTGGGGGAATGTTCAAAACATTGTTTCAACAATTAATATTATTTTTTGGATTTTTAGGTGCCAAATATCACAATCTAGTATACTGTATTATAGATTACTATATAATTAAATTTTAAAAACGCTCAACAGAAATCACATGTTTAACGCAAACACGAATGTTAGATATAAACACAGAGATATAAATTTTAGTTTAAACGCTAAATGCAAAGTCTATAGCAAACACACATACAAACATTGAAGCCAGCACAAATATAATCGATAACTCAAACACAGCTACAAAGCTAAATGCCAATGTTACTAAAAAAAGAAAAGACACAAATGCATAATGTTATCTTGAACGCAAACACATTACAATGTGAAAATGTAAAAGCAAACAATTAACTCTAATATGGATTATGCTGCATAATTTATGCATACGCAAAAAAAGTAAATGCCAAACTACAGCAACGCTTGATAATAGCGCTAAATGTTAAAGCTGAAAAAATAAAACTAAATATAGATGTTAAGACAATCAGTAAACAATATTTCTAAAACACACAAAACGCAAAACATGTAAACTTTTGTTTTTTCAATTAAAAACCACAAAAGCAAAACAAAACAAAACAAAAACACAAATAGGCTCCAGAAAAACTAGTTTGGGAGTGGTTAGAATTTTAAGATTGTTTATACGTCAACAATTACAAAAAATTAAAAATGAGATTTCCGTTTATGAAACTTCTAAACGTAAAGCTATTATCTGGTCGGTCCCCTTAATATGATATTTGTGGGCCACTACGAGATCGTTACTTATCATAGTGAGGCCCAATAGGCCCACTGAAGACTCTATAGTGCTGCTGACTTAGCCTAAGAGCAGAATTGAGAGATCAAGAGACATCCAAATATAGTTTTGGAATTAGAAAAAGTAGGATATCATTTCAGTATATATAACTGACTTTTTTATTATTTTATCATTGAATTACATATTGTTATTGTTGCAAATTTATAAATGCTATAAAATATACAGAAAGACCCTATTTAAATTATAGTTTTTTATTTTGCTGACTTAAGTCTATTTCCCACCAATCAAACCCAGCTTTCTTGACTGCTCACTTATAATATTAACCGTCGACGATTTGTCACTAAGTATAATGGAGGAGGGACCTGCAAAGTTGCTCATGCCGTCGCTAATAAGTTCCCAAAACAATGCTCCCGCGGCCGGACCGCCTTTTTGGGCAGACGCGTAAATGATGTCATACGTTGTGGTGAACACGGCGTCTCTATTAGCCAGAGTGTAGCCTGGTGTGTCCGTTCCTAACCCGAATTCTGATAGAATTAGAGGTTTTTTAAGAATGTTCTGCGCATCTTCGATGTGGCCTTGGAGCCATCTTCTTATGAAGTCTAATCGAGAGTTCTGATTCAACTTTGGCAACCTGCGTAATTCCAAAAAGCTTAGAATGGTAGTCGATTTGTAAACCCTAATAACATTTTTTTTAGATAGCAAAATCGACGTTATCTCTTACATATATACGCTTAGGATAGATGAATATATGAAGTTTTACATACTGATATGGACATAAAACAAACTTTTAAATTGCTAATTTTGCAAAAGAAAAACTCGAAGATAAATCCCTAATAAAAGCAAAATAAATGTTTTTTCTAGGTTGATGTGTTAAACAAGGAACAAAAAAAGAGCATGAATAGTATTTCTGAAAGATTGTTTTGTACAGTATAAAAGTTAGTGTGAATATGTGTACAGATGGGCACTGTGTCATACCATAAGTCAGTTCCACAGTGCATTGATGCGAAATCAATGGCATCGATATTGTGATTAGCTATGAAATCAGCTCCAACTCTGTTGGCTGACACTGGATTTAGAGTATTCTTTCTTTGAAGAGATGAGTCACCATAGAAACCTTCATGACCAGTGGAGAGGAGATGGTTTGGATCAACTGATTTTACATAAGGAGCCATTTCATTAATCCAAGCCATAAGGGTTTTCCCACTTCGATCTGAACCGCATCGTGGCTCGTTCATAAGCTGCCAAGCCATAATGGCTGGTTCATCTTTGTATGCAACTTTAGTAAATGTATTTACTCTGTTCACCATAGTCTACAAATAGAGATAAAAATATCATGGGTCCCTTATATAAATTATGGTGTAAAATATATTTTTGTTACGAATCTTCAGAGATTAAAGAAGATATAAAGTTTGGTTAATTTGTATTGTTTTTTACCTTGACGTGGTTCTTGTAGAACTGTTTAACAAGTGGGTTTCTGTAGAAATCGTCAATGGAAGATACCTTCTCGCCTTTACTTCTAGCCCAATCCACGTATTGTTTTTTTCCTCCGTAGTCATCCCAATTATTGACAAGGGGGATTATCAATTTTATACCGACTCTTTTTGCTTCGGCTATCACAAAATCCAAACCCTTGCAAAAAATATAAAGACAAAATAATTAACAAAAACGTAACAAAGATTTATGTTGAAAATGCTAAAGGCGTTACACTTACCTGAAACGTTTTTTCATCGTAGGAACCAGGGGCTGTTTGGAGAGCGCGGTATAAGGCGCCATCGCGGAACCCCCAGGTGCGGGCGATGGTCAAACCGTGACTAGTTGCGTTTTGAAACACATTAGTGATCTTAAATCTTGTGGCCGGATCGGTGGCTTCGTACGCTAGCCAGTAGGCATTGAAGCCATTGGCGTAAAATGGTTTCCCATTGAGAATAAATTGGACGCCATTCCTGCTCACGAACCCATTACTCGACGCAGCTTCTACTCCTACATAGCTTTGTGCTGTCACAATCGCTAAAGACACAATAAAACACAAATACTTCATATTCTTTTCTACTTTCTTTTTGTTTTTGTGCTCTTATCGTTTTCAACGAGTATATATAGAGGGCATAAGTGCTTTCTTACAATTGGAATGCATGAACATTCACTAATTCTTGGATTTTCATAATTACTCGCGTGAAATCCATAGTAAATAATAAATCATCAATATACAATATTTCTTACATATAGTTATCAAAATAATAACAATAATATATTCTTCTTATTATAATTATGATTTATTGCCTACAATAAGAACAAATTAGAATTTATATTTGAGAGAATATCACCTTATCATTAAATTATTATTAATAATAATATATAAGTTATTTTGTAATCTTTAACTAGAAGTTGTTAATTGACTAACTTTCCATTGTGGTCAACATACTGATTATCTTCAAAATCAACATGGGCTAATTAATTGGGCCTATTTGATCAAAATAAATAATAATGATTGGGCCTATATTTTTATTCTTGTAATCACTATCTTTGTTCTTTTCCCCTTGATATGAGTTAGCAAAGTAGGTAAAAATCATGTTATATTAATAATATTAGTTGAATTATATAAATTCCAATTTCCAGTGGTAGTTAATTCCAATTCTGCTCATTTTAATGTAAATTTAGAAAATAAAAGTAATTTTTGAGTTCTATTTGATTTTTTAACTAAAATAGGATTTTTACCAAAGTTGAAGTGCTGGAGAAGCAAGTGGAGTTGCTGAGAAATGTGATAACAGAACGAGAGGAGGAGAAAAGAGAGGCTATAAGACAGCTCTGTTTCTCTCTTGATCATTACATGAACAGACATTTAGAGCTTGTTAGATCACTTTCAGACAACAAAAAGGTATGCCTTGTTAAGTAATTTGTAGAAAATCATAAACTTGTAGAAGAGGTCATATGTTTTAAACTTTAGGATATTATTTAAATTTTAGTTTTTGATAACTTTCCTTTTCCACCAATCAAACCCAGTTTTCTTGACTTCTCACTTATAATATTAACTGTCGTCGAATTTTCACTAAGAACAATGAAAAGGGGATCTTTTAAGTTGGTCATGCCATCGCTAATAACCTGCCAAAACAATGCTCCAGCGCCTGGGCCACCTTTTTTAGCAGACTTGTAAATGGTGTCAAACGTTGCGATGAACACGGCATCTCTCTGAGCCTGAGTGTAGCCTGGTGTGGTCGTTGGTTTCCCGAATTCTCCTAGGATTAGAGGTTTTCTAAGTATTTTCTGCGCATCTTCAATGTGGCATTCGAGCCATTTTATTAAGAACTCCAATCGAGATTTCTCATCCAAGTTTGGAAACCTGCAAAATCATAAAGTTTTGGATGATAATGAACTTTTAAATCCTAAAAAATGATTTTTCATATTAATAAGTTGATGTGTTTTAAAAAAAAACGAGTTAGTATGAAAATGTGAGTTTATCATTATATATTGGGCATTGTAACTTACCATAAGTCAGGGTAAGAGTGAAGCGATGCGAAATCAATGGCATCGAGATTGTGATTAGCGATGAAATCAGTTCCAAGAACGTTGGCTGCAACCGGATTTAGAGATGTCTTTCTTTGAGGAGATGAGTCACCATAGAAGCCTTCAAGACCAGTAGAGAGGAGATGCTTTGAATCAACTGATTTCACATAAGGAGCCATTTCTTTAATCCAAGCCATAAGGGTTTTTCCGCTTGGATCTGCTCTGCATTCTGGCTCGTTCATAAGCTGCCAAGCCATAATGGCTGGTTCATCTTTGTATGCAACTTTTGTAAATGTATTCACTCTGTTCACAATAGTCTACAAATAGAGAGAGATAAAGATATAATGGGTCCCTTATTAAAATATATTTTTGTTACGAATCTTAATTAAGAGATTAAAGAAGTTTAGTTAATCTGTATTTTTTTTTTTTTACCTTGACGTGGTTCTTGTAGAACTGTTTAACAAGTGGGTTTCTGTAAAAATCGTCAACGGAAGATACCTTTTGGCCTTTACTTTTACCCCAAGCCACGTATTGTTTTTTCCCTCCGTAGTCATCCCAGTTATTGACAAAGGGGATTATTAATTTTATACCGACTCTCTTTGCTTCGGCTATCACAAAATCCAAACCCTTGAAAAAATGAAGACAAACTAATTAACAAAAAAGTAACAAATATTTAGGATAAAAAGGCTTCATAGTTACCTGAAACGTTTGTTCATTGTAGGAACCAGGGGCTGTTTGGAGAGCGCGGTCTAAGGGGCCATCGCGGAACCCCCAGGTGCGGACAATGGTCAAACCATGACTAGTTGCGTTTTGAAACACATTAGTGACCTTAAATCTTGAGGCCGGATCGGTGGCTACGTACGTGACCCAGTAGGCATTGAAGCCATTGGCGTAAAATGGTTTCCCATTGAGAATAAATTGGATGCCTTTCCTACTCACGAACCCATCACTCGACGCAGCTTCTACTCCTAGATAACTACAGTTTTGTGCGATCACAATCGCTAAAAACACGATAAAACACAAATGCTTCATATTCTTTCTTTTTTGTTTTTGTGCTCTAAATCAGTGATTATGTAGTTATATATGGAGAGTTATTCTTCTTATGATTTATTACCTACAAGAAGAACAACTTAGAATTTATATTTGAGAGAATATCGCCTTATCATTAAATTAATAATAATATATGGTATTTTGTATATTTAACGAAAAATTATTAATTGACTAACTTTATTGTGGTCAACATATTGATTATTTTCCTAATCAATATGGGCTTAATATGGGAAAATATTTTTATTCTTGTAATCACTATATTTGTTCTTTTCCCCTTGATATCAGTTACCAAAGTAGGTAAAAATCAAGTTATTTTCATTTTATTATATTAGTTGAATTTCTATAACTTTCAATTTACAATAAAGGTAATTTCTGAGTTCTATTTGGTATTTAACTAAAATAGGATTTTTCCTACCAATTTTAACTATCCATTTCTTATCATACATTATAATAACCCATGTTTGGTTTGCATTCCAAGATTGACATAAAATTTTGAAATTTTAATCATTTAATCTCATGTAAAAGAAAATATAGTGTCAAAATTTACTATTCATAAATTTAGAAATTATTCTAAATCAAACCTAAAAGAAGAAATATTTTCTAAAATGAAATTTGGGCAAATATCATTGAAGCTATTTTTCTTAGAAAAAGAGGTCAATATGACAATATAAATGTGAGTTCAAGCGCCGACTTAAAGATTGTTCATACTTTTTCTTTTTTTGAACTGGATTGTTAACTGTTTATCAAAATTTCTTTACGTGATCCCGTGGACGTTAAGAGGCCCAATAAGGCCCATACATTGGCACTGCCAAGTAGAAAATGAAGCAGTCCGTAGATTAAGGGAGTTGTTGTGGAAGTTGCCACTGAATGCAAACACGAGAAGGGCCGTTGAATAAATCATTCTTATTATATTTTCAAATATTGTTTTTTGGTTTTTACTTTTACCAAAAACAAGGGGTAAAAGTTTCAAACACACAAGAAAACAAATTCCGATCATCACATTCTTTATGAATTACTCGCTCTTTTTTTTTTTTAAGAATACTTGGATCGTAATTGTTGCATATTGAGTTTGTATTTCTTCCGTTTTGTAAGTATTTTTTGGTTTAACATTAAACCAAAAAAATATATATATATTTTTTGGTTGGGCTTCTTTTTCTAAAGAAATGATGTATTGGTTGCTCATATATTAAAACTATGATTAAACTATCTACATAATATAATTATGACATATTTTTAACATTAGATCCATAAGGAACGAGACCAAATCTGGTTAATTAATCAAATCCATTTTCCGTTGTCGATACTTAAAACTCCAAATCTTGAAAATTCTCCTACTTAGGTGATCAGTACACCAGTTAAAGTGTTGACACTTGACACCGTATGTCCGTATCTTTCAATTAGTATGTAATTATTTTAAACTAATTAATAAAACGTAAAAATTAGCAAAGACTTGCTTGATTTCAAGAAAACCCATCACACTAAATTCACCAGCACAAGAATATGTGTAAATAATCACATTAGTTTGCACACACACAAAAAAAACAATTATGAAACCAACAAACAAAAACCAAGCTCACTTGAGAGAGCATAGTTAAGAAATCACCATCATGTCCCTATACGATGGAAACTACCATGTCCTCGTCCCGCCGGGAAACAGCCATCGGCGACGGCTGCTCAAGGAGTAGCGATTGTCTACAAGTGGGGCAAGAGGAACGTGAGAGCAACCAAGTATCGATGCACCTCACGTGGAAGCCATGGTTACATTTAGGCAAAACCCTAACTTTTTCTCCGTCTTCGAAATCTCCGAGACAGATCAAACACTCCGTAGCTTTCATGTCAATGATTCCTGATCCGTACAATCCCACGGGGATTTGTTTCAACGCCTGTTTCTTGAGCCCTGTGGTAGCCGCTAAACGTCTTGAATTTGCGTTTGCGTTTGAAGCGTTTGCGACTTGATCATCCGAAGTGAATCTCCGAGTTATGCGTAGCACACATCGCAAGGCAGAGTTGAGGCTTAGAGCACAGATTAAAGCACAGAGTAAAGCAGCTAAAATGATAACCATGTTAGTGTCGAAGTAGGTATCGTTTATGCCTCCTTTGGGTTTAGGGTTTGCGTCGGCAGGTGCGTTTGCTTGTGGCTCAAGTAGCAACCGACCCATCTTTTGAGGTTCGCTTGAGAAGCAGAGGAGAGAAAAAAGCTTGAATTACTTCACCTTCAAGATTCGTGTCGTTGTTGGTCAAATCGAATGACAAAAGAGATGGAGAAGAGAGAATCGATATCCCTCATGTTCTTAAAAAACTCTCAATTAATTAATTGCACTCTTTATTTCTGAGCTTTGATCTTTTTCTGATTTGTTTCTTCCTCGTGACTTGTGTGTAAAGATGAGGGGAGGCAAAAATATTTATGTCAAGATTGTGATAAAAAGAGTCATAAATGAATTTATGGGCGACTCTATTTAGAGAGTTATAGAGAGATGATGATGTGGTTGGTCCAAGATTTTTTTTTTTTTTTAAAGTAGAAATTCTTTGGTTTGAAAAATTACTATTATTTATATATGTAGCAAGTGAATGGTCACTTTTAATTTTGTTTGTATTGGTTGAGGTCAATATTTTTTATTCGCTCTACTAACCAATGTCAATTTCTAGCCCTATATATTGGTCGAGAATCAGTGATTTTCATATGAATATAAGCAAAATAAAAAGTAAGAACTTTGATTTACAATTTCATGCAAAAAAAAACACAAATTCTAGCATGTAATGAGCCACTATACTATTTTTGTTCAATTCTTTGTTGTATACTTGTATCGGTGTGTATTATTAATTTGGATAAATATAAAGGATAGAGCAAAGAAGAAGACAAATAAGAAAACGATTAGTTTAGTAGATATCAGAATTGACAACTAACAAACTCATTATTAGTGGTTTTAAGAACTTTGGAATCAAGCTAAAAGGAATTAATTCTCAAATAACAAAAAACTACAAATGAGATTTGATGTAGAAAAGATATATTGGATTATATATAAACTGTATGGTTGGGGTATCATATTCCCAACTAATCATGAAGAATATAATTAACATATCATATATATATATATTTATTCCATGGTTTTTGGTTTTCTTGTGGTAGACACATCTTTAATAGCCAATTTGGTTTTGGTTACCAACTTGGTTTTGTGTAGTTGGTCAAGGCCAAAAGATTTTACATTTATTTGTTCATTGCAAATATCATATGATGGTTTGTAAAAATTCGAAGATTATCTAGATTCCGATGATGAAATCTTATGTGTATATATGTAGTTGGTTTATGAATCGAATGGTCCATACAAAATTCATGTGGCACTTACGGGTCCACAAGTATAAGAAGTCCAATTCAAACACACTAATTAATGTAGTAATACAAACGAAATTAAATAGAATTACGAGTTCACGCAAAGGTCACAACACTTGTCTCTCTTAGCTTCAATAGTTCCATTAGTTGATAACAACACCTCAACGTGTGAGATCCATCAAACCCCATACACGAGTATATTGTGTGTATTTACTATGTCTATTTATCAAATTCAAATACTTGGTTAGAAGTTGCTATGGGTCTCATATATTCAGAAAATTTAAGGTACTCGTATTTAATTCGTATATGCACAGATAACATCTATATTTATGTCTAATTCGAGTTGTTAGTTGGTAGCCATTTTAATTTATACTAGACATACAAATGAAATAAAAAGTCGAAGAATTAAAAAGATGAATTCATGATAAGATTTATTATATACAAGCAAATGAGTACTGTATAAAATTTGAAATATAACATATATACAACCAAGTTGATATATTTTACTGGCGAAATTTTTTATTGTAGAAATGGTTGGGAATCATGTCCACCTACAAAAGAGTGTGATACCAGTAATATTCTTTTAATTAATATAATATATAGTAGGTGGACATGCAGATTGAAGACTATATTATCATAGAATTCATTTTTTTTTATATTATCATAGAATTCATTTTAGTTATATATTATACATATTGAAAATGATAGTAGTTGAAAGAAACATGAGAAATAAAAATGTGATTCGTAGGAATGCGTAATAGAGTTGAATCATCCTCATGGAATTGACCATATATAACACAAATCAACACCTACTCATTCATATAGTAGTCATTACTTGTAGACTTGTAGCATTGTTTTTTTTTCCTGACGTCAGACTTGTAGCATTAACTAATCCAATTCTTTTTTTGACAGCATTAAGTCATTAATTACTCCAATTAAATTGGGTAAGGGAGATTCTTCTATTGATAATTTCGTATAAGCATATAACTTATGTGACGTGGACACGTGACCTAACAATACTTGGTATATGGGCTTTTAACGTTGGGCTGGTCAAATCCATCTGAAATGTGAGAATTTTGCTCTGCGCAGCGACGTCGTTTAGGGCCAATTTTAAGCTTCTCCAACAGTGGTGTTAGACAAAGGCAAAGTTAATTTAGTTGAACAAAGAAACCATCATATATTCATTCTGGATATGGCGTTTAGTTATACTACAAATGGTGAATAACAAGAAAAACTAAACAAAAACAAGTAAAAGCATTCTCAGAATCACCAAAGTTAAGCTCATGAATCTTTATCGTTGGTTAAGCCCCATGAGAGTCTGCTTATAACATTTTCGTCCACTATTTTGTAGTGGTGAGACAACCGCCTGTGTATCGTCCCGCAACACTTGTCTACTTTGCTTTGATATTTACTGTACAAAGCGGGTATTGTTACAGATAGGATTGTCCCTGTTCACACCATAGAAAGAATAAACTACATATAAGACTTAGGTTTCACTGAGTTAAAAACAGCAATGTCGCGGGAACTAAAACGATATCAACAAGCAAGATAACGGATTAAAAGGTTATGAATGGGGGAAGAAACTGAATGATCAAAAACCATAAGCATTTTCTTTCATTTCCATTTAGGGATCAAGTTACTAACCGATATAAACAAGAGTGCAGAGAGATATATAGCTACCAATGGCAGAGAGAAGCCACAGACAAATCACCACCTGCTAAAGAAAAATCGTCAGAACAATAGTTCAGATGCTTAACGGTTCCCATGTCGTTTCACTCAATATCATTGTGAGTTTATATAAGGGTTCACTTCGTAACCTTGAAGAAGAGTCGAAAATCGTTGCCAACTGTGACATCATGAGCCATTACAAGCAAGTGATTGAGTTTTATACGGAACGAAGCTGCGGCACTATTCACCATTTCCTCTGATAGAACAAGCTCTGGTAACGAATGCGACTGTCTGCTTATTACGAGATAACAGGTAGTAGAGATCATCAGTCAAAAAAACAGCAAAGAATTATGAAAAAGACTAGTGAAAAGTAGCGCGCACCTTTTCCTAAAAGCAGAAACCCGGGCATGGACGAATGATATTATGATCCCAATGAGTAAGACATCTGAAGAAACAGATAAGAAAGGCAACCCGGAAAACTCGAATATAAGCCAGGCTACAGTTGATATAATGATAACCCCCAAAGAAAGATGTCGTCTCCTCCATAAGAGCAAGTCAGCAGCTGGATCAAAGAACAAAGCCATACAAAATCATAACCCTCGCAAATGTTCTAAGAACTTCACAAACAGTAGCTTTTTGCTGGGCATAAGAACTCATCTATTTCTCATTCAAGATCAAACCTAAACCTAACTTTCACCTGCCAAGTTTTTCATTTTCTACTAAACCCAAAATGCTAATGTACTTGCACACAAGACGATTTCACAACCAACCAAAATCAGAAACCCTAACTATTCCAACTATCATCCCCAATAGGCATTTAACGTTCTGTAAATCCGAGAAAATTCTCATCGGAAACTACCCAAATGATGAAAAAGAAAACACAAATTTGGAAAAAAGAACTCGCCTTTGCCACCGCCCATGAACTGATGAACCGTAACTTGCCGACCCAATAATCGATAATCCGATGACGATCCTCCTTCATTTCTTCCATCGCAATCACCATCGATATCACTTAAACTATCCATCGGAAAATCCCAAAAACCCAAGTTTACACAAATTCTCCGACTTCCAGGGTACAATTCCGATCTCACCAACTCCTGATCGAAAAATTCTCACCTTAAATCTGCGATCTCAGATTTTCCGAGAACAATGATGGTTTCTGAGCCAGAAAAAGCAACTACGATTGATCGGAGAATGACAGCGATTGGGTGGATTATCAAGGAGGAACCAAATAAAATTGGCTTTTACATGCATCGATTTTCAACATTTGGAATTTCTCCGATTCTAGTCAACTTTCTTCATTTCTTTATATTTTCTCGAATCATAATTATAAATAACAGCCGTCACAAAAAAAAAAAAAAAATATATATATATATATATATATCTTAAGGCCTTGGGCTTACTAGTCCAATATTTCGGCCCATATTACATAGCCACGGTCACTTTAGTTATACGTGACAGGCAGTGATTTTATCATTGCTCTCCACGTATACACATTTTCATTTTTGAGGAAGGAGAAAGAATCTTCTTCACTGTGTGGTCTATCAATCAATCCAAAGAAACAATGGCGATTCGTTGTGTAGCGAGTAGAAAAACCCTAGCCGGCTTGAAGGAGACATCATCGAGGTTCTTAGGATTCAGAGGGATTCAGACTTTTACGCTTCCTGATCTTTCTTACGATTATGGCGCATTGGAACCGGCGATTAGTGGAGAGATCATGCAGATTCATCACCAGAAGCATCACCAGGCTTATGTTACTAATTACAATAATGCTCTTGAGCAGTTGGATCAGGCTGTGAATAAGGGAGATGCTTCTACCGTTGTTAAGTTGCAGAGCGCTATCAAATTCAACGGCGGAGGTGTGTGTGTGTGTGTCTGACTTTTTATTTTTAATTTTCCGATCTCGAATATATGAGTTTGATCGATTGGTTTGTGTTTAGATCATATTTGTTTGATCGTATTTGAATGAGTTTGATCGATTGGTTTGTGTTGATTTAGTTGGAGAGATTTTGCTTTGAACATAGAAGCTGATGATTTATTTTGATGACTATAGTTTGAAATTAGGATTGTTGCTTCTTGAGCTCAGAACTAGTTGGATTTATAGAAGAGAAATTTCGCAGAGAAACTATTGGAAATGAATTGAGGTTTTTTGTGGTAGAGAATGAAAATTGATGGAGTGTATTTGTATTGTGCAGGTCATGTCAACCATTCGATTTTCTGGAAGAACCTTGCTCCTGTCAATGTGAGCTTGTGTTCTGAGTTTCTGTGTATTTCTTCCATTTCGTTGTTCTGCAATTAATGGTTTCTTTTAATGTATAACAGGAAGGTGGTGGAGAGCCACCAAAAGGATCTCTCGGCAGTGCCATTGACGCTCACTTTGGTTCCCTTGAAGGTCTGGTGAAAAAGATGAGTGCTGAAGGTGCTGCTGTGCAAGGCTCCGGATGGGTGGTCTGTTGTCTACTTTCGCTTTTAAAGTCTTTAGGTCACATTGCTGACTTTGGTGCTTTACTTCTTAACCACGGTCACTGTTTCGCTTGTTTGTGTTGATTGATTCAGTGGCTAGGTTTAGACAAAGAACTGAAGAAGCTTGTGGTTGACACAACTGCCAATCAGGTAACTTATCGATGATCAGGAATGGATTCATTTAGCGTTGCCGCTATCTTGATATTCATAAACATATGTGAGATTAATGGATTTTAAAGAAAAAGAGTTTGTTTGGGGTGCAGGATCCATTGGTGACAAAAGGAGGAAGCTTGGTGCCTCTGGTGGGTATAGATGTTTGGGAGCACGCCTACTACTTGCAGGTAACAACACTTTTGATACCTTAAGACTCATGAGTTAGCTTATAAGATTAAACTCTTTAATCACTCTTTATTTCTCTCATTCAGTACAAAAATGTGAGGCCGGAGTATCTGAAGAATGTATGGAAAGTGATCAACTGGAAATATGCGAGCGAGGTTTATGAGAAGGAATGCAACTGAATCGTTACACGATGACATAAGGAGAGGAACCAGTTCCAGCTCGGATTTGTTTTTAAGGTTGTCTGAAACAAACATACAATGTCTCTTTGGTTTTTGAGTTTTGCTCAACTGAGCTGTGTGGTTCGTTGTTTTACAATAAAAGTTTTCAAGAAGAATTTTTATTGCTATTTTTGTTAGAAAGCTATTGTTTCTTCTATGAAGAAAACAAATCGGAATCCTTACAATTTTTTTGGAATAATTACATAATTTCAATTAAACAATCACTAATTTTTCTCGTTTTTCATTATTCGACCCATATATGACAGCGATATTATAACGACGAAATTTGGGAAATAATGCATACACTAGTGTAATAAAATGCATTTATCATACTGTGTCTGCGTTGTGGAAAATGGATCATAGTCAAGTCTCATAAAAGACGCGTCAAAACAATTTACGCCTTGGCCCCTATAATTTTAGCTCTTTCTTGGAAGTTACCCCAAAACAAAAACAATGTCAATTTCAATGGTAGCCTCTTGACAACTTTTGTGCGTTTAACTTCGTAGTCTAATAAAATTGATAAATAAATAATCATAGGAAGTAGTAAGCTGATGAACATTTATCAAACAAATATTGATAAATCGATACAAAATGATAATCTGAATTTGATCATTTCGATTAAAAATGACCACATAATATCCTATTTTTTTCCTAAACTACTACTGTGATTTTCTGTAATACATGTAACATTTACAACAATCTCTATATGAAAAAGAAAAATCAAAGAATCTCTAAAGGACAAAAAGAAAAGTAAGAATTAGGACAGAAAACTCGACAAAGAACAGTTCTAAGTCTTGACGTCGTTAGTTTTCTTGCTGGGCCCAGACCCCGGACGATTCCCTTTCGGAAGAGCATTCAACACCAAGGAGCCGAACTTTCCGGCGACAACTTCAGGAACAAAAGAAGAGTATTCCGTCTTCGACTCCTGCTCGCCTCCGCAACCCACCGCCGCCGACTTAGAAACAGGAGGGATCTCTCCGGAGAAGACGACGTCATCAATGACCGGAAGAAACTCTCCGGGTAAGATCCTGGCCGTCGATAGAGAGACGGACATGAAAAGAAGAATCATCAAAAGTAAAGATCTGTAAATCGCCATTCGTAAAGGTCTTTTTTGTGGACTTTTTCTTGTGTTTGGAATTAGTGAAGAAGTGGGTGAAGATAAAAGAGAGAGTGTATAGAAATATATATACGGAGTTTGTGAAGGTGAGAAGAAAGGTCAACGGGAGTTGGAAAACGTACGCGGCAAGTGTCGGACTTAAAAAATAGAGAGTTGAATAAATCGGTCTTTTCCATCGAGTCCAACTAAAATATCATTTTTACTTGTAACGAGTTAATTTTAGTTTTGTTTTTAAAATTTCTAACGTGTGTGGTAAGCTTAAAAAAAAACATAAAAATATACGATTCGGTTATCGATTATTTTTTTGTTTATCGATTATTTCTATTTTACAACTCTGCTATTTCGATGTTTACCCATTGAAAACCAAAGTAATATGCTACCATATTAAACATTTAATTTTCTTGTTGTAGAAAAATATGATTTTGTTAAAAAAATTTAACTTTCTGCCTTTCACGATTATTTGCTGATCGAATTATTATATTCAATTTTTAGCGTATTTTTGGATGGAATGCAAACAACAAAGATATGCTTAGTTTATAAATAGGGTCTAATGTTTATATAAAATAGTAGAAAACAAAGAGTGAAAGAGACCATTGAGAAACAGAAAACGTTTATAGATGAGTGACATGAGTCGGAAATATGATATCCATTTATTATTGTGCTTATTTTGTTTTGTCAAACTTATTGTGCTGAAATTGATAGATTATTTTATAGAGTATGATAATGTATTACATAAGGACATTTTGAATAACATTCACGAGTTTCATCATCAATTATACTATTAACAAGAACATTAAACAGGTATGCAACTATTGCATCTATTTTGAAAAGTTTGTGCATTTTGTTGTGTGGATCAACAAACTATATATACAAACATTTTCATGAAACTAAAAACAATAGTAATAAGGGAAAAAGCTGAACAAAACATTTCCTTCATTACCAATTTGTTCAAATAAATGAATGTACTACATATCAAATAAAAAAAATATAAAAAATAATAATAAGATTTACACTTTTTAAGTCATTAATGGAGTTTCCAACTGCTACCAACAAAAGCCGAAGCCCACCGTCACTTTTGACCGTGTCCTTCTTCTTGTTCCCCAAGTCTCTCCCAACACACTCACACTCTCACCGTCTTACGCACCAAATACACACACATGCTTTTACACTTATTAACGTGTGTGTGAACTTATATAACTTTTGTCTCCTTTATTAGATGTGCCAAATTTTCAACATTAGTTTGTAGATAACACGAACGTCATTTATTGGATATTTGCGGTACAACTTTATGGGTTGCTCATGAGAGTTGAAAATATGACTTTTGTGCGTAGAAAGCAGACATATTTTCTTCTAGTTTAAGCCTAAAGGTAAAGAAAAAGCAGAGTTTATAGTCTTGATAGATTCTCTAAGTTTTTTATGGGGTCGTTGGGTCGAAAACACATTGACCATAGGCCAAGAATATTGGAACATTCACATGAGCTAAGTGCTTTTCTTATGAAAAATCTCCCTAGATCCGCTAACCAATTCTGTTGAAAACCAAAGTCAAGTGTTCTGCTGAGTCGTGCCATCACTTTACCAAATATCAAAACAGTAAAAAATCCTTCATCTAAGTGTATGTATATAGACTTGTAGACCTTGACAACAAGAACCACAGGGTTCATGACAACAAGGTCGATTAATATGCAGAGGTTTTGTAGTCATCAGTAGCTTTAGAATATACAAAAGTCTAGATTTTATTCGAAATTATACATATGCTCTACTAATTTTCAGGTTCCACGGAGGGCCCGGACACGTTCTTGAATCAACTTCCTTTCCCAATCGGCAATGTCCTCGAATGCGTTCTCAGGGAGACTTTCAAAGGGCTCTTTCCAGGGATCGTTCTTAGCCAGATCGTATGTTGCGCCACGGATGGCTCCTTTGTTAGGCCCGCATGGACGCTTCGATACCAAATTGTCATAAGCCGTGTTTAGCTGTTCAAAGCACAGAATCAGAACGCAAAAAGTATGAAACTTTCTTGAGTGTTTTGGATTGAAGTTGAGTGAGACGTTTTAACTTACATTCATGTCGCAGAACCAATACATATAAGCAATCGAAACCCCTGGAGCTCTTCCCAACCCGGCTGAGCAATGCACGTAGACTCTTCCTTTACCTTCTGAAACCGCCCATTCCAAAGAAGAAACAGCTTTTGGAAGTTGGCTTCTCAATGAAAGTGGATCGAAATCTTTAGCCTAACAGATATGTAAACAAGAAAACCACAATTGATTAAAATCTCAGCTTCTCATGACTCCACAGTTTGACAACACAAGAAATGTTCCTTACGGGCCTTCTCATGTGACGGATTCCAAGCTCTTTACATCTTCGAACAATGGAATCCAAATCGATTCCCCAATACTCAATGTCCTTGTCCTGCTGCAAGTTAAGTATGTAAGCAACATTCTGTTCCTGCTTCAAGTGATCTATGTCCTCAGGTTTCTGTGGCTGCGACCCAACGATAAGTTCATCTCTTATCAATGTATAGTTCATACCTGAAAACAGGACAAATACCAAAAAGTGTATGAAACATCATCATATACAACCTTGGATCCACAAGAAACACTAAATCCTTGCAACACAGCCAGAAATTTTCATAAATCTATCTCTGTCCATGATTGTTCATCCAATGTGTTACCCAAAATTCACTGTCATAGATGCTTTTAGCTTCAAACAAAACACTAAATTCTTGTATCAATTTTCATAAATCTATCTCCAAGGTCAAGAAACCATAACTTTCAAAGTTCTTGGAACTCAAACAACTAGACTCAGCTTCCACGAGAACACTCTCTCAGTTCTAATCTAATAAGAGAACTATAATCTAAAAGGAATTCCATGCTTGATAAAAATGTAAATACCCAGATCATGATGATATTCATAAGGGCTCCTCATCAATCTCTTCATAGCTGTATTGTAATCCTCCATTTTGTTCTTGGAGCTAAGAGAAACCCCATTTGTTCCTGGATTTTCACCAGAGATTTTGCAGGAAACTCCCGCCAGATTTCTGGGAAATCTCAGATCAAGCGACGATTTCTTGTTGATAGAAGTGAAGCAAGAAGATTTCTCAAATTCTCGGGAGTATCTAGTCACCGAGAAAATGCAGCTTTTGGTTCCAATCACACTCATCGTTCTCTTGCTCTCTCTATCTCTCGTTCTTCACCTGATGCAACATTGAAATCTGCAATTTGCAATAATATGTCACACAATGACACAAACGAAAACGACACTGTCTTATTGGGCTTTTATTTAATGGGCTTTTAAATAATAGATTATAGCCCATTAGTATAACCCTAATTCACTTAATAGTTAATCCCCTGTACTTATCGTAACGAGCAAAGCCTAGAGATCCTCCTTCTTCGCCGGAACTTGCCCGTCTTCTGCTTTCCTCTCTAAGCCGGCGAAAATGGTGAGTTAATCTTCTGTGTCGTGTATATGAAATGAATCTCTCTGATTTGAAAATATATCTTTCATTACTCTAGATCATTAGATAGAGAGATTTTTGTGATTCTATCTATCTGATTGGAGGTAGTGATTAAGTTAACTTTCATTGCTAGATTTTGTAGAGATTATTCCAGAACGTAGGATTCTTGTTTCATTTCTATTGTCTGAGCTTGTTTTTGATTGTTTCGTTCTTTCAACCTTTTTCTTTTTTGTGGATTTCAGACCAAGAGAACGAAGAAGGCTGGAATTGTCGGCAAATATGGTGAGTATACAGAAACCAATGCTTGGCTGTAGTTTGAAGTATGCAACTTTAGAATTCTCTTGATTCATATGTTGAAATATTAAACCTTGTTTACTTGGTTAGAAGAATTAGTTTCAGATCATGAACAGAGGAGTGAAACGTCTCTATTATAATAACTGAATCCTCAATCTGAATCTGTTGAATTTTTTTTGTCTCTGCGAAGGAACACGATATGGTGCCAGTCTTAGGAAGCAGATCAAGAAGATGGAAGTGAGTCAACACAGCAAGTACTTCTGTGAGTTCTGCGGAAAGGTAACTCTCATTACCTTCTCTTAAGTAACATATTGTCATTGAATTCAGTAAGGCTTTTAGTTTGCATGTTTTGCATTTGGTCTAAATAATTTTTGGTATCTGATGCAGTATGCCGTTAAGAGGAAAGCTGTTGGCATTTGGGGTTGCAAAGATTGCGGGAAAGTGAAAGCAGGCGGTGCATACACAATGAACACGGCTAGTGCTGTGACTGTTAGGAGTACCATTAGGCGTTTGAGAGAGCAAACCGAGAGCTAGATCCGAAAAATCATAACGGCCATCACTGAGAAGTCATTTTTGTTCTATCAAATACTGAGTTCCATAGGCTTTTTCTTTTGTTACTTTCTTGATTCATATTAACTAAGAGAAGAAGAGAAGTGTCCTCTTTGACTCCTTTTTGTTTCTATATTGAACCTTTCAATTCCTATTCAATGAAGTCAAATTCAAAAACTAAGCTCAAGTGCACCTTTACCATTGTCAATGTACTCGAGATACAAGCTTCTACAGTTTTCTTTATTTTCTCCCCAACATTTTTACACTTTCCTTTTCAAAAAATCTACAGGAGCAACGAATCAATAATGCAATCACTTGTCTTTTCTTCCTAAGAAAGAAATCTAAAAAATCAATAGTAACAAAAATGTAAAATCAAATCAAAGAAAAATATCTAAACGCTAGTATCAATCTCACTAGCTTTGACAACTCCATTATTATCCTCTTCTTCTTCTTCTTTAACTTTCTTTTTCAAAAACCCTAATTTCACCAATCCTTCTTCTCCCCAATCCCATAGATGCAACACCACGTAGCTCCCAATCCCTCCGATCAATCCATACGCGACGGAGTAAGTCAACGGCATTAGAATCATTGTCACAAATGCCGGAATCGCCTCTCTCATATCTTCCCAATTAATCTCCGTCACTGATTTCATCATCATCACTCCGACTAATATCAACGGCGGACCAACCGCCCAAGCCGGAATCGAAGCTAGCAACGGTGTGAAAAACATCGCTAAGAAGAAATAAACCGCCACCGTAATCGCAGTCAATCCCGTTCTTCCTCCTTCACGTATCCCCGTCGATGATTCGATGAAAACCGTCACCGGAGATGTACCAAGCAACGATCCGATCACAATCGCAGACGCGTCGGACATAAACGCGAAATACTGCCCGGCGAAATCTCCTTTCTCGTCTACGAATCCGGCGAATCTAGCCATTGAGTAAAGCGTTCCTGTCGTATCCAAAATATCAACGTAGAGGAATGTCACCAGAGCTTCCCAGAAATGTCCTTTGTTTATCCCGGAGAAACTTAAAGCTCCGGCGGTGTGTTTGATGACGTGTACATCAACGATCTTTTTGAAATAATCATGAGCTGCGTCACCGGCCGATGTGTTCGGAAACGCCGTTACCTCTGTGTTACGGAACCACGAAACGGCCGTTACAAAGACGATCCCATAGATCATCGCTCCTTTCACGTTCTTCACCAAACAATAAGCTATGATCACGAATCCGACGATACCAAGCCAAAACGTTGGACTCTCCATTCGTCCGTGAAGACACATAATATCGCCGGAAACTGATCCGCCGGCGAGTAAACTAACGGTTCCGTTAGCCGACGTTATAACGGGAGCTAACGATATTCGTGATGAGGTTGGACAAGCGGCGAGAGTGACGAGTGTTGAAGGACTATAACCGACTAAACCGATTCCTTGATTGTTCTGTAAACCGATGAAAGCCAGGAAAAGTCCGATTCCGGCGGAGGAACTGATTCTGACCGGTTTAGGAACGAGTTTCGCGAGCTTTGCTCTGAAACCTATGGCGGAGATGAAGAGAAATATCAATCCTTCGATGAAAACGGCGGCGAGAGCGGTCCGGTATGAGATTGAACCGGATCCGTGAAACCCAACGACGGTGTAAGCGAAATAAGCGTTAGTTCCCATTCCCGGAGCTAAAGCTAGAGGAAGATTCGCCATCAATCCCATGATTACACAACCGATTAGTGACGCAGCTACGGTGGCGACGATTAGATCCTTTCGAATTCCTTCGACGCAAGTGGCGTAACCGGGATTAACCGGGTTGAATTTACAAGAAACGTCGGGTTGGATCAATCGGAGACCCGGTCCGGTACACTGAGAAGGTTGGATCGTTGGGTTTGAGCAGAGAGGGATACAATCGGAAACAGAGCAAGTTCCACCGGAATCAGAGAGGATTGAAGCGTTGACGGCGAGGATATAAGCCATGGTGAGAAAAGTAGCCGTACCAGCACGGAGCTCCGTCGTGAAAGTAGAATTACGTTCGGCGAGTTTGAACCGTTTGCCAACCCGGCTCGAACCGACATAGGTGTTGAGCCGGTTTAGTAGCTTGGGCTTGGGTCTAGTAGTAGTAGAAGGTAGCTGTTGTTGTTGCTCCATTAGAGAGATCACAGAAGTAAAAGAAAAATACAAGTTTTTTTTTATTTTTTTGGTTACTGGTTTTGTAATCTAGTGAAGAGAACAGATTTGCTTATATATATAAGCAGCTATAATAGAGATGGTTAAGGGAGCTTTTGATATGATTAGAGAAAGAGGAAAATATTCTGATTATGAGGAATGGGATCTTTAGAAACAAGTATCTCACATGTAACCATGTGTCCACGATTCTTACTTTTATTTGTTTTTATTTTTTGTTACAGTTTTGTAATATAATCTCTGACAATTGAATTTGATCAGAATTATTATAATTATCCCATGTATTCACACGTCTATCAAGGCAGATTTCATAGTTTTGAATCTTCGAATATTAAGTACTGTAGCTTTGTATTAAATTAAAAAACTAATCAATGTAGAGATTTTGTTTTTTGTTCGTATGTTAATTAACTATACATATGCATCATGATTTTACTTGTTTATTATGATTTTGGTGTGTATGAATATGTATGTGGCAACTACAAGCAATTGCGGCCAACAAGGTCACGTTGCAAAGTTGGCTACAAAATACAAATGTGAACAACTCTTAACTAACATCTATTATATATTTGACCAATTGACTTTTGAGTTTTGACCTATCAAAATCTGTTTTTTTTTTTCATATAGATTTTCTAGATAGACGTTATATTATTCAGAGTTTTTTTTAGGATATCATTTCGCAAAACTAAACGTTGTTGATATTTTTGCAAGCTGATTTTCCGACAAATTTCTGGTGTCCAAAAGCATTACGAGTTACAACGATTTTTTTACGCAATGATATGCTTATAAAATTGTATCATAGGAGATGATAATTTCTTTTTAAATTGGATCACCGTTTGAGTCATTTTGAACTCAATTTGTTGGTGGAGAAGTCAAAGATATCGGTTTGACTACAATATCGAGTAGGTTGGTTTATTTAATCGTATCTTATTAGAAAATCTCATTAAACTACACTAAACATTTAGTAAATCACAGGAAATACTAAACTAAAAGATTACCAACTCATTTTTTGAATAAAAACAATTACCGGATTTTTAAACCCAAATTAAATACCGGCCACTAAGTCGATAACATACTGTATTAATCACTATTTTCAAATAATTTCATTGTATGCTTCGATATAAATATTCATTAACATAATCTAAGTAGACGTCACGTGACTCACGTCACATTGATCAAAATATACAGAATTCATTCATTTTCTTCAACAGCACGTGGATATAAATAAATATGAAGAAATTTACGCTTTCCAATTTCTTGATAACACAGTATATTTTAGTACTGCCAATAAATTATATTTTTCCCCGATCTATTTTAGTCTTATCAATAAATGGTATTTGATACGTAAGGGAAAAATAACTATACATAAGAGAATCAATCATCTGTTTATGTGTAGTGTAGTTATTTTGCTACGATATGTAGTAGGTAGAGTTAATCCTACAAATTTTGAAAAGCTGTTCATGAATAAATGGTATAGATGATATATAAGTTTGAACGAGAAAAAACAATGTAGATTTGGACGTAAGATATCTTTTGGGGACCATCCATTTATATGTGTGTTGTTACTAGTGTCATGCTATTTATTGCTTGGGTCTCACTATCAACTTACAAGTTACAACGTAACACTTATTGATTTCAATATGTTTTTTAGGCTTCAATAATTATTCTCTTGTAAAAATGATTAAACGAGATGAAATAGTAAGTATTAGACTAGTAGTCGTCGTTGTGTGACTTTATTATCTGTAGAAGATGTTCATAATTTCAACCGCACGATATCAACTAAGAAGACGGCGTGTGCATGGGAAGTGTGCAGAAATATTATGTCTCGCTACATCGTGAAGTAAAAGAAAACGAACAAAAAGTGTCTCGCTACATCGTGAAGGAAACGAAGAGAAAGATTCATCAATGTGTCAATTTATGAATGAGATATACTCCCTCCGTCCCACAAAGATAGATTTTGTAGAGATTTCACATTCTTTAAAAAATAATGTATAATGACAATTTTAACCTTTTAACACTTTAACACATTCTAAAAAGTGTATTATTTATTGTTATTTAATAAGAGTAAAATAGGTAAACCGTTTTAAATTTTACATTGGAAACATAAAACTTCTATCTATGTGGGACAAAATTTTTTTCCAAAAAATTCATCTTTGTGGGACGGAGGGAGTACATAGTATTAGTGAAGTAAAGTCCTACATCAAAAGTTGGAGAAGTTATCAAGTACTAATATATAATAGTTAGGGTCAATCTTAAACCCAATTTATCACATAGATGTCCCAAATCATGTGTTATTCATGACCTTGTTTTAGTGTCCTTCACAAGTTGGAATCTTATCGCAACGCATATAGAGACTTGTTATAGAATATTTGAATAGTCGTTCTATCATCCATTCCAAATATTTTAAAATATTTATGTTAATATTTTTAGTTAAAATATACAATTTTAATAAATAATAAATAAACAAGAATTAAAATAGTACTATTTGGTTTGTAAATTTATAGTATCAATTAATTATTGGAAAATAGATTGGTGGTGGCCGACTTCACGTGAGGAGATGCCCTCATTGGACAGTCATTTTGCTTTTGAGTAATAAATTTGCAATTAATAAATGCATTTCACCCACTTGACAACATTTTCGTTTATGTTTTTTTAGTAAAAGTTCAAACATATTTATGTTTCTCGATCATAGTCTCCAACGGCTCCACCTTGTATGATTTTATCTCGTCCACATAACTAAAGGTTGGTGTTTCTAGATAATCTATCTTGTACTAGTTGGAGTATTAAATCTCCAATACCTTTCTAACGAGTTATGGCTCTTTAAATAGCATGCATGCACTAATTCGTTTTGTTTTTAATAAACTAAAGCTATGTCTGTAAAAATTATCAAAAAGACGGAATATCGTAATCCGGAACCAAGAGACCATCAAGGTCTCGCATATAGCGAGCAGGACGTGTGATCATTCCTTGTGGATTAGAATCATTCTTTATAGACATTGATGTACTAAGACACTATATATATATATACATAACTACATAAGAGATATATATATGTGCAAGTGATAGTCAGTGTTAAATTATTCTAAATGTCGATTCCTCATAGTGGAATTTATAGCCATGTATATCATATACCTATCAGTGCCGTCAAAAAAAAAAAAAAAAAAAAAACCATCAATATCTTTCTACCATTTTGTCTCTAATTGGTTATTTGGTGTAATGTTTTAGCGGTTAATTGGAAACTAATGCCGTTAAAACACTAATTGATGATTCCGATATTTATAAAAGGTTATTTTAAATGCTTACAGATTAAAATTCCAAAGCAAAACATTAAAAAACCGACCATCACGACTTAACATAGAGTTTAGGTCGGTAAAAGGAACACAATTCGACATGTTTCCACTTTGTTGTATCCAACTTACAAATATAAATTTATTTTCTTTCGGTTCATTTTCTATTGGATAAGTAACAAATAGTAGATCTTAAATTAGTGGGTCCTCCCCCAAAAAATCATGAAGCATATTATTTTGCTTTGAAGCATTATCGTTTTTTAAAGCATTGGGTCTGATTGGTAACACAAAACTGTACAATTTTTTTAGTTGTTAGCTGGAACGGTAAGTTTTTACGGAATAGTGCAAAAATTTACAAAACAGTGGTACATGAAAGTTGTACAAAAAAGTTGAGAGTAAAACTTTTAGTGACGTTTTTTATATCGCTTTGTGATTGGTAACTGTCAAAGCGGTACAACCCATATTGTATCTGTATAGGGTTACCATTCAATCCCATTATCGTTTTTTAGAAGCATTATACATACAAAAATATATAAACGAAATAAAATCAGAAATATGAAATATAAAGTTTCATGGGAAAGTATCGTTCGACCACTCTTTTTGCGCTGTCAGTTTTTTGCTCGTCTCCACATGATTTCGACAACCAACAAGGCACTATCATATGAATCTTCACTTCCTAATGTTCCTCTATAGTGTTATATTTCTCTTCAAAATTTCCCTCTCTTGTGTTTGGGTTCTTTATTATAGACAAGTCAAAACACAGAGATTTTTTTCCTTGGTATCAATGGTATGGCATATCTTAGAATTACTGTTGATAATTGATTATATTTAACTTTTTACATACACAACTATATTATCAAAAATCAAGGTATTACATGATATAAGAATCTATACTAATAGGACAAAATGGAAGCTGGTAAGTAATAGAGAGGAACAAAAGAAAGAGAGCATAATGGAATTGGGCTCAATCAATCACTTTAGGGGACTTTTCAACAAATTAAGTCTTCCTACAACATTTTATTTGTTTGGTCGTATCCTCTTATCGAAAAAGAACTTTTAAACGAGAAAGTAATTAATTCAATTACTTGTTTATTCTCTACTAACTAGATCAATTAGCTTAGTGGATTATATATATATATATATATATATATATATATATATATATTATATATATATATATATAAATTGTTTATTCATACACTTTAACACTCTAAAATATTCCTAAAACAATTCACAAGTTAAGCAGCTAATGTTTCATGCAATTATATGTACAACAATGCACAAACACAATTTGTAGGAAACAACACATATTATCCTATGATTAGATTCAGTGGATTTGGGGAGTTAAATCATGCGTGTGTGTGTGAATATAATTTTGAAACGTAAGATAAGATGCAGTGGATTTATGGAAATTAAGAAAGTTTAATCAGTGGAGGATTTTGAACTTTTTAATGATGGAGTTGGCCAAACCAAAGTGATTAGTGGCGAAGTGGCCTCTACTTTTTTCCCCTCTTGTGTTTCAACTTTCTTCTTTTCTAAAAACCCACTAAAAATTCATTAAATACATTAAATTTTCATTTGTCACTTGTTAATCATTAGTATTTTAGTGAATATTTTAAACAAGCAATGATCCATACAACTATTTTGCAAGACTTTTAGCCACACCATATTATTAGATTCGAATTTGCTTACGGCTAAAACAAAATTATGTTTTAAAAGATTTGATGAATCGACTGGAAGAAAATACTACTTTTCAGGATTTCGAAAATAATCTGTTGTAGACTTTTGATCCATTTTCTCTAAAGTGTGTAGGCAACACAAGCAAACATCTTGTCCTCTTGTGTGTTAGTTGGATTATTTGACTTACCAAAGATCTCTCTTTCTTTGAAAAGTATGTGTGAAGATTATGTATTTTCTATATGAAACCTACATATAGGGTTTAAACAAACACAATGGATCAAACTCTAATCAAAAACATATATAGGTTTTCTTTACTTTTTAAGGGTTCATCACAGTAATTCGTTTAGGATGTTATTCATCTTCATATTATTTCATCCAAATACACACAACTCTAAAATTTATACGAAATTCGGTGTATAACTAAGTACTTATCTACTTCTGTATTCTGCAAGTAGTTTATATATTAGTATAAAGTATGACAAATAAAGGGGAAAAAGCTAACTAATTGTTAAAACAAATAATGTGTATAATCAGCAGTTTAAATTATTTATTTATACTACTGTTTTAGTTATTTTCCTCATTATCCTCAATGTGTCAAAATCAACATTTTGCTGGCTGGGGAGAAGTGGACCCTTTTTTTTTGTACAAATTCGTTTAGAAGTCGCATTACAATCACACACCCATTTAATTCATATGAAAGATAAATAAAAGCGCTCTGATCCAATTGGATGAGTACAAATATCAAATTCTTATGTCCTAACTTTCTTATTTGCATCTCCTTTTCACTTCCTTTATTCTGTGCTCGTATATTATCACTAAGTACTAACGTGTCATTAACCTGTTATAATTTTAATTAGTTTCGTTAATTGTTCTAGGAAACCACTATATTGAATCTCTTTTCAATATTGAAATGTTCATATTGTCGGATGAGGACTTGGATACTAATATCCACAAATAATTAATTTTTTTTTATCATATGGAATATTTGTTTTTAATCAGTGGATCACTTTAGGGTGAGGAACGAAGTTACTTGTCAAAAAGTTGTCATGACACAAGGCTTTTACTATTTGTACAAAACTATGGATGCCTGATTCGAATTAGTGTAACAAAAGCTAAACTTATATTCCAACCAAAACAAAACCAATTTCATTGGACTAGTTATGTTCGAACCTTTATTCAATGCATAAAAAGCAAAATTTACAAGAAAGTCTAATAGCTGGCTAATGACATTGGGAAATCTAATCATTACAAGTTTTAAGTTATGCACAATGGAACAAAGAATAAGTCTCTCAAAGAACATTCTGATTATGATTAGGACAAACATAAAAAGAGACCCCACTTTTCTTTATCTTTCCAAAAATCCCCACCCAATAAAATGTCGAAATGAAGTTAAATACATTCATTAGATTAATAATTAAAAATTACAGGAGAGATACTTTATAAAAGTTTTGTGATTTATGCGATTCTGTAGAGTACAATCAATAGGGCACATGCCAATCAAATTCGCAAATTGAATCAAAGGTCCTTTTGTATTTTACTTGTAAGTTGTAACAATCAAATTGCTCCACTTATCCATTTCCCAAAAGGAAAACCTCTTTCTTTTATTCTCTTTTAAATTCGACCTACAAATATATATATGTATGCAATTTCTACATTATTGTAGATTTAGCCAAAGACTTTTTTTTTTTTTTTTAAGATATGGTCCTTTTGTTATGTGTTTTGTTATGTGTTAATTATTTTGTTTTGTTTTGTTTTGTTATGTGTAAATTGAATCAAAGGTCCTTTTGTTATGTGTTTCTTGTACATAAATAATAGTAACTTAAATTATAACTGGCCATTTTTTTTTTCATTTTGATGCCTATTCCAAATCTAGTTTCTACTAATGATAAATGACACATGATTACAATATGGGGTTCTAAGGCATTATTATCACTGGAACACAAATGGGAAAGTTTCAGTTTCACCACTTCGCCTGAACAGTCACTGTTTCAGTTTTGTCTTTTGGGTTCTACTTTAAAGGTATCTGATTCGTTTGAACAGCCCACCATTGGCATCCATTGTCCGAAGCTCCAAGAATGTTTTCTTGGGTCCACTATCCAATCGCTTTCTCAGGACAATCCACACAGCCAAAAATGTAAAATGCAACGACTTAGATCATTGCTCTTGCACAAACACCCAAGATAATAAGCTCCATATTTCACTCGATAGATCCGGTTTGCGTCTAATATCAAACATATGTATAACCATAAAGACAAGAGCTTAAGAGATTATGAACCTAACCTAACTACTATATGCTGCGATCCAATGTGCTTAGAATATGGTATCAATGGTTAGCTTTCTTTTCGGCGGCGATTTTTCTATGATCTGTTTCTCGTGATCCATAAATGTAGAGCCTTTGTTCGCAAATAATCTTCTGAGGTTTATCACAGATAGCTCGTAAAAGTTTCCAACTGCAAGATCAGCCTGAACCAGATCATACCTGCAGATTTGTTTTTGATAAAGTTAGATGCCAGATATGCTTCTGGTTTCCCAAAAAAGGTAAAATTTTTCTACTTACGCCCGATGAGCACCGATTAATCCAACCGCCATCATTGTACAGTTGTGAGCCGCGGTTATACCCCGAGGATCATCCTCAAACACAACACATTTTGACGGTTTTCTATCCAACTGCACAAAAGTTTAAAAACTTGTCAACAACATTTCTCAGAAATTGACTATGATTCGCATTTGAATCGAAACGGTACCTTCACAGCCGCAGAAAGAAATCTGTGAGCTATCGATTCCATACCATCTTCCTCGGAAACCACTGCCTGAAACAGAGAAAGAATACAAGCATCAGCAAGTATAACTATTTATCTGCAAAAAGTAAGATGATTATCTAAAGCTACTACTTGCCTGGAAATACTTTTGAAGTCCCATCCGGTCAAGAGCATTGATCATGTTTTTTCGATCAAGATTTGAGACCACAGCACAGGGAATGCGAGCAGTTGTAACAGCGTCGAGCCAATCTCTAAGTCCTTCTTTTGGTTCTGTAAGCTGAAATGTCGATAGCGACACAACTCAGGGAACCAAAAACAAAGTGCATTTTATTAATACAAAGATTGATACAGAAAGACCTTACTTTGAGAAGACTATCGTAATAGATTTCCGATAGCCTGAGTTTCAATCTGTCGATTTTGCTTTGCGTTTTCTCCCAAAACAACACCTGAAATATTTTGAAAACCAGCAATTGAATCCATTTCCTTATGTTATGAATCGAGTATACACATAGAGATCGTTATAGCCAACTCGTAAATATACAAAGAATACAATGAGAGAAGGGTTTGACTCCACATTTCATATCAAAGAAAAATGGCAACTGAGAAATTGAATATCAAACCTTACTAAGAACATGGTCAGCGCCGGCATAAAGCATCAGTCTTTGGATGTCAACCTCCTCCGTAATTTCTTTTCCTGCCAATTAATTTAATATAAGAGAAATGGGTAGTTTAATATAAGTAAGATAACATCGAGTCCTTTGAAGTTTAATACATACCAGTAAAAGAGCTAACACACGAGATTATCTCAATAGCTGAATAGAGAAGTTCACATAAACAAACAAGACAACTTTATACTGCAATGAACATCCAGAGCAAGCTGTATAGCGATCAAATTTTTGCTCTTGGGTTTACATGTACATCTAAAATTAAGACAATATTCAATTTTTGTAAAAGTTTTTTTCCCGACATTCCTTAAAAGGGTGCATGGGCAGAGTACTAAACATATATGAACAGGTTTTGCAAGATATCTCTGTCCACAAAACGTATGCAACAAGAAACTAGACTATGTTTTGGGTTAAAACTTTAAGAGCAGGAGGGCAGAGCAATAAAAGCTTACCTTCTTCTGAAGCGAGCTGCTTCCAAGCTTCCAACTTAAGACTTCGAGTATCGGCCTACAAAGTTTGAACCATTAATGGAAAACTGAGAAAATCCGACTCCTGAATCCAAAATTGGTAGGCATGGACCATGCAATTCCACTATAGACCTCTTGAGAGTTACCAGCTAACATGAAAGCATCATTCTAAGAAAGCGATTCTATTCTACAATTTTTGCCAAATCCGCAAAGCCCTTGTGCCATACAAGAAGAAAAAAGACCTCTTGAGAGTTACCAGCTAACATGAAAGCATCATTCTAAGAAAGCGATTCTATTCTACAACTTTTGCCAAATCCGCAAAGCCCTTGTGCCATACAAGAAGAAAAAAGAAAATTGTACCTAAAATAGACCCAAAACTAGTATGCAAGGACCATGCAATTCCACTATAGACCTCTTGAGAGTTACCAGCTAACATGAAAACATCATTCTAAAAGAAGCGATTCTATTCTACAACTTTTGCCAAATCCGCAAAGCCATCGTGCCATACAAGAAGAAAAAAGAAAATTGTACCTAAGATAGACCCAAAACTAGTATGCATGGACCACGCAATTCTATCCTACAACTTCTGAGATTTACCAAATAACAGGGCAGCCATCATCTAAACAAACGAAAACACTGATATTTATAAGACAAATCTTCATACCCCACTAGAGAAGAAGAAGCTTTTGTAGGTAATCATATATAAGCAACAAGAAACTTCATCTAACTTAACTTGCAAACATAAAAATGGTGTCAAAGAATTACCACAACATTGTCCCAAGAGAAAATAAGTCCATAGGCTTCATCTGGTTTCATTGCGTAACGTATTCTTTGAAGAAAACCATCTTGCAGTTTCTCATTCCAGAAATCCTACTTACAAGCAAGAAACATGTTACCTTACAAAACATGTTACTCAAAAGAATAACCAAATAAAAGATTCATAAGCATCAGTAGCTCTTACCACATCCACTTTAAGAGGACCATCCTGTCTAAAAGTCTCAAACCCTTCTCCATACTCAGCTCCAATCGCCTAAAATTCAACAAATCATCACTAAATTCATCAAATTTCCTCTTATAAACCACCAAAAACCTCTGGTTTTCTATTTCAGAAATAAAAGTTTACCTCTTGCATAAAGAGTTTGTTTGGTTTGAGAGGAAACCCATTAACGTCGCCGTTTTGATAATCAGACCCAGAAGAACTTCTCACTACCAAACGCTGCTTCACCAACTTCGTATCTTTCGGTATCTGGAAAATAATAAAAGTCCAGAACTTTAAAATTGTTCCCCTTTGATTTCGAATCAAAGGTAAAGCAGGAGATTAAACGATACTTATACGAACCTGAAAGCTGAGATTTGTGGAGAAATTAGAGTGAGGAAAACGAAAAGAGGGTTCGGAAGAGATGAGCAGAGACGAAGGACGAGTACTGCATGAGCAGTCCATGATTATTTTGATTAGGGTTTCTTCGGAATCAGAAACTGAGAAGATGATTGAACAGAAGCATTCGTTTTTGTTTATTGAATGATTTTAGGGTTCGCAGACGGAACTATCTAAAAGCCTTTGTTCTGGTTCATACGTTTGGAGCCAGAGAACGTTGAGAGAGAGAGAAGGTGAAAGAGAGCAAACTGAAATTGTTATCCAGTGGATCACGCCATTGATGCCGTTTTATGTTCTTGGTGCAAGACGTTGCGTCGTTTTTATGGTTGTTAAAACACCACGAAGTCTGCATCTGACAAACACTGAAGCTTAAAACTTTCGGATCAGTGATAATTATGGCCTTTGTTGGGTATTGTATACAAATATGGACGTTAATGGGCCAGTTAAATAAACGTTAATGGGCCAGTCAAATAAACTAGTATGTATTATTTTATGGTTATAAATTATTAGTTCATGGTTTAAGAGAAAAATAATTCACTTTTTCTCACAGTCTTTTCCTCTATATATAAATTCACATAATTTCTCAAATATTTAAATATGGGATTTCTTTCTCATAACAACCAGGGCCGATAACAACATGGGAAGTTAGAGAAAACAAATGTCTACGGTGTTGCAAAAGTATCCTTGCGCTGATTTTCACTTGGCCGTGCATGTGATACTGTTGTTATTGGCCAAAGTTGTAGACGTCGTTGCTAAAATTTTCGTTTCTGTTTATTATTGATTATAAACTCGGATCAGAAGAAGATATAATGACACCATAATTTACTCTCTCATGACAACATAGTTTATCAAACAGATGGTTTAAACTCTCTGTTGTACACGCATCACATGAACTACAACATGTCCATCCATAAAAAAAAAAAAAAAAAAAAAAAACATGTCTATCCATATCACACTAGTCACTAGACCACAAACAACTTTACTTGCAAGTTGCAACACACAAAAAAAAAGACTATGATAGATAAGATGGTTATACTTCCAATGATATTTGCATCTATAATTTAGAAGAAAATGTATTGTCCATACTCAATAGATCAAATCCAAAACTTTTATAAAAAAACGCTAAATTAAACACTGAATAGCTTCGATTCTGACATTATAATATAACACATTAATGTGCGAGAATCTCGGTGTAATCGATATCATTAGACCATATGCAACGCAATAACTTATAGGATAGATCTTAGAATATAAAAATTATTAAAATAATGTTCTTTTTTCTTTTTTCCAACAAAAATTAATCATTAACCAACAAATGACTCTAGAACTAGTATTAGAACAGATCTTGATGAAGACCACAATTCAGCTTGTTCTTCTACTGTTTGAATATTTTCAATTTTTTAATACCTAAGATCACTACATCAGTTGCCCCGATAAATATGCCCTTATAAATTTGGGAGCTAGTCTTGGAAGGTGGGAAGACTTTATTAATCAAGTATATATAAATTAGCAAAAATAGAACCCACAATGTGAAAAACGTATTATTAGTTGTAAGAACAATACACACTGTAACAGTTTGTCAGTAAATTAGTAGTAATAAATCAAAATCTGATACAATAATGCGAATTTTTATTTATTTTCATTTCACTGATAAAAACGTATTGGGACAATAATGGCGGCCTGATCAACGCTAAGTTAACTGCTACCACGAGAAAAAAGAATCTGAGACCTGTTCTTCCCCCAACGACCAATCTTATGTTCCATCAATTTCACACCAGAAGCCTTACCTTTTTGATTACACGCTTATTCGTTCTCCTTTTTGAAAATTCTTAGTCTGAGTAACGCTTCTTTCTAAATTTTTCTGGGGTTTTCTCTGTTATTGAATCGTATTTTGGGCATTTTTTCAAATTCGATTCAACGAGTTTCCCAATTAAGGGTTTGATTCCTTTTCTTTTCATCTTTGTTTAGTCAAATCTGAAGACTTGTTTGGTTTTCAATGTGCTGAGAAGAAGCTTCGTTGGCAAAAGTCGAATCTTTTCTTCTTTTTCTGGGTTTTTATATTCTTTGCCTACAATGTTCAAGCTTGCTAAGAATATATGCCTTTGAGAGTAGCTGCTTTATTCCACAAGATTTGATCTTCAAGAGAGAGAATGGGATCGAATTGTGATGGGAATTTGAAAGCAGAGATTGAAGAATCTAATGGTTCTTCTGGCAAAAAAACTAGGGTTCCTCCTTGTCCTCTTGATGTTTCTACATCTAGAAGAACTTTGATTGGTGATGGTAAACCTAGGAGATGGTCTATTAGTGCTTTGCCTGATGCATCTAGTAGAATCCAGCTTCTCAAATTTGGTTCTCCTTCTGCTAAATTCAAGAAAATGGCTGAGGATAGAGACGAGGTTTCACGGTCAGTGAAGAGCTCAAGTAGCGGCAGCAGTCATAATTTCAGGGAAAGAATCAGTGGTGTGCTTCACCGGAAAATCGATTGGAGTTCTCTGATGAAAATGGGGAAAGAATGGATTAGGAATCCTATTAACATGGCTCTATTCGTGTGGATACTTGTTGTTGCAGTCTCTGGTGCTATTCTCTTCATGGTTATGACTGGTATGTTGAATCATGCTTTGCCTAAGAAGTCACAGAGAGATGCTTGGTTTGAAGTTAACAATCAGATTCTTAATGGGTTGTTTACTTTGATGTGTCTTTATCAACATCCGAAACGGTTTTATCACTTGGTGCTTCTTTGTAGATGGAAGCAGGATGATATTACAAAGCTTAGGAAAGCTTATTGCAAGGACGGGACTTATAAGCCAAATGAATGGATGCACATTATGGTTGTTGTCCTTTTGCTTCATTTGAACTGTTTTGCTCAGTACGCGCTTTGTGGTCTTAATGTTGGATACAGGAGATCAGAGAGACCTCCCATTGGAGTCGCTATATGTATCTCTGCTGCGATTGGAGCTCCTGCGGTTGCGGGTTTGTACACTATACTAAGTCCACTTGGGAAAGATTATGATGATTCAAATGAAGACGAGGAGAATCAACTGCAGCAACGTGAAGAAGGGTCTGTGAATCGCCGGTATACTTTAGAGAGGAGGTATTCGTTTGCTTCTGCTTCCACGGGGGTTGGGGATGGAATGGTTCCGGTTAGTGATCCTCAATGGAGTGGTGGGATTTTGGATATTTGGGATGATATTTCATTGGCTTATCTTTCTCTTTTCTGCACTTTCTGTGTCTTTGGATGGAACATGGAGAGAGTTGGGTTTGGGAACATGTATGTTCACATAGCGACGTTTATTCTCTTTTGTTTGGCACCTTTCTTTATATTCAACTTAGCTGCGGTTAATATCGATAATGAGACGGTTAGGGAGGCGCTTGGGATATCTGGAATCCTTCTTTGTGTGTTTGGTTTGCTCTATGGTGGATTCTGGAGAATTCAGATGAGGAAAAGATTCAAATTGCCGAGTTATAAGTTCTGCTTCGGTAGAGCCGCGATTGCTGATTGTGCGCTCTGGTTATGTTGTTGCTGGTGCTCTTTAGCACAAGAAGTTAGGACTGCAAACGCTTACGAAATAGTGGATGACAGATTCTGCCAAAGAAAAGAAGAGAAGAATATGGTATCTCCGAATTTGGTATCTCCTTTGCCTCGTGAAGACGGTGTGTTTGATCCTAGGTTTGGTCTTGGGAGCTCCCCTAAGAACATAAGTGGAGCTAGTTCTCCTAGCCCGAGCAGGTTTTGGAAAGAAGTACATAGTCCAAATATTCAGACACCTAGAGAGAAAGAAGAAGGTAAAAGCGAGGTTACTCTGACTCCACCTTCTCCTCTGTCTATACACCGAGAAGCTTGATTTGTACAACCATGGAATCCGAGTCCACTGGTAACTCTCCTTCCTTTCTCTTCCGATGTTGTATTTATTTGATTTGAGGACAACTTTTGAATACATGTCTCTTTGAGTGTTTTACAAAGTTTGATGAAGCCGGTTTCTTCATGTGAGTTGTATACAATTTCAGTTTCTGTTTTAGAGAACTTTCGCGGTTTCTTCTGTAATGTAAATTGGTCTGTCATGCTTCATTGAGACTTTGCGTGATCTATGTGCCTTTGCAGGCTTTTGCTTTTACTTCTAATTCATGATTCGAACCAGATGGTTGGAGAAGTTGTTGGCTTTTGAGGTTTAGTAGTAAAATACCAGTTCAAAAATTTGCTTGGTTTTCTCATTTCTGGTCCGGTTTGGGTTCAAATTCATAATTCTCAGTGGAGTATATAAGGGATCTCACCTATCTATAAACCCACGTATCGATAATGGTGTTCTACACTTGACTAGGCGAGATTATAAAACTATATTTGAAAATGATACCACAAGTTGTCATAGCAGAGAAAGATCAGTATCAGTATGCAATATAGGAATTAAGCGTCACTGTCTTAAAGAGTCATTATCGTGGAGAACCACATCACTAATCCACTTATGTATAGTTAGTTGTTTATGTAATCAACTTTTTGTATTGTGTTGTGTAATCAACTTTTGATGTATTAGTTAAACCTTTATTTTCTTTTACTTTTAAAAGCTTACCTTTATTTTCCTTCTGAAACTCTGCACAAATATCAAAAGAGAGTAATGACAAAACAAAGCTATTTTTCATCATTAAAGGTTGTGGTATTTTAGCCAATCAAATTCTTTAGTTTCTAATTTTAAAAATTGTTTTAATGAACAAAAATGTACCACTATTGACAAAACTATAGCTTAATTTCTGTTTCTGCTCGACATAAGAAAATACTTCTCCAATTTTAAGTTTAAAAGACTACATTCATACTAGAAACTACACCAATTCAAAATTCCTTAGTCTCTACTTCAATACGTACGTATAAATGTATTATAAGACATGGAAACGTGTCATGGGTACACTGAAGTCGCAGGACTAGATGGAGCCAATAGGTGGCCATTGTGCTCTACGTGGACTCGCTGTATGACACGTGTCATGATGATTATGCATTATGCTGCAAACTTCTGTGAAATGGTTTGACAAAAAAAAAGAGGTTGGCCCGACCAACATACTCGTTGAACACGTTTCTTTGCATATTTCTTGATTACTCTGCCAATCATCTAAACTAGAATAATAAGAAATAATTTCTGTGTTAATGAATTAATGATCCGTGAAGATTTTAAAATGTTTCCTCCAATAATATGAGCATAGAAAAATATCAAGGACTAATTGATTCTTTAAAGTGGAAAGTCATTATTGAAAATGATTTATAGATTTATTGATTAGTGGGTTTTCATTAATTTTAAAATTGAAAGAAAATTATTTATTTGGATAATTGATTTTTAATCAAAACAGTGTTGTTATTTGTTTAATAATTTCTAGATATTAGTTAAAATTTGGTATTATTCTCTTAATGAATTTTCATTAGAATTAAGAGATTTCACATTTTATTTTAATTGATGTAGAAGTATTTTTAATTAAACATATAAATGCCCATTACTAATGGTAAATTTTTTTTTTTCAAAATCCATTTTTTCTATTTGTATATTTTACAATTTTAGTTTATACTATCAATAATTTTTCTTTTCTAAAAATCTTACATAGATTTGGGTTTAATAGAAATTCATTCCTTCTCAAATCAACTAAAGTCAATAGATATTTCACTTACCATAAACAAATTCAATTAACCTATTAAATATTCACCTAATACAAACGACGGTGGGTCAACAATTAGCTGGCTCAACTTTCAAACACCTTTATCTTCGGGTCCCACAATCCAGTTTAACCCACTATCATAACGCCACGTGTCAATCTTAAGCTAAATATCCAAAAGCCTTAAAAATAGGATGGGTTACAGAGAATCAAAACCCAACCCCATAGCCACGGCTATATAAATCCCAGAATTATCATTACCATTTTCAAAATCCCTTAAAGAATCGTTTAATCTTCTTCATCTTCCAGCATTTTCTTCTTCTGATAATTCACTTCGATTCCAGAAATTCGCCAAGAACTGGATACTCTGGCGGAATCAGAGATCAAGAACCGAGACGTGGTTCTGAAACTGTATGAAGCCCTGAGATCTCGCGACGTTAAATCTGTGCACCAGATCTTAACCCCAGATCTGGAGTATTGGTTCCACGGCCCTCCGCCGCACCAGTTTTTGATGCGCGTACTCACCGGAGGTGTCTCTCCGTCTTCTTCCTCGTTCGAATTCGTACCTCTCTCCGTCGTTTCGTTCGGATCTACCGTAATCGCAGAAGGCTGCGACGCCGCGACCTCGATTTCTTGGATCCACGCTTGGACCGTAGCGAATGGGATAATCACACAGGTGAGGGAGTACTCTAACACTTCTCTCACCGTCACACGGATCGGTAACGTTGTTGCTGGACGACGCTCTGCTGAGATTGCGCCGTCGCATTGCCCCTCCGTGTGGGAAAGCCAATTCTCGGGTCGGGCTGGTAAATCCGTACCCGGTTTGGTTCTGGCGATTTGAAAGAATTTGGTAAAGTAAAAGTAACAGCCACGTCAAGGGAATAACTAAATAAAGGCTGCTTACGTGTCGGTGTGTGGTTGGTTTGTTTGTTTTATGGGTTAAAAGGATTTGGTTGCTGTTTTAATCGCGGTGTGGGCTTCAGGCTAAGGCCGCGTTTGGCTGTTGCTACTTCTTTTTTTTTTTTTAATCGCTTTTAAATAATCGTGTGGTTTTGTGTTTTTTAGTGGGAGCAAGAATGGGGAAACCCAAGTTGACTTGTTGTCCCGTTGTGTTTGATGTAACGTTTGGTTATGTTATAATTGAAAAAAAAAAGTGCTTTTGTGATCTTTTGATGATTTTATAGTACGAGAAGCTGTGCATTTGTTGGCAGAAAATAATAGCCATATATGGCCCATATCTTTGTTTGAATTAGCCATGATTTGATCTCAGAACTCTTATGTATATAAGATCTCCTAATAGAAATAATATCAATGCATGACAAATTTATTTGGTTATTGTAGATTATAGGATTAGATACATAAGAGTTCTGTTTATCCACTACTCAGCCTACTCTTGTCTAAGACCGCTTATTTAGGGTCGCAATAAGTATGAACTTAGTTTTTTTTTTTTGGATATTGTAGATTATAGGATTTTACTACATAGTTTTGTCTTTAATGGAAAAATAAGTTTAAAATTGATTAAATGCAATCGTGGACGCAATTAATAAAAAAGAGTCAAAAATTTAGGTGGTGTTATTCATTGATGGATTTTAATAGAATTGAAATCCAACACTAATCCAGTGTTATTCAACTAATGATTATAAATCTAACGTTAAATCTGGTGTTATTAGATCTTATACTTCATTAGATTTTAAAAGTTTGGTGTTATTCAATGGTGGAGTTAAAGTCAATTCTTTAAGGTTTGTAAAATCCAGTGTTATTCAAAACTAAAAGACTTGTAAAATCTTTGTATATTAAGTCATTTCAAATGAAACCTCTTTGGAGTTTCATGAGTAAATTATTAGAATCAAAATCCAAGATATACTGCAGAGATTTTGAAATCCACACAAACAGATTCTTAAAACCAATATCAGAAAGCAAATCTAAACCTTAAAGAATTGACTTTAACTCCACCATTGAATAACACCCCCTTATGAAAGAGAAAGAATTGGGAGTGGGAAGCAACGAGGAAGGTCACTATTATGCGTCTTTTTGTGGATGTGGACACGCATTAATTGGCGTGATATATCTATCTTTTGGCGTTCGTATGGTCAAAATGGTGTGACGAAGATTGGAACGATAATAACAGAACGGAACTAATAAACAAAACAGATTAATCAATTTGGAAGATAAAAGTCTACATGGGCGTATTTCATTATTTAATTTAATCGTGTGATGCACTGACGCAAATGTTGACATTTATTGAACTAGTTGTGTTTTTTGATAATGTCCCATGCCCAAAAGCCAAAATATTCATAAAATGTTATCCAAAATATTGATGTATATTACAACCCATTTATCTAAGACTATGAACAAAATGTATCCTGAAACATTGAAACGTAACCCCTGAGATCAGTAGAAATCTTGTTTTCTAACGTAGATTGGAAGTATCATCTGTGATTACAAGTAACGCCACCACAAATGCGAAATCGACATATGGATTCACTCTCACTTTGAAGCTGTAACTCCCTTTTATAAGTCCTCCCCATGAGAAATCATGAACCACCTGCATTATTTTAGCTCTCATTTATCATATTGTTCTAGCTAAAATAACTATAGTGTAGATCCTTCGAACAATAAGCTATATATATGGGTGCAAAATGGTGGTTAACTAGAGGAATAAGCTAAAATTTGACAGAATTTACCGTATAATCTTTTAATTATCGAATAAATCTAGTTTGAGCAAGAAGCAAAGAAGGTAGGACTAAGGATGACACATACCTCAGCAAGAAGAGTATTGTGAATTGGCTCGAAGAGTTTGAAAGAAGAGCCGATATAACGACCAAATGTTTGAAAATCTGGCGCAATACTACTAATGTCCGTTGAATTTTGGGGTGGCGGTAAAGTGACATCAAGTGATGGTTTGAAGGATAATAGATTTGGTTCCCTTGCTGAGAAAAGAAGATCTTCAGATTCTGTGCTTTCTCCTTTGTATACTTCCCATTTGTATCTCATTGTTACAAGTCCCTGCAACATTGTACATTTGTTCCTTTTAGAAAAGCAAGTCCTAATTAACTGGTGAATGTGGCCAATTGGTCATGAGATGGATTCAACTTTTTTTATTACGAGAGCATAAATTATGTTTTCAAGTCTCAAAAACTTCTAAACATATCTAGACATTTTCTTGACTCTATATGTTTTTGAGTGTCAAAACAAAATTTTCATTGTTTTACGTTCTACAGTTAAAAATTTGATCATTTTGTCATTGCCGATATCTTTAATTGAACCGGTTAGTCAATTAGTCATTCCATTGCTGAATAATAATAATTTGAAACTGTTAAGCAACCAACTAAAGAGAAAAGTTGGCAAGAATATTTGGTTTTAGGCCATTTACCACTCAGCCGGTCTATTGACATCTACCAGTTTTCTGAAAAATGAAATTAGGCATTACTACATGGGTAAGCTAGGTTCTATATGTGGAGAAATTAGGTTATGCAGCCAAATTGTCATTAAAAACGTCTCATATAATCGACCTTGTTTTAAGAATTATTTGATAATTCAGTTCCATTAAACCGAACTAAACTTCATATAACACCATTAACATGTGATATGATGATCCTCAACAATAATGATTAAAAAATGATTTCGTAGATAAATAGTGTGACCTTGGTACGCATGGAGAGAAGAGGAATTCCGGTGGCGTCACGGAGGACACGTTTTCGGCGGATGTTCCAAATGCCACCGTCCACGGTGAAGATGAGATTGTCAGAGAGATCAAAAACGTCGTAGCGTTCCCTTTTCAGGCTCTCACGCCGCCTTCTCACCACCAGCTCCGTCGTGTACGGATTACAAAACATCTCTCCCACAACACTCACCATTTTTATCCAACAATATTTATTTTTTGAACAAGTCTGTCTGATACAAGAAATCTACTTAAAAGATGTGTCTATGAATCAAAGGATCGTCTTTGATTTTTTCTCAATTTTTTTATATTAGTTAAATAAAAAGAAGAAAAGTAGAGCTTATTATATAAAGTTTAATTAACGCGGTTCTTAGATTGCTTGAAGCAGAAGGAAAAGATTATTCATTTTACTATTTTACTCCTTTTCTTTTTGTGGTTTATGAATGTGACACGAAGAGGAATAAGATGTTCTAACTAGTATTTTATTAAGCTTCTTGATCATGTCCAAATCCGACTTTCTTCATTGCCTGAGATAAAAGAGAGAATATTTTTAAAAAACAGATAACATTTTGTGATTGTTATTGTTTCTTGATGATCAACAGACAACAGTCTTCAGAACATTAACTTCATCAGTTGTTGTTGATGAACGAATATTTTTACTAATTTGTTATATTTGCTTCTCGTATAGTATTATCTCTTTCCATTTATTCGTGAAAGGATCATCTTCCAAAATTCTCTGTCTGATTGAAAAATGGGAAACCAAACACAACAAAGTTTTCCGAAGTTCTTGCGATTTGAAATCAGATTCTTCTCTTAGTATAGTACATAAGAAAAAGATATGAAAAAGATAAGGACTAAATGATCCCTATGATTAAAACTTAATAGCCTAAATCTCAAGTTGTAAAATACTAAAATGCTTGAATAAGCTTAATGTTCTCAACATGATTTAGATAGATGTAACAACGCTTACCGTTAAACTCTTCCATTCCTTGGATTTGAAGTCTTCTGATCGTGTTTCTCTCGATGTTGTAGTAGAAGACGTAGGAAGGCATAAATGTAGATGGGTACTTGCACGACAACACAATTTCATTGGTGCCACTCAATCCAAGAAACCGTAGGTTGGTCTCTTCTCCAACTAGATTCTTCCACAAAGGAGGCAACATGTATACATGTGTTGACCATTCATGTTTTCCAGCGTCTTCTAGGACCCGCAACTCGAAACTTTTACTTGTTCCACTAACAATATCGTTAGACTCTTCAGACATCAAAAAACCTAATTTGCCATTGTAGTTTATCATAGTTGTTGACCTAGGCAGATCTCTATTGAAAGTTTCCGTGACTTTCATAAAGCTGAACTTCTCAGAGCTAATATCAAAGCAAACTACCGTAGTTACCATTAAAGACTCTTTTTCGACCGCAGTATAATACAAAACACCGTTGATGCATATTTCACTACCATGAGGAACATGGGGTTTGCAGCATTGAATCATCCTCCATGATTTTCTTTCAGTTCCTAGTGGTAGAACTTGATACTCCTTACATTGATGCTCCTTGGCGTAATAATTTGGCAAGGTCATGGACAAAACCTTGAATTGTTTCTTAGTCGGATCATACCCCAAATAGCTATATGTAGTCAGCATAATCTTCTGATACTTCGTCTTTAATTTGGGTAAAGTGATGGATTCTCTGGTGCTGGGGTTATATATAACCACTAGTGGATTATCTGGCGGATGACGTTTAAGACAGAACAAGCCGTTGACAGGACCCTTGACTTCATAGGCATGAGGGACATTAGTAAGAAGATCCGCAGTTATAGCACCCAAGTTCTCATCAAGGTTTTGAGGCTGATGTGAGGAGAATAAGAAGAACCTATCGTCCTGTGCGCACGCGAATAAGAGCTGCGGGCGAAGAGAAGAATTTCTCATAAACAACTCTGTGAAATGTTGATCGCAAAATACGGAGGCCCAGTACTTTGATAAGCAACGACATCTAGCAATAGATTTCGCCGGCAGCCTCGAGAATATATCGACAACGAGATCCTTTGGGAGCGGCAATGACTGTAGGCTTTTTTCAACTGAGGCTAGCGTCCGCGTTCTGCTTCCAGAAAAGTTTAGACGATCCTCCGAGACGTTCAACAACCGTCGTTTTTTCATCATGGTGGAGCGAGACACTAAAGCCCTAGATTCTCCTCAAAGTTATTCACAAAACAAGAAAATGAAGGCTGATATAAAATTTATCTCTTCATTAGTAACAAAAAGTAGATCGCGTGTATGATTTAGTTACAAGAAAATCCATCTATCCCAAAATTAATGCCCGTATATACAGGAGATTAGTTAAAGATATCTAATAGTGGTGAATTGTGTTATGAAAAATTTAGAAACATGAATTTAAAAGATACGTGATTTGGTAAGTAATGATGGAAAATCTCTTCCATGATATTTTCCTTCCGATTGAGAAAAGAAAAAAAACAAGGAAAGATGAGAAATACAAGAAGCTTACTATTCGAAGTCAGATTGTATAGAAAATGATATCTTTCATTCAAAAAAAAACATTATTGGTCCCAACATTATTAATTAATAATACCTCTCTAAATTAATAAAATTTCTTGGTCCCAACATTATTAATTTATAGAGGTTTTACTGTAATTACCGTGTATGTAAAATTAGTTAGTGTACTAGAAGATTTCATAACGGTGAGAGCCTCAAATTCAGAAATTCAGAGTGTTTTTCGGTGGAAATAAAACTAATGGGGTACATATCATGGTGTTTAAACTGAAAATAAAAAATATGGTGAAAGATAAGAAATTATCACACTCTTCATATTCCAATTGTTGTTCATCGCTTTACTTTGTATTTTTTTTAAAGCATTTATTTTGTATTTTTGGTCTTTCAATAATGTCCACTACTCCACTGATAAAAAATAAACTTAAGATTCTGTTTTATTTTTGATTAATCTGTGGAGTATTAATGATGTATACGAAAAAAAATATAAATTATATGGAAGCATGAAAGTTTGAAATTTCATAAGTTGGTGACAACGAAACTCTAACAATGCAACACTTTTTCCATTAAACTCTGTTTTTACCACATTACTATAGAAAACACAACCTTTCTGTAAAGAAGAAGGTAAATATCGACTATTTGATGCACATTTTTTTTTGTAGACGAAAACTAGAAGATCTGTTTACTAAACCAGCGGTTAGTTATTTCCTCCTGTTTGTTTAAAAATTAAAACTAAAATACAATATACCATAACATTTTTTTAGTTCTTAGTTTTCTGAATTACCTCTTGATAAAAAAACAATTCAAATCAAAATATGTTATTTTTTTAATTGTTTGAATTTGTTTTTGGTAACTTTGCTCCAATTTCTGGATTTAAAAAATCATTTGCATGCAGAATCGGAATAAAAATGATGGTAACAATTTTATAATCTATAATTTTAATTAACAAAAAAAAGCAATTTTATAATTTTTATTATTATTTTGTTTTGTCAAGATCTTAAACAAATCTCTCTACTTCTGGATTTATTATTAATTGCAAATTATGAGAACTGTTACATAGACGATTCTACAACTAACAATTCCTTCCGACCCTTATTTGCAATTAATAATAAATCCAGACGTTAAAAAAAAACAAATCTCTCTACTTATAATAACCCAGAGCATTGACGTGATTGTCGTACAGGCAACTGCAACGTCTCTCTGCATTCTCCGATAAATAATATTACGAAAACACCCCTATAACTTTCCATTTTAGTGTCAAAGCCCAAAAACCCAAAAGGGTAAAATCGTCTCATAAATATTTCTTTTTCGCGCTTCATCTATTTTCTTAGTCTCGGAAATAAATTGCAGTGTTTCTCTGCGATTTTCAGTCATAGTACCTTTTTGTTTTAACTCTCTCTCATATTAGCCATTCTCAAATCGAAGAAACCCTAAGATTTCTCGTCTTCAGATTCGATTTCTCTGTGGAAATTTCTTCATCCCAATGCGTTTCTCTGGTGAAATTTGCAGAAATTTGAGTTTCTGAAGATTCCGTTCGCTTTGTCTTCTTCGTCTCTCGATCGTTCAAGTAAGGAAAATCTTCTCTCACTGTAGCAGTTGTTCTTGTTGAGGTTTTTTCGAAATTTCTTTGAAATTTAGTCGAGATTGTGCTCTGATGTTGCTCTGTTTGCTTATTTCTAAGCTCGGAACCTTGAATCTCTCTTCGGTGAGTGAGATCGTCTCCTTCAACCTCAAGTAGCTGTTCGTTTAAAGAATTTGAGGTATTATTGTCTCAGCTTCTCAGATTTGTTTTCATTTTGTCGTCTCCGTTTAGATTTCTGTTTTGGAAACCTTCGATTTTGGTTTGTCACTGAGCGTTTGATGAGGAAGAACACATGTGGTTATGATATCTTTCATCTTTCTTTGGTTTCCGAAGTAACAACTGGTATTAACGTTTAGTAATTGAAGATCCTCTCTGCTTAGGGTTTCTGGAACTTAGTAGACAGAACAAATTTCATCATTGTTTCTTCCGTAATCATGAAATTTTTAGGTTTTGTTGTTAACATTGTCTCAAAGTGAAAAATGGTCCTGCTTGGGGTATCTGGAAGTGAATATTTTTGAGAATTACTGCAAATTGCTTGATAATTTTGGAGACAGTTCACTTTACTCATTATCGTTTTTTGCTTTTCTTATGCTTTTGTTTTGATATATATCTTGATTCTTTCTAGTGAGAAGCAATGGGTGCAGGGAGGAAGACAGAGACCTATACATTGGCTCCGGATGGCCAATACATATCAGGATATGGAAATATGTGTGTGAGAAATCTGAAGAAGGGAGATCTTTGTGGGGTTATATTTGGATGCAAGTTCAGCACGATCAAAGAGTGCTATGCTAAGAATTTGTTTGGTTAGTTGTCTATACAATCTTTGAGGATTAAACTTTAGTGCCGACCAGGATTTTGAAAATGATGCTTGTTTGTCGACAGGTTTACCAGCCCCGCACATGGCTTATATCAAGAACATTGATCCCGGCTTGACGCTGTTCCTATTCAACTACAGTGACAGAACACTTCACGGCATCTTTGAAGCTGCTAGTGAAGGAAAACTGAACATTGATTCCAAAGCTTGGTCTCCAAATGGGACAGATCCAAGTCCATATCCTGCTCAGGTACCTTTACTTAGTACAGAACGCCTTCTTTAGTTGATTCACCCAAATGTCCTCTAAACAGAAATGTATCTCGTTCTGCAAATTTTCGCCACAGGTAAAGGTACGAGTCCGAGTGCGGTGTGAGCCCTTGCCTGAAGAAAAGTTCAGCCCCGTAATTTCTGAGAATTACAAGGACGAAAAGATGTTTTGGTTTGAACTAGACCGAGGTCAGACAAACAAGCTGCTCCGTTTGTTTAAACCATCACCTTCTGTAAGGGCACCATCGATATCAAGAGATGCTGTACCACCACCCAGAAAGCCTATTCCGACATCTTCTCTTGCACAGATAGGTGACTTGGGAGCAACACGTGTTGATAAGTGGAGCAATCTGTTCAAATCTTCGGATGAGTCTACCGAAAACAAAGAAAAAGACTCAAAAGAAGGTGCACTCGGAGCAGGTTCAAGATTAGTCAATCTTGGAAAAACTAAAGAATGGGAAACAGCTTCCAATAATGCAGATGAGCGAAGAACTCAACCATCAGTGTTACAGTCTGGTACATCTTACTCATCAGCTCTGAAAAACATGACCGCTTCTTCAACTCTGGAGAAGAAAACTTCTTTGACAAATGAAGTTTCATCTCAAGCATGTAAAGGTGTTGAAAATCATTGGACATCGGCTTCTCGAGTTCCATCTTTCCGCCATGACAGTGGAAGTTTTAGAAATGCTTCAAAGGAAGGTGACGATGTCAAAGTGAATGCTTATCATCATCAACAAAATCTCCATCCAACACAAAAGGGAACCTCTACTACAGCTAACAATAGAATAGGAACTAGCATTAGCAAGGAAGATTCTGCTGAGGATACATATTCAGTCATCGATTGGGATGCAGCATCTTCCTTTCAAGTCCATCTGGATGGACTGAACAAGATTTTGGAGGATCCTAAGGATAAGGACTGTTTCAAGAGCTTTGCGGGTAACACGGGACAAGCTTCTTCATCTATGGTGGTGCCTAATTGTTGGGAGGATGAGAAGATTTCCTGGGACTTTGAGGAAAGAAGTATAGCTAAATCGCCTTGTGGATCTTCGTATGTTTCCGCCGCTACAGGAGACGTGGTTGATGACATCGGACGTATGGATAATTTCAAGATGGAAATTGGATCTCCCACTGTTGTGGATATATTGACTGAGGTAAGTTTAGGTCATCCATTGTTCTCTGAACTATAAAAAACAATTCTGCTTATGACCCCTCTAATGAAACTACTATGAATATGTTTTTCTCGGTTAGCTATTGTCGGAAGTCAAGGAGTTGAAGCATACTCAGATGAAACAAGCTGAGAGGATGATTACTTTGGAGATGGAGCAGGTAAAAACACTTAACAAAATTTGTAAATTGATACTTTTTTTTTTCTTTTTCTTACCTAGCATCAAATGCATACTCTCTTATCGTTTGTTTGGGTTCTTGCAGCTTGAATTAAGAAGGGAGATACTTCGCCTAAAAGGGAGCAATGGAAGTTTTTAAGCATATGGTAACTAGCTACTTCTTTTCTTGTGAACAAATGCGAAAAAAGGAAGGATATGGAAATGATTTGACTTAAAGTTCGAAACAGGCTTTAAAGGAATACTATTTCCTCTTTTGTTGTCAATCCTTGACTTGGTATGTTTCAGTTTCAGTATGTATTGCAGAAAAACTGGTAAATGGCTGGTTTTTTGAACTCACTTCCATTGTTCTTTGACATAAAACGGTTTGATTTTAACTATCACATGAAACTTACATCGCCATTAAACTAAAAGCTTTATGTCATTCAACATGTACATGCTCTTTAATAGGGAAGCAATGAGAGTTATTAGACAAAACAAACCATAAATGCAGATCTTTGTATATGAGTTTCATTTCTCTCGTACCTCATTCTTGGTTGTTATCTTGGACACCCTCAAAGCACCAAAGGATTGTGTCTGTAAGAAAGCAACAAAAAAAGCTTCCATGTGAAGTCCAAACATTGAGCTTTTTACATTCTTAAAATTCAGCAGTTTAATCACCGAAAAGAACGTCTGATTCCGTTTGGGCTACGAATGCGAAAATGAAAGATCAAAGATATATTTCACACATTTCAGTATCAATTACGGACCTATATTAAAAAGTTTATCCACGTAATTTATTCTAATATATGCAAACAAATTCGTTTAAAAGTCAGAACATTACCTCTCTAGTGACTTGTGGTGCTTCTCCTTTTACAATTGTTTCGGCCAAAAGGGTTCATGAAACCACTTTGGTTTGTAGAAAACCAGTATGTATCCAATCGTCAATCCAAAAACAATACCAGGTATGAATCCTATTGCAGCTGCTATACAACTAATCACCTCTTCTTCTTCTTCCTCTGTTTCCGGCGTTTCATACTGTTGATGTGATGCTGGCGTGTGAATATCTCTGCAAACTTCTTCAAGAGAAGAGCCAAAAAGTGCCAGGTTATCTTCAAAGGATGAGCAAGGCTGCGTTTGAAACTGATTGCCTCCTGGTACTAGACCTGAAAGCTGGTTATGAGAGAAGTTCATGTACGCAAGGTACGAAAGGTTCCCTAGTTCTTGTGGAATTTCTCCTGAAAGCTTGTTTTGAGAAACGTCCAGTGACTCGAGCTCTCTCAAGTTCCCCATAGATGAAGATATGCAGCCGGTGAAAGCATTGTTTGACAAGTTGAGCACATGAAGCTCTTTCAATAGACCGATGGACTTTGGAATCTCTCCTTCAAATTTATTTCCCGAAAAGTCGATTGCTGTGTAGATTTTTAAGATACGCACCAGCTCCAGTGCTACACCTCTATTCATCAAAACTATTGAATCATAGTAATAGTATGATCCCATGTACTTTTCGTTAAACTGGTCTTCATTTTTCCCAAGTGATGACATCCCACTCCACTTGACAAAGTACTCTGTTGGCAAAGTTCCATTGAAGTGATTATTTGATATGTCGATGATTCGCAACTTAGGGAACGAAACTCGATGTATTGGTCCATGGAATGAATTGGAGCGTAATACAAGAACTTGTAGCTCTGGCAGGGAACTCAACCAGAACGGAAACGTACCGGTGATTCTGTTGCTTTCCACGTTCAAAACTTCAAGAGTAGAGAAATGGATTAAAGATCTTGGAAGCTCTCCCACCAGTTGGTTATGACCGACGTCAAGCGACCTTAGACTTTCAAATATATGCTTTGGAAGACCTCCACTCAGATTATTTTGACGAAGGTTTAGAACGGAAAGAGTACTCTTGAGGTTTCCCATACAACGAGGGATTGAACCACGAAAGTTGTTTTGAGATAAATCAAGAGTGTTTAAAGAAAGCAACCCGCATATGAAAGAAGGAATCTTGCCCGTGAAGAAGTTGTTGGAGCCAAGCAAGTACTCCATAGATGGTTGAGGTTTCCTTGGTCTTTCGAAACGGATGAAAGTGTTGTTGGAAAGATTTACATAGGTCAAGTTTGGTAGCCTCCATAACCAGTTAGGAACTTGACCTTTGATTTTGTTGTTGGAAATGTCTAGATTCCTCATTATCTGTTGGGTTCTTACGAACTCTGGAAATTGGGTGATACCGCACCCTGACAAGTACAATGAATCTATCAATGGATCTGAAACTAAACTTTTGTTTGTGGCTGAAACATGGTTGCCTGAGAGATCCAAAAAAGTGAGCCTTTTGAAATATGATAAGATATCGTTCAAGTCAATCGTAGTGGTAGTGTTCAAATGGGATAGCCTAAGAATATTGATCGACTTGAGATGGGAGAAGATACTAAAGTCCACTGCGCCTTGGGTGTTTAAATGGGAAAGGCCAAGTGTCTCAAGGTTGACTAATTTGGAAATGGATCTCGAGATTGGCCCTATGAAGTTGTTTCTACCAATGTCTAACCATAGCAGCTTAGATGGTGAAGATATATTACCAAACTCAAGAGTGCCTTCGAGTTGGTTATCACTCAAATCAATAGCAGTCAAAGAAGGAATGGTGAAGAGAAAATAAGGGAAGGTTCCAGCAAAGGCGTTGTAACTTGCATCAAAAGCCCTCAAGTTGAATAGTGAAGTGATGTTAGCAGGAAGCGTGCCTGTGAACTGATTGGTTGAGAGTGATAAACTAGACAACCCTGTCAAGTTTAGTAGGACATTGGGAAAATTTCCACTGAGCTTGTTGTAAGAAACATCTAAGACGTCTAACTGGTTTAGATTGCCAAAAGAAGATGGGATTTCACCAACGAAATTGTTATCAGAAAGTTCGAGAGCGGTCAGATAAGAAAGATTTCCAATTGAGGATGGAATCTGACCCGAAAATTTGTTACTAGACAGGTAGAGAAAGGTGAGACGAGAAAGGTTTCCGATTGAATACAGAATATGACCCGAAAATTGATTATAAGAAAGGTCGAGAGTGGTTAGATGAGAAAGGTTTCTGATTGAATACAGAATCTGACCCGAAAATTGATTAAAAGAAAGGTCGAGATAGGTGAGATGAGAAAGATTTTCAATTGAAGACAGGATTTGACCTTTAAAATCATTAAATGAAAGGTCTAGAGTGGTTAGGAAATGAAGGTTTTGAAGACTGCTATTAGAATGAAACCGGCCATGGAGGGAGCTGCAGGCAAGGTCTAGCTTGATCACTTCCCCGGACTTGGCATCACACGTGATACCCTCCCAATTACAACAGTCGCTGCTATATCCCCATGACTCCGTCTTTGGATGACCTTTTCTACAATAAGGGTGCCGCTTCCCAATCTCAAACTCGTTTTTAAACTTGACAAGTGTATCCCTTTGTTCGGGACGACACAAGTGCCTAGTAGGAGCCGCAAGCACGTCCCCAAAATTATGAATGAATGAGAAGAGAAAATAAAGTGTAACAGGAATGATACTCGTTGAACTCCAAGAGCTTTTCATCCTTGTTACGCTAATTTAATTTTCTTGAATATTGATAGTGAAAAAGCAAAAAAATAAAAAAGAAACTGGAAATTGTGATGGTACTATGTATACATGGTTTGATGCCCATCTCTTTATTATATACATAATAATATAGACTGATCTACTCCACAAAGATAATTCCAACACAGCTTGACCCTACAAAGCGTTCTTCACGTTGAAACGCAACGACTTATAAAGTCTTTACATTGAATATATTGCCCATTTCTACACATTTTGTCTTACTTTTTAGTTACGTACATGGAACATAAAAAAAAAACGTTGTAGTTGTAGTTTGTCCAACCAAATAAATTGACCGAGGAAAATGAAATCAGAAAGAGATATGACTTGTTATAGTTGTTACTCGTCCTAGTGATGATCGTCAGCGTCAAGAAGAGTTCATCCCCATCGATGTATCAATTTTGCGCCAAAAAAAACTCAGGGCTAGGGCCCAACAGTGAAGGCGGATAAAGAAAACGAAGGCCCATTTCACCACATGGACATTTTGTCTCATCGAATAGTGCTTGGACATTTTGAGATTATTCATTTTATTGTTTTAGAGATTGAGAAATAACAAATTTGTGATTGCCTTCTTCTTTTTCATACCTCATAGACTATCCGATGATGAAGAGAGAGTCTGAAAAACCTCACCCTACGATATGAATATGAATTGTAAATTAAAACTAAAACTAAACTAGAATCTTTATTTGTGTTTGTTCTCTGATTTTATGCTTTCAGGTTAAGGCTCTATGTGATCTGCTTCGTATATTCTAAGTATGGTTGTGATGTTACTTTGTGTAACTGTGTTAATGATTAATTACTGTTATAGAATTTTTGGATATTATAATTCAAATTTAACATATTGATAAATTAAGAAAACAACTACATTTTAAGGATTATAATATCTACTCTCTTTTGGTTATAAATTATGCATAACATACTGTTAAATTTTTTTTCTCAAAATATTAGATTTTGTTCAAATATTGACTATAATCTTAAAATGAGATTTCTTAATAATTAAGTTTTCATTATTTAAATATAATTTCTTAAAATATTTTGTTTTGTGATTTAAATAGATTTTAATAAATTCAACTATATTATTAATTTATTACTCTTGAGTCTTAACATGTAACATATTCTATTAAATATTACTATGTTTCTTTGTATGTGTGTTTATCAACTATGGTAAGGATTCAATTGCTTACCCGTATTGAGAGCGTGTTTTTATGTGGTGACAATTTCAACACGTGTCATCACCAGGGAATGTTATGATCCATCATTCGAATGAATAAGTGCCATGTCACTACTACTCTTATTAAAATATCAGAAATATCTACACAAAGTTATAAATACGCTTTCGATTCTTAATAATATCTGATTTTTGTAAAAAGTTTTTGTCTTTAGAAAAAAAAAAAAGACGCTAGAAAGAACGCGAAAGCTCCCGACGAAGATTTGATTTTGATCGATTTAACACGAACAACAAACAACATCTGCGTGATAAAGAAGAGATTTTTGCCCATTTAAGAAGAGATTCGACTCTAATCCTGGAGTTATCATTTACGATAGGTATGTCTGATTTCCGATTTTTTTCTGATTAAATATTTTCTGGGTTCGTCGATTTTTCGCTGAATTAGTCTCGAAAAGGGTTTTGGGTTTGATGATTTTAGGGTTTTAGATATTTTCGTGATCATTGATTTGTGAAAAATGTCATCTTTTTAGGTTTCGCTGTTTTTGAGAGAAATTTGGGATTTTTTCTAATCTAGGGTTATTTTTGTTTACACGGTTTCTTTAATTGTGAGTAGCTTTTACAATTTGTTCAGTAGCTTGCTCCCGAAGACTCGGGTAAAAAATATTGGAAATTCTAATCCGAATTTTCCTTATCTATAAATAAAGTAAAACTTGGTGAGCAAGTAAAACACCCTTGGTGCCCACGTTGTTCCCGTGCCTCTCCATAACTATAAATTCTCTGTGTGACTTGATAGATTTTCCGTTTTCTGGAATTAGGGAAAGAGACTAATTCAAACGTTTTTTTTACCTATCTTGTAGATTCTAAGATTGCGACTAAAAAGAAGATGGCTGTATATGAAAAAACCGGAATCGATACACCGAAGAAAAGGAAATCTAGGGCTCGAGCAGATGGTTCAACGGTGGCTGATAGGTTAAAGAAGTGGAAAGAGTACAACGAGATTCTTGAAGCTTCGGCTATTAAAGAAGGAGAGAAACCGAAACGCAAGGTTCCTGCGAAAGGGTCTAAGAAAGGTTGTATGAAGGGTAAAGGAGGACCAGATAATTCTCACTGTAGTTTTAGAGGAGTTAGACAAAGGATTTGGGGTAAATGGGTTGCAGAGATACGGGAACCGAATAGAGGACAAAGACTTTGGCTTGGTACTTTTCCTACCGCGGAAGAAGCTGCTGCCGCTTATGATGAAGCCGCTAGCGTTATGTATGGTCCATTGGCTCGTCTTAACTTCCCTCAGTCTGTTGGGTCTGAGTTAACTAGTACATCGAGTCAGTCTGAGGTGTGTACGGTTGAAAATAAGGCGGTTCTTCGTGGTGATGTTTGTGTGAAGCATGAGGATACTGATTGTGAATCTAAACCATTTAGTCAGATTTTAGATGTTAGGGAAGAGTCTTGTGGAACCAGGCTTGACAGTTGCACGGTTGGACATCAAGATACGAATTCTGTGCTGAATTACGATTTGCTGTTAGAGTTTGAGCAGCAGTATTGGAGCGAAGCTTTGCAGGAGAAAGAGAAACCGAAGCAGGAAGAAGAAGAGATACAGCAGTGTTGGAGCGAAGCTATGCAAGAGGAAGAGAAACCGAAGCAGGAAGAAGAGGAGATACAGCAACATCAACAGCAACAGCAGCAACCGGATTTGCTTACTGTTGCAGATTATGGTTGGCCTTGGCTTAATGATATGGAAAATGATCAGATTTCTTGGGATCCTAATGAGTTCTTTGATATTCATGAACTCCTTGGAGACATGAATGAAGGCATGTTACCTGGTCCCGATCAGAGCCAGGACCAAAGCCACGTAAATTCTGGTAGTTATGATCTGCATCCGCTACATCTTGAGCCACACGATGGTCATGAGTTCGATGGTGTGAGTTCTCTGGATCTTTGAGATTTCTGAGGCGATGGTCTAAGACTACAACATAATCTTCGGATTGATCATAGGAGAAACAAGAAATAGGTGTTAATGATCTGATTCACAATGAAAAAATATTGAATAACTCTGTAGTCTTTGTTCTTTCCTTGGATCATGAAGTGTTGATTCTCTTCTATTGAGTTAATATAGAGAACGAGAACAGCAGAGTTACTTTTTTTTCTCCTCTTTGTAGAACAATAGTGTACATAATTAACAGAAAAATTAACCATAATTTACAATTACAGTTCTAAAAAAAATCTTGACTTTAAAGAAAAGAATCATGGATAAAATAACTTGGCAAAGAAAAGCTCGTTCCAAGTATCTTGAAGACCAGGCAAGCACCAATGTATACAGTCTGAGTAGCTAGCCGGATTTGCTAGCTGCTCCTTCGTCAATGGGCTCCATTGCTTCTTGTAGATTGACGTGTGCGCGTCTTTCCGATAGCCTGAGAGTTGTGTAATGTTAAGTACAGTCACCGGAAAATCGGCCCTGTGGTCTAATTCTTCCCCTATCACTTTCATTAAGGTTTTGCTGCAGTCTGATGGCCAATGATTCATGTCTTGGATCGGTGTCGTTTGATTGTAACAATTCTTTCCATGTTCGCCTCCCCAATCCTCGCTCCTGATCATGGAGGTAGAAAATATGAAACCTTTGTATTCTAAAGCTTCGTTACGAGCTAAACCTTAGTCTGGTTTCTACTTGCGGATCATGTCAAAGCCACATTTACTTGAACTATTAAAGATAAACCGGATCCTTCTAAACCCCATTACTCATTTCATTCTATACCAAATCTGAACTATATTATTTTAAGCCATATATCTCCTCTCTTTTTCCTGGTTTTGAATTTGAAGCAACTGTTTATAGATGACTTAAATCACAGAAAAGATCGAGAAGTTACTGACTTGTAGTGAGTAGGAGACATGGTAGCAAAGAAAACCCTTGTCTTCAATGGATCCATATTCTTCTTCACCCATTTAACCATAGTCTTCAGCGCCATTCGATATGCATCCTCGCTCTCCATCTCAACGATTTTCTTGTTCTCATCCTTGAAAGAACCTTCCCTTCAGATAACAAATTCAAAAAAAACAATCAAATCCCAAGTATTGAGGTATACAGAAAAAATATTTTGAGAACCTATAATTAGAAACAATGAAAAGAGTTTTAAATTCCATAATTGGTAACATACAAGATCTTCATTTTGAAGCCAGTCCTCCACCACAAGTATGTGTTGAACACGACTATATCAGCGCCTCGCCAATGCCTACCATGTTTGTTGATCGAACCTTTCCTCACAATCCGATCTGATACTCTATGAACAGTAGCATTATCTGAATTCGATTCAAGAAGAAACGGTGCCCAGTAGAACTCAATCGTTGCATTGTAATCCTACATAAAATATACCACAAGAAGCTATAAGAATCCTAACAAGCAAGCAATTTTCATATCCAAGCTTTAATCTTTGTCATCCTCATACCCAGATCATCAGATTCTACAAAGCAACATCAATGGCTTCCACAGAACTTTCTAAATCTGAACCAAAAGCCTAGATTTAACAGAGTATTATTGATTGATTGATTTCAATTACCTTGAGAGAGAAGACGGTGAGTGATCCAAAAGTATCCATGGATTTAGAATTTTCTGGGATTTGTGAATGAAGAAGACAGATGAGAGAAACATACATTCCTCTGTTCAACGAATCTCCTACAAACATCATCTTCTTCCCTCTTAAGCTCTCCAACATCACCGTCGCATTAAACCTATAACACATTCAACAACCACAGAACAAACCGATCTGAAGATCAATCACCGAATCGCATTCAAAATCGAAACTGAGAGAGAAAGAGAGAGAGAGAGACTAACGAAGGAAGTGAGCAGGATTCAGGTTGCCATCTCCATGACTGATAATCACTATCGGGACGGCCATGCGTGCGGCAAGTGAGCTGCGGCTGAATGTACGGACACTCGGATTCTCTGTAAAACGGACGCGTTGACCAGTCTTTGACCCAATTTCCTTTGAACACATCGCATCCTTCCGGCGTCTTCCCCAACGCAAAAGCCGGTGGTGGTGGAGATGGCGGAGGAGGAGACGGTGGTGGAGGAGACGGCGGAGGAGGAGACGGTGGTGGAGGAGACGGTGGTGGAGGCGGAGGAGGTTCGTCCACTACAACAACGATTGCGGATTGGTGGACGATCGTCGGAGAGTGAAGAGATCGACGGGTGAAAGAGATGAAATGATGACCGTAGATGAAGGCGGCGAGTAAGATGAAAGCGACTACGGTGAAGAAGAAATGAGTGAGACGGCGTTTTCTACGGTGCGACGGTGATAACAACGCCGATGTCATTTTTTTCTTTATAACGTTTACTTTTTTTTTAACACTTTTTATGCCTTTATGTATTATGACAAAATTTGGTTCAGATTAAAAATGAAATTTGGAGTATAGTGAATTATAGTCTATGATTAAAATAAAAAAGCTATAGTTTGTTGCACTTGCACGATCCAAAACCAAACCCATGTTCTTGCCCATAATTAAGCACGACTGTTTATATTTTAATTCGAACTTACAAATGTATGTTCGTAAGACTTTTATATAACTAAAATAAATAAGAGTGTTCTTAATTAGTAGGAAAATCTATGAAATTTTATTCTAATAGTTTTATGATTAAATTACGTTTTTTCTTTCGATTCAATTCAGCTCGAATGTTTAACGTAATGTGTTTGTATCCAATGAAGTTGTCCATCTGCAAATTAGTCGGAATCTAATCCGGATTACCGTGTTATATGAAACAAAAAGAAAGGAAGAAAGCCACTACACTTTTTGCTAATCTTTTTAAAGGATCAACATTTAACTTTGTATTCAAAGGCCTTATAAGCATTTTATCAGATCCAACAAAGAAGAATGAAGAATCCAACTTTTCATGCCTTAATCAGTAATCACATAGGCCCATATATAAATATCTTAATCTCTCTGCTTTCGTGTAAGTTTCGTTTACTTTAATAAAAAAAAAATGGAATTGTCATGTCGTTAGATTCACATAAAAAGAATGATAAATTCATATGCTCTGTTTTTTATTTTACGAATAAAAAAAAGGAAGCCATCGTCATCGTCTATTCGTCTTCCTCTGTTGACCTCTGCAAAATGCGAGAGCTTCTTCGCGCCTATTTCTCTCGAAGAACTCTCGTATCTCTTTACAATCTCTTCTTCACCCTCTCCCGTAAGCTCCTCACTATATTCCCTCTCTCTCTCCTCATGCCCAAATCCAATGACGCCGATGTCGCAGAATCCGAAGCCGTTCCGTTGCTCGATCTTGCCAAGCCGTCGTTACCTATATCTTTCCCGATCAAATCTCTTCAAGACCTCAAATCTCGATCTTACTTCGATTCCTTTCACTTCCAGTTTAATCGCTCTACTGTTCCTCTCCGGCGAGGCTCCGATGACTTACCGAATCGTCCAAGGGTTTTAGTCTGCCATGACATGAAAGGAGGGTATGTAGAGGACAAGTGGGTACAAGGGTGTGAAAACGATGCCGGATTTGCGATTTGGCATTGGTATTTGATGGACATTTTTGTTTACTTCTCTCATTCACTGGTTACTCTTCCTCCTCCTTGCTGGACTAATACTGCTCACAGGCATGGTGTTAAAGTAAGTAATCTCAAAACTTTTGGATTCTTCAACATCCAAAGTTTCGATTTTTGTTGAGATATCTCTAAATTTGCTGATTAGGATGATAAAATTAGAGAGTTTGATTGTTTGTGTACAGAGAGATGAATATTGCTGAGGATTTTATTGGTAAAAGTGTTTACTTTCTTGTGTGTTATGGAAACATAAAGGTATTGGGGACTTTCATCACAGAGTGGGATGAAGGAAAAGCTACCTGCAAAGAGATGCTTGCCACAAAAGAGTCTGCTCAGATGTATGCAGAGCGTTTGGCAGAACTTTCTACTGCTCTAGGCTTTGATGGATGGCTGGTGAGGATTTTTTGCTTGGGTTTTTATGTTTGAATCATCTAAATTTGTCGTTGTGATTGTAGTGAATGATTGTAAGATATCTGCATTTGAAGCAAACTGGTAAAGTGGTGTGAAGATAGGCTTATCTAACATATTAGCTGTCACTTGCAGGTAAATATAGAGAATGAAGTAGATGAAGAACAGATTCCAAATATGAAGGAATTCGTAAGCCATCTGAAAAAAGTCTTGCATTTATCTACACCTGGGGCTTTGGTTATATGGTGAGTTGCTCAGAAGTTTTTCTTTGTTCTTTTTGTAATCCACTTTGATCTGATTACTTTCTGCAGGTATGACAGTGTCACTGTTCGTGGTAATCTTCAATGGCAAGATCAATTGACTGAGCTGAACAAACCTTTCTTTGACTTATGCGATGGAATATTCATGAACTATACATGGAAGGTCTGTCTATGGGTTTGATCAATTTTTCGAGTCTCAGTTTCTTCTATATGTATTGTTTTTGATATTAGTGAGTGATGATGTTTCAGGAGAGCTACCCAAAACTATCAGCTGAAGTTGCCGGGGACAGAAAGTTCGACATCTACATGGGAATTGATGTCTTTGGTCGGGGCTCTTTTGGTGGTGGGCAATGGACTGTATGTCTCAAACACTCTTTAATATTTGCTTCTCTATTGGTGTAGAGTACTAAACAATGATCTGTACTTAAATATTTCTTTTCTTCCTATTCTTTTACATGCTAGGTAAATGCTGCTCTTGATTTGCTGAAGAGAAACAATGTGTCAGCTGCCATATTTGCTCCTGGATGGGTTTATGAGACTGCACAACCCCCCAATTTTCATACAGCTCAGAATAAGTAATACTCTAAATATGTTGCAATTTCCTTGTCATCTTTAAAGTTTCAACTAGCACTACTGTGACTGTGAGCTTAAATTTTGCTTTAACTATTGCTGTAAAGGAGACACTGGATCTTATTAGTATGCATGTGTTTTTTCTTCAGATGGTGGTCACTTGTCGAGAAGTCATGGGGAATAGTCCAAACTTATCCACAAGTCTTGCCTTTTTACTCAGATTTCAATCAGGTAAGGTGAGATTGTTCAAGTCTTATTTTTAACACTAAAACCATGGTAAATTTTGCAGATTTTCTTGGTTATGATTATGTTCAGCTATGTTCTGAAACTCTCTTCTCTCTTTGTTCAGGGATTTGGTTACCATGTTTCACTCGAAGGTCGCCAACTGTCAGATGCTCCATGGTACAACATTTCTTGCCAAAGTCTTCAGGTTCAACTTTCTTACTATCTTTGATTTTGCTGCAAACATCTAATGTTTACATGAACCAAAAGCTTTTCCTGCCACAACATGACAATTGTTCTTCTTGATCTGCGTTTGTCTCTCCTCTCATCTGATCTCCGTGTTTGCTATGTTCTTCACATCAGCCTCTCTTAGAATTCAATGAAGAAGACAACAAAGATATCATCCACGTCACTGTTGAGTGAGTTCTGGCCCTAATACTATCCTCATATTTATTTCGGCAAGAGCAAAAACGGAAAAATGTTTTTGACAATTCTGAGCAAACATTTAAACAATTACTATGAATTTGATAGTGCTCGAGAGGCATCTTTTAACGGAGGAGGGAACATTGCTTTTAGAGGAAAACTCAAGGGAGATGCGTATTTCACAACAAGGCTCTTCAAACCCCATCTTCAGCTTTCATCTTCCCCCATCACAATCTCCTACTCTGTAAGCCTCTGCTTCTAGATACATCACATTATGAGATCTTGTTGTTTTTACTCATGGAGGATTTTGGAGCTGGTGCAGGTGAAATCAGATGAAACCTCTAAACTTGGAATCCTGCTTTCTTTCTCATCTCCATCACAGGAGACGAAATCCATTCTCGTTGCCCCACAAGATTCCATCCGTAGATTCAACGACATGTTCTTACAGTGTCTCGCCACATCAGCGCAGACTGTATCCGAGTGGACGGTACAAGAGACAAGCCTTGTCATGGATGGTCACACACTGACCGAAATCTCTTCCTTTTGCTACAGACCAGAGAATTCGACAAAGAGTGCAGAATATGTTGCATTGCTGGGACACATCTCAATCAAAGATCATGTTCAGTCCCAGCAGAAACCCGAGACTTTACTTCCAGCATCACCGTGGGTCATCGAAGCTCATAATATAGAGCTTGTACAGGGTAATTCTGGTTCTAAGAGCCTCAGGGTTAAGCTAGAATGGAGACAGAAAGACCTTGAAGATTCTGCATTCCCAAAATACAATGTGTATGCAGAGAATGTGAAGTCGACTGATCTAAGATCGAGGAAGGTGCTAGAGAAACCGATAAGTGAGACAGTGTTCATTGGAGTCACTCACGTACCAGTCTATTACGTAGGGGAACTGGTGGTAGAATCAGACGTGAAAGGAGTCCGCTTCGTAGTTCAAGCCTGTGGCAAAGATGGTTCATGGGCCAAGTTGGATGATTCCCATAAGCTTCTAGTTGAACTGGAAGGTCTCTCGTTTAAAGATTCGTCGTAGGTTGTTGCTTCACGCCAAAATCTAAAAACTGTGAAACAATAAATATTTTTTAAAATCCTGACCCGAAAAATATTGTAAAATCAAGTACATCTATAAAAAATAACAAAAAATTGTCAATAGTTTTTAAAAGGGAATGCATCCGAATTTTACATTGTGAATAATAAAACCATAAACCAAATTTTGTTCATATTTCTCAGCCAATGCAAATTTTTGAATTATATCGAACCAAACAATAAAAAAAAATGCATGAGTCACAGATGACAGATCAATATCATCTTGCAACATTTTTGTAGTTTTTTTGTTGATTAATTTCTTACTATTTATATATTTTTTTTTTTTGTCAAAGACTTACTATTTATATAAACCATCGTTTTCATGGGTTTCCTTATCATCATCTTACATTGGATAAATTATAAATACACGACGCCTTAATTTAGTCAAGGCTATTCTAGAGACACCACACGTATGCCACAAGCCTTTTCTGCTTTTTACACGTGTCCAACAAACAGACAACCACGTCATCCCCATCCCTAGCCCATCGCCGTTTCATAAACCTCTCTCCATTCGCTTACTCCTTCCGACGTCTACAGAGAATCTCATCTTCTTTGCTTTCTCTCTCTAGATCTTACAAAACAATGTTGCTCAAGGCTTCTCCCGCTCTCTCTCTCTTGAGCTCCACCAGCGGTGGAAATCTCTTTCCGCCGTCGAGAAATTCGTCGAATCTTCTGTTTTCTCCGAGTGGATCTAAATTTTCTGTTCAGGCGGCGAAAGGAACGACCACGAAGTCGTTAACCGGAGTTGTATTCGAACCATTTGAGGAGGTGAAGAAAGAACTGGAGCTCGTTCCCACTACCCCTTTTGTTTCTCTCGCTCGCCACAAGTTCTCCGACGATTCTGAATCTGCCATCAACGATCAGATCAAGTATGAGCTCTTCCTTAGTTTTTGCTTTATTCTGTCTCTATTTTTTTCGAATCTCTTCTCTAATAACCATCCCATATCGAAAAATGTTGAAGGAATCAGAATCCTGTTTATTCAGTCAGCCATAAGATTTCATTGATTGATTAATATCTTCCCAAATGATCATCCTTTTCTACTGATTCAGCTTCGATTCACTTATCATGGTTCTGCTAATCTGAATCGCAATTGTTCATATCTTGCTTTCACTGATTTTACATGTGGGAATCGAGTTAGCTAGGTTGATACGTGACCATGTGTATGAATCTTAACGTCTCTTATTTGCTTTTTTGTGAATCATAGCGTGGAGTACAATGTCTCCTATGTCTACCATGCCCTGTATGCCTACTTTGACAGAGACAATGTCGGCTTGAAAGGTTTCGCCAAGTGAGTTTCTTCTTTAGTCTAAGGAAAAACCGTAGTTTTGTCTTTTCAGCTGGTGGATCATCTTTTTGTTATTGTTGTGGGTTTAACTCTCATAGGTTCTTCAACGATTCGAGTCTTGAAGAAAGAGGTCATGCTGAGAAGTTTATGGAGTATCAGGTATCATTTCAAAAATCTACCAGGTTATGGACCTTTCATAGTGTTTCTTATGTTTGATGGATTTGATTTTCAGAACATGCGTGGTGGGAGAGTGAAGCTGCAGTCTATTTTGATGCCCGTCTCTGAGTTTGATCACGAGGAGAAGGGAGATGCATTGCATGGTAAGTTGATTCAAGCTCATCCAACTTTATTGTAGCAGTAGTTTGATAATCTTCAAAGTCATATAGATATTAGTAAGCCTCATATATTCTACCACTATCAAATTTTATTATCAAGCTCTTTATGATTTTGACTCTTCCATGAATCAGCGATGGAGCTTGCACTGTCTTTGGAGAAACTTACTAATGAAAAGCTTCTGAAGTTGCAAAGTGTAAGGACCTTATCTTTTCATCAGTTATTTCAGTATCTCAGAGCACACTTTGACAGTTAAAAAGATGATTAGATTAATCTCTCTCCCGTGTTGGATCCTACAGGTTGGTGTGAAGAACAATGATGTTCAGCTGGTTGATTTTGTAGAATCCCAGTTTCTTGGCGAGCAGGTAAAAACAAAAGTTTTCACATTATCGTTACATTAAAGTACGCAATGATCCTCATGTACTTGGTAAAAACAGGTCGAAGCCATCAAGAAAATCTCAGAGTACGTTGCACAATTAAGAAGAATAGGAAAGGGTCATGGTAAGTCTTTAAACACCCTCAAAGATAAACCTCAAAACCGCAATTGCACTTTCTTTTGGGTGTTTCATTAAATTACTGTCTGGTGTGAAAACTGCAGGAGTGTGGCATTTTGATCAAATGCTTCTCAATGAGGTTTAAGGAAGAAGAGTTCAGCTTTTGAGTTTGCTGACAATCTTCCTTGTGCTCTACGGCACCGTTCTATCTCTATAACGACGTCTCTCAAGTTTGGTCGGAGAAAAGTGGTTTTGCTCGTTCTTTGTTTTGGTTAACAGAATGCTTGAGTTGTGAGTGTGTTAATACTTAAATAATGTAACTCGTTGTCTGATAATAAATGCAAGTCCCACTGCTTCAATGCCATAAATTGGTTTTATTTGCCTCAAAAGGTTCAGATTTAATTATCACATCATAAATATCCTGATCCCGAAACTCCGAATTTTTGGAATGGAACGGATCTCGGAGCCAAGTACGTGCCGTTTTATGACATATCGAAACGGCATGGCGTTGGAAAAAGATTGTCTCTTGAAGAAACCACTAAAAGCAGAGCCAAAATTGGAGAATACCAAACGACTTCAAAACTTTAAGCTTTGCTCAAGAAAAAAAAAATCTCTTCTTCAATGGAAAATGTTTCAGCTTCCTCGCCGACCAATCCACACTTTTTCCAGCCTCTTCTTCCTGGATTCCACCGCCACCTCGTAATCTCTTTCTCTCCTTCACTCTCTTTTTCTGATATGCATGAATCTGTTTGTTGTTTCATCTCTCTTTCTCTCTCTCTCGATTTCTTTAATTTGTTGCAGAACATTCCCATGGCTTTCTTCTCAAGGTACATAGATGGAACAACAAACGAGGGCAATGTGTTGGTGAACCTGAGATCAAACGCTTCTGACATAACCTGGCAAGTGATGATCGAGGGTCGAAGACTCACCCAAGGCTGGCAAAAGTTCGCCACCAGTCATGATCTTCGAGTCGGCGACATAGTTGTTTTCAGACATGATGGAGATTTGTTGTTCCATGTCACTTCCTTTGGACCAAGCTGCTGTGAGATTCAATATGATGACGATGATGATATCATTCACATATCCTCTGGTACGACTTACGAGCTCAATCCTCTCTCTTTAGCACTAGTATTGATTATTTGAGCGAACAGGATTCGAAGTTGTATATACAATTTTGGTTACTTCAAAAACCACTAATCTACAGGGTACAAGTTTTTCCAAGATTCTGTTTAAATTCGCATTCAAAGTTGAAAGTTGAAACAGATTCAGATTCAGAGAAGAATCGGAACGCAGCAGGCACAGGATCTTCATCAGATCATCATTCTTGTTTTGTAGCACGTGTTACCGTGTCGAATCTAAGCAAAGATATACTGGTGAATGATTACTTCTGCATTTAATTATCTCCATATATGAGAAACCTAATGCTTAAAGGAGATTTTGTGAATCTAATCATATACACTCTCTATAAGTTTTGCAGTTTCTCCCTATAGGTTTCTCAAGAGCTAATGGTTTGATGAAGCGTAAGGGTAAGATCATTCTATTGAATGAAGAGGGGAAACCATGGACATTGATCTTGAGTCACAAACGAGACGGTGACGTTTTCATCAGAAGCGGCTGGAGCAGTTTCTGTTTCGCAAATCGACTAAGAGCCAATGATTTCTTAACCCTCAAACTTGTGCAAACCGGTGCAACACCTGTTCTCCAGCTGTGTTCTTCTTATACAACAAGCCAAAACAGATTCTTGACACTAACTCTCAAACCCTACAATCTCAAGAAGTATAAACTGGTAAGTAAGTAAGTTTTCATCAATCATTTCATCATTGTTGTCAGAGTTTGTAATGTTTTCGAGTTCTTTATGGCAGTGTCTACCGGTGACATTTGTGAAGGCGAATGGTATCGAGAAAGCGAGGAAGATAACTCTTGTGGATCGATACGGTATCAAAAGGACGACGAGTCTTAAACCAGATGACAAACTTGGAAGAATGAGATTGGGAAAAGAGTGGAGAGAGTTCTGTGATGTTAATGGAGTGAATATAGGTGAGTCCTTCAAGCTGCAACTCATCAAGGAAAAAGAAGACACAGCTACTCATCTACTTAAGTTCTGCTCCAAAGTCTTTCCCTGAGTTTGTATTGCTTCTGTAGTACCTACTTGAAATGTATTTTGTTGTGTGGTTTTTGGTTGGCTTGTAACAAGGCTTTCGCGGTTTGAGATGAACAACGGAAAGCAAATACTTTTGTTTTTCCTTAAAAGTTCATTGGCATTGTAAAAAATTTGTTGATCCCATCAAAAGCTTCTTTGGTTCTCTAAGTTGGTTCAAACAGATCATCACACTTGTCTGATTCGATAGATGCCAACATTGAGCTGGCTGTTTCTTTTCATGTTACAACTCGTCATTATCCTCAACTATTGAGAAACTTCTAGCAAGATATGGCGTTGTCTCTGATGCTGATTTTCCCCTGTTTTTTTTTGAGTTTTTTTACCTCTTGGGCCTAACAAAAGCTACAGTCTCACCAAAACATGTTGTTTATGTCTTCCATAGCTTCCTTTAAGTTGATTGTTGGATCTAAAAGGACATGGTGACATACATTTTCTAGCTGTGGCCTCATTAGAGATGGTTAAACCAACAAACCTTTCGGAATCTAGCCAGATGAGGACTGTCTTTGTCTTGTTCTTCAGAGCTCCTAAGAGTAATCGCTTCATGAACACAAACAAAAGCTTTGTCATCCATTATACCAGTCTAATCATTATTTTCATCTGTAGTCTTGCTTTTCCTCTTGCCTCTGTTTATTTTCCACTTAAATCCAAAACATATTTCGTTTGATTACGTTCCTAATAAATATATGTGCTTAGCTCTAAATGGAGCTTGCAAAGTTTATTTTTACTGATTATT